ATTAAAAATTAAAGCTTGCTAAATTCACAATACCTGCCATCACATAGCGCTTACGGTTTCCATTAAGCAGCGACCACAATATACTAAGAATGCAATGTAATAATATATCGATTAGGAAGTAATACGACAACTCATTGAGATTTTGACACATTATGAAATTACGTATTGACGTTTGTTGTGCATGCCATTTTATGAGAGTGAAACCAATAATAGTCATGGTATACATATTTTAATTATGCCCTAAGTAAGTTAAACTCATATATATATACAGTATTTACTAATCTTTTATGTCTATAAGTCTATATTTTTATCAATAGGAACAGGTAGCAGCAAAAATAATCTAGGCCGCTAATTTTGTTAAATCTTTGTCTCGATATTTCACCATAAAACCTAAGATTACGAATAACTATTAATAATTTTACTGTCAATTTTACAGCGTTGAGGTATGTATTACTATTTGAAGAAGCCCAAAACAAGGTTAAAATCAGATGTTAAATATAAAACTCAGCCACGTCCATGACGGCTACCATGGAATTGATATAAGGTTGTTTATCAGATATTGAAGAAAATTAGTCGAATCGAACCTTATCTGAATCTACCATAAAACGAAGTTTTACACGTTCAGTCACACTAACCCTTCCTTGAAGTCTTTTGTTATATACATGATACCAATATTGTTTCTCATTTATTTACCAAACCGCTCTCCCAACATTCATGACTGCTATAAACTTTACCTTGCACCACATTACGTTGCCAACACAGCTGGCTATTGATTCGAGATATTGTGCTGCGACTTGATTGAAGGCTCGTGACATATTTGCAAATCAATTATTTCATCTTAATTGGTAGATTTGAAACTCATTATGGCCAACGTGCCTATGGTCAAACTTGCTTATATAGACTGGACTGACAATCCAAAATAAAAATCGGAACGGTCACGATAAAGTCGGTGAATATTTGATATTAGTCACTAATAGTATATTACATGGAATAGGATAACATTTGAAATAAAATTAAACTTATAGTCTTTTCTATTATACCAGCTTTGTGCTTTTTATTATATTTTGGCTTTTCTCGCTACTCTTTTCGGAGCGAAATTAAATATATGGACTTACGTTAATCATCCGAATTTTAATTTACCATAAAGAAACTCTCGTCATCATAACACTTCTGACGTGTCTAAACTAGATAGTAATTTGATTCCGATATAATATCCGCTACCAATGCATTTTCAATTGGTATGTTTTAGTAAAACGAAGTTATATCGCCCCTGTTGACTCGAAAGTATTTAGCACCTGATACACATAGCTTAATTGTTCACTTTTCCTCGGTTTGAAAATTATAAAAACAGCTAAATATTGAACTTATTCTCTTGATAGTGTAATTTTTGCTACAATAATGGTAATTACGTACTGTGTGTATACCAGGTTAGGGCTAGGCCATAATTTTATTCCGATTTTAGTTCTATTAGGAGTCCGGGTACTGTCTGTGTTAACCAAGTGAATATACCACCTGCCCATAGGCTTCCGTTCTTTCACTCAATGTAAAGTTTAGGCGAACAAAATTAGTTTCCTTCGTATTGTTACACACTTCTGAAGCGCCGCAATACTATTATTGGCAATGAAACATGGCAGATCATTCCAGTTAATATATAGTTTAACATAACAGTCTTCATACCGACTCGCTAAAAATCCTCATTCTCATATCTTCCTTTCACATCCTATCATTTTTATAAACTCATTCGACGAGCATGATATCACGACGAGGTCAAAAGGATGTCTACATGCATTATGATAAAACAAACTGAATAAAACCTTTAGCCATATGGCGCAAGCAGTTAAATGAAACACTATCTCTGTATGTCGTTTATTAGTGTTTGATCAGGCATAATCGAGTATGTATCACAACTGAAGCTTACAAATTACAATCAATCTATATTTGGCCCCGCATTAACCAAGCTCAATTCCCAACTCTCAGTTCGCATTATTCACTTACACCGGCCACAAAGACTGTTGAAAATGTCACTAAATTCACTCGCATGCAACTGTTATTTATTCCAGCTTTTTTCCAATCTTGGTGGATTAGTTGATCATTCATTTTGAGTTATGTCTGCATATATAGTTAAGGCGGAATGTTGTTGGCAACAACTGAATGATTACGTTGGACGGGGCGTATGGGTATAACATAAAAAGTCGTTTAAATTTACGAATTTTTGAAGTAATTTTAAGTGAATTCGGCGGAAATCTGACTCGTCACACGTTGGACATACTGTTAAAAATACACAAAGTTGGTTGATATTTTATAGTATCCACACTGCACATGCAATTCCTTTTTTTCGCTGATAAATGAAATACGTATGCCTGAAAAAGTCTGACTAAGGTCAGACGAAACGTTACAGAAATATATTTGTGCAAGTGTCCGACAAGACTATTGATTCCCCTTTAGCCACTGAACATTATTTAAAGAGTATAAAATCACATCCAAACAATTTTTTCCCAATCGTCATGTTATTTCATTGATGAAAATATTTTAATTATTTGCCCCGCCAGTCTCCATCCACTGCAGCAGAAATAGTGCTAAGAAAAATCGCATCTCCCCAATTTGGCAAGGACCACCAACTCTGGGGATAGTCTCATATTTTACAGCTGATCCTTTCACTTTTCCCCACCATGAATTGCCGACTCATAACTCTCGAATTCAGCAAAGCAGAAAATTCCAAACTGAACTGGGTATATATCTTTTGCCAATGGTGGCATTAAATGATCACAGTGATTACTTTTATGAACTTTTTCCTGTTTACGCCTCTACTTTAAATAAAAGTATTAATTAAATGCGAGCACTGCTACTCAGCCTTAATAGCCACGTTCAGTCACACAAAATTACAATAAAAAAAACACTGTACTTATCAGTCTATCTAGCTTCTAGCAACAACTCTAACGACAAATTGTCTGCCGGTGTCTTACTGCGTATGTGACGTCACACAAGGAAGTGATATAGGGGCAATTGAGTATGCACATGTAAATGAGTCATGTCATGAGTTAATTCACACCAGTGGCGGCCTATTGATTGAAGCGTTAGACTCAACCGCGTTGACATCGCAGGTTATTTGTCCAAGAATAAAATACCTTGCACACAACCTCTATTAGCAGTCGCAGGGTGTAATAAATTGGATCAACAATGCCGCAAAAGCAGGCTTGTCCGTGGGACATATTTTTCTGTCCCATTCCCATCCCATTCAAGGAATAAAATTCGATAAAAATTGTCAAATTTGGGGTTAGCGTCTGCTAAATGGGACTACATGTACAGAGAGATATGCAAAACAACAAAATTTACGGAGTTGTTAACTTTATATTTATAACTATTATACATATATCCATCAGCCATTTCACGAAGTATATTGTTAATGCTGAATTTATATTCTCTTTTTAGAACTAACAAGAGCGTTTTGCTCAAATATATATACACGAAGTCCATAACGAAATGTTTTACCATCACTTTCCGAAAATCATACGGTTTTCGTGTCCCATGGGAAATACAAATGTGTGCCGTCCCATCCCATGGGACGTTTCCCATGTACAAGTCTGCGGAAAAGCACTTTTCCGTGAGCCCATATATGGCAATTTATCGTAGCTTGAATCGCTTTTCAGACCCTCAAGACTCGCTAGCTGTTACGGTCTAACTTGGCAATTCGAAATATCACTCATGACCTTTGCTCGTGACCCCGGAAAAACTTTCCTAAAGGAAGAGGGTGTCTGGCATGTAGTCGATCAGCCTGAGTTGAGCTTCTAGTCAAGTTTATGGATTAAAACGGCGACTGACCGGCTACCTCGGACGTCCTCGAAGACATTCGATTCAAATAAATAGGGGTACAACAAAAGTAATCTCCACAATATGGTGGTTGTGGATAAAAAGGTGTTAACGGGGCACGGTGCGACTGAGATATCGGGTTTCATAACACGTCTTGCTGTAACTCATTTTTTCGAATTTGTGATGCGCGATGGTTTTCAACTTTGCTGTCAACGGAGCTGATCAAAACAGCATTTCAATAACGTTATGCCGTATGTTATCATTAGTTTATGTTTTCGCCAAGCTGAAGAAGCACACACGACATACAAATTATAATAAAATATATACAAAGAAATTGTATTTCAGGGTTTGGGAAGACGCGGAAAGCCAATACTGGTTATCGAGCATCGGCGTCCGTATAGTATACCTGTATGGTAAAACGGATGGCTAAAATCATGTAAAAAACGAATTCTAACGGTATAGTTTTATCCACACTCTCACATTTAATTCAAATACTTGAAAATAAGGAACTCGTATTCCGATCCAAGAACTTAACTTTAATTTTTATACGGAGCTAACTTACGCCTTTCGCCCCGAACAAGACTCTGTATAAGCACTAATATCTGATAATGCATAATGAGCTTCTTTTATTTGGAAGTTCCGGTTCGGCATTGCCTATCCAATTTATCACCCATTGGGTGGGCATGGTATCTGATACGCTAATCTTTTATATCGGCCACAATGCTAGGCGTAAACCTGATTTAACTTTATACTTCACAAGAAAACTATTTATTCTACCTAATTTCCTTGCTTGAAAAGCAGGGTTTCAAACAGCAGGGTTTCAAACAGTTTCACTTTGTTGGGCATGAATTGTTTGAACATATCGGGATTTGAAATCTAACAATCAAAATACCAATGGAATGATAAACAGGAGCCCATGAGTGCCAAAAGACTCACGATCCATAAAAGGTTGGGTGGGAACCATTGTTTTATACAAACACAGACGCTTACTAACGCTATAACCATTAGGCTATCGTGCCTCACTAAGATCCGAGACACGTTACTTACAAATCCTAGTATGATAAACAGCATAGCTTTACTAACTGTGAAGTTATCATGGTTGTATGTTAAAACCGGCCACGCTTTAGCGACAAATCCCCTGCCTATGGCGTGAACAATACTACACTGGGAAAAGACATACTGACGCAACAAACCTGTTGTTCGGTGAGTCTTTCTACGATTTCTCTGTCGTTAGAATCTCGATATACAACCGGGTCTGTCAGGCCGTCTTCAACGTCTTTCAACCATGTTCTCAGGTCTTCCATACTTTTCTCCAGTTGCGCAACTGCTTGAAGTGTTTCTTTTAATTTTTTAGATCTGTAAGCAAAAAAATGCAAGTCATTGACCACGAAATAACAAACAAAGGGATACGAATTAAGAGAATTCACAACTAAAGCATATTAAATACAATTCTAATTATTTCTCTATTGAGCTCAGAAGTACATAACCTTGTCCGCGTGACTGTGAAACCGTGCACCCGCGTGAAACGTATATGATACAGTCATACGCTGATACTATTGAACCCAGCATTTGTGATAACTTTGTTTTTAAATGACTGAAATGAACAATGTTTCAAGACACACAGGGTTGGTTAATTAATAGTAGGCAAATCCCAAACAAAAAATAGTGACAAGTCCTATCACTCAGTATCCAATAAATACAACCTTGGTTTCAACCATCAAAGAAGCGCTTGAAGTATAATACCAGTACATAAAAATTAGGATTTAGCCTTATATTTGCGGTTACTTTAATTTGAATTATTAACATTACCAGCATATATGTAATTAGCCAGATCATGCCTGCAAATCCAACTGAATTTAGTAATTTATTCACAAGTATCTTACTACCATGGTGACAGAGCGTGTATCATAGAAATTACACTAGAATGCCCCCCCCCCCCCCCCCCCCCCCCCCCCCACACACACACACACACACTCCCTTTACAGGGTTGTCGAATGTTGTTGGACTGTTGTTTTTATCATTTCTCCACAGAGAATACAAATTGACTTTCCTCCCACAAACAATCAAGTGTTCGAGCTATCGACTGACATAATTAACAAGCAACATATAACATTGTCCTAATGCTATGTTTTTCTGCCGTAATTTTCAAATCTTAACCCACGACTATTTACACTAAACCTTGCATATAGTAGTGCCTTGTTTTTTGTCTGGGTACTATTCGATTCAGCTAATATATTCCAAGCGCAACCAGTACTGTTCGTCTCTATCCACCTAAAATGCTATTCCTATTCAATTCCATACCGTATATGTACGTTACGTATTTTTAGCATTGGTGAAAAAATAAGTTACTGATCCCCACAACGCTTCCATGGATGAATAACGTATATTTATTTATATTTCTAATAACTAGATATCGCACCATTTCTATCATTACTAAGATATGCATAATGCTGGAGCCTCATATTGCAAAGGTTTTTGATGGTTTGCCAACAATACAACCTTCCGTCGACTTCAAAAATCAATACTAATTTAAGCACCAAACACAATTTGATCGAACCATGCATGCTACAAGGCTGAAATGTAGTCGGAAAATAGTGCTTAGCTGAGCTTGGCACCCATGGGAATCTTAATCAGAACGCACCGCAATTTGAAAAATGACTTTAATTTATGTTCAACAGGGCCGTTTGATCATCGATCACGAAACAGAATAATGTGCTTCTGCTGTAAAGCATTTCTATTGCAATTGCAAGCAACAGTTTCGCGCGATGAAAATATTACGCAAATTCACTAGCGTCTTGCAATCATCCGAATTGAGGTAAAAGTTAAATTGGGTGATAAGTTACGCCAGTATGGAATAACCTTAAATCTAATTGTATAAGATTCCCATGAAATTTTTCAAAATTGCAAAGAAATTTATCTAATTTACCATGTATTGTTTTGGCCCTCATAGAAACAGGGCCGACCGGTTGCCAAAACTCGCGTGTTATAGTCATCTCGGTCCATGGACGAAAACGCAACAGCACCAGAGAAGACGACAAAGAAATCTTCTTGTGTAAGATGACACTCTGGGCACATTATTTGATTGAGTAAAGGAACGCGTATTTCAGGTTTAGAATGGCCGTCTTACACACACTATAACAGTATAAGGATACAGGCGAATGAACATAGTTTCTATCCCACATTTATCTATCAAACTTGCCAAGCATATACAGATCAACTTAATTTCGAACTCCATTTTTTCAATCATTTATCAGCGAGTCATTCGGCATTGTCTATCTTCACAATATTAAATGATAAGTTCGTGAAAAATATGGATATTGATTAGTTTCCAACCCTGGCGGGTTGCTATGTGCGGATTAATGAACTTCCCGTGGCTGCAAAGTAGAGTCCGTTCGTTTTCAGAGCTCACCTCCTCATTTATCTCTGCAGCCATTCGAGGTATTCCAATGCAAAACAAATTTATAATTGTATTCACCATAAATGGTAGCTTAAATGAATTGCTTATAGCAGAACAACGCAATCGCCTATTCGTCTTTACTTTTGAGTGAGTGCTTATTATTTGCAAGCTGGTTAATGACCAGCTATTGTTAGTCTTCGTGGTGGTGGTGTCCCAATCTGTTTGAGATTGTGCTGTAGGACTTCATTTTTGGGTTCACAGATGGTCGTATTCGATGAACAAAATATTGGCCATTAATGAAACAGAGACATAAAACACGTCTCAGACACGAAAACCACCCAAACGCTTAATGCACAGCCTTATTGCAGTAATGTACCAAACCATAGCAGCCATTCTCGCAGGAGAATATTAAAACGTAATAAATAAAATTGACTTATAGCCTGATATCGGCTTACAGAGATACACAAGCACTCACTCAAAAGTACAAGTCAGATGAGGTGTCTTAAATCCGCATTGTACAGTGTCAATTTATTCTGCCATTTGTGGTAAATTAATTTAACGACAACTTTGACTAAATAAAAAATCAGTCACACAAAATTCGATTCCACGTTAACTTGGACCCGGATCGCAACTCGGCGAAAATGCGACAATATTTTTTTCGCGGCAATATTGACAACATTACTCAAAAGCATGGCTTACTCGCATACACAAAAATACAATTCATATGCATTCTAATAATCAAACCATTTGTGTTAAGTTAGTTAAATTGGCGGAACGGATTGTTTTGAGGGCTCCATTGAATCTAAATTACGAGCATAATAGCCTGAATTTGTCGTTCTAAATAACTAGCAGGTTATACCTAACAATTGTAAGCGATTGCACCCACATTCGTAATTACTTCACAACTATCAAAACAGTTTATTGCAGAGGCTAGAACATGGACGGCGAGCAGGTACAGGTAGAGCTCATAAGTATAATGGTCAAATTGTATTTTCAAATACATGGGTTATACATTCATAATATATATGAATATTAAATGTTCTTGACAGGGCTTTATAATTAAAATTTGGGACTTTTGAAGTTTAGTGTTCTCCTGACATTTTCACAAAGTATTTCTTTCTTAGAGTAAAAGTCGTAAAATATGGACGCGTCTAGAAGAATTTTATTAAATTTCAAGAAATAGAAGATTAAATCACGTCACAAACGAAACGTGGAAGCAGCTTGTGGCAGGTTTATCGATTATTCAGAAATGCAAAATCTTCATGCAATAATCTGATTACGGGAAAGTCCGAACAGACGGGTAGATTTATAGGCAAAACAGATTGGTATTTTTACGATTAAACATGTCATTTCATAAAATTGTCAATTAAGTAAATGCGAATCCAGCAATGAAAAAATAAATGAGTATTTGAACATCATGCAAAAATATTTTAGATATCGCCCTGTCTCTGAGTGGTTATATGCACCTATCGCCATTTGAATAGCCTCCTTCGCAGAAGGCTATTTGGCTGCTATATAGACAGTTGGTTAGGAATAGAGGTGGATATATGGTCTCAATCGCCATTTTGATGGCGTCATCTGTGATGAGTTATGGCAATGATCGGGACGCAACCCTTTTTGTACAATTGATAATATTAGGATCTCAGTTGAGTTGAGAATAATAGCTCTACAAATTTAATCCACGTAGTCATGGCAAACGTTAAATTTTACAATTTTGTGAGACTTCTATGATTTTTAAAGTTTAATTTATCACATAATATGACCTATGTCTACCTGCATACTTCAAAATTGAAAATATAATTTCAAATCAAACTACTGATGCAAATGTACTACTCTGTTCTTTGCTGAATGATATTTCTCAACACGCTATAATGTATGCTCACAATGAACATTACTTTCTCTACAAAAACACTTTCATGCTGAAATGACAGCTTTCAACTTATATCAAAACATTTTATATTTTGCCCTTTGGCGTTAACGGGATACCATAGCGACATAAAGTGAAAACCTTGATGCTTTTTTAACATGTTTAACAAAGTGTAAAAACAATAAATATTTTACCATTAAATATACCCACGGAATTCCACGACCTATCCAAGAGAAATGTTCAAAATTCATTCTAATTCAAGAATGGCCGAAGTTTACTTATAAACGCCAAATTGTACGAGTGTAAATTTATTTCTTTTGCAAAACTTGTGCCCATAACCAAAGGGAGATTAGCAACAGAAACGAGAGAATTCTACACATTCCAATGAATATGACGTAATTTGAAATCGAGAGAATAATATGAATTTGATTTCGCGCCAAGCATTACGTCATGGTAAACACGTTGCTCAATGAGGCAAGGTAACTTTAGGTCAAAAGACTTGGGCGGATTATCTAACGTTTATAATCGGTGACTGCGATGGTTAAATCACTAGACTCATAACAAATATATGAACAAAATATACAAATCTTTTTTATACTCTGTTAGCTATATATTGTATTTAGACACATCTTTTTTAAATAAATTGCCAACACAAAGGATATATATTTAGGTGCCACACTTCTTGATACAAATGCACAAATGCCTTAGTTGCCCAGGAAGGGCTAGCCAGGGTGGTCCAAGATTGGCAGCTCCGCGGGCCACAAAATTACTTTTGCATTGTTCGCGATAGGCAATATGTAAGAAGATTTTTTGGTTAATTTTATGACGAAACAAAACGCGATTTTTAAATTTCTCTCCGAATGTGAAGCGGGCCACAGATAATGAAGCGGCGAGCCACATGTGGCCCGCGGGCCTTGGTAGTCGCTCAAGTTTTGCCTGCATTTACAGAAGCAGCACTGCTGTTAAGACATAAATTCACTTCTTAAATGAACCCATGTTGAAGAGTTTTTTCTGCAGTTAGCAATGTTTTCTAGCTTATTTTTGACTGATAAGTATAAGTATAAGTATAAGTTTATTTCGACTCCATAATCAGCATAACAATACATTTGACAGATAAAAACAAATAAATAAAAACTGATTATGAAATCAGGGGAGCAAACAAAACCTTAGATAAGGTTTATAACGTACAAAATATAAGATGAAAGGTTTTGCCAAGAGGAAGTGGTACGTGTTTACTCACCTAAAATTATTAAGTTATTTCACACACGCTCACATGCACCCACCAGCCACACACACACACACACAACCACTGAGAATTTATTTAAGTAAGAATAAGACGCGATAAATTTAGGGTATACTATACAGTAAACAAAAAAAAATAAATAAATAAATACAAGAAAAGAAAAAAAAAATTTTTCTGCCACACCATATTGATATTTTTGTAATGGTTGCCATTGCCAAATTGATCGATCTTCTAATCGTTAATTAAGATATAAAAGGAAGATTCTATTGAAAACATATTGCCAAGCTGATTATAGTTGGAGTCATATGCCAAGTTGCCCAACCAAAGTTGCCAGAATTGGGTGCATGAAGAGGTGGGCGAGACCATTTCATTCCCCAAATTAGAGCCTATTATTTCCAAATTATAGTCCAGATTGTAGTAAGTAATTAAAGTTACCGGTAACACTAAAATTACTATAATTAAGTAAAGTAGGATGTGGAAATAAATTGGTTACAAAGGGTGTAAGTGAGGTTTTTCATTCTTGGGTATTGATTTCAGACAAGGATATAGGAATAAGGTTGTTATTTCACAGGATATCGGAGTCTAAGCAAACTTTCTGTGTATTTCATCTCTCTTTTTTGCTACCTAAACTATAATTCTTACACATTTATCAAATATTAATGTTAGTTACTGATATAATCCATACTGAATAAAATCCGAATTAGGATTGTGTTGGGAAGCTGTTGGTCAGGCAGCTCACATGGAAAAATATTTCGCAGATTCAGATGGATCTGACTATATTTGCGCAAAGATCCCAGGATTCTCTATCACCTCACCCAGTATCAAATTAACAAGAAGGAAAAAAAGACCACAAAATAGTATACCATATGTGATATCATCTATCACAAAACAATGACAAACCTTGTTTTATTCATTTTTTCCAGATTCTTCCACCGATCTACTAGCTTGTTGAGTTTATATTCTACTTCCTGTGACCTATGACCCCTGTGCCCACCAATGAGTTTTTCACCCAGGCTCTGGAGCTCTGCTTTTCTATCTTCAGCCCCAAACATTTCATTTTGATATTGCTGTAGATTAAATAAATTATGAATATTAATATATCTCATATAAATATATGTTTTAAAAACCTAAGAATATATTTATTTTACTAAAAAAAGTCTAATACGAATTGAATCAAGAAAATACGTGTTTTAGCCTCAAATACGAAATTCAATCTAATATTTGGAAATATGTCATTATTGGACAATATAATACTATTTGGGACTGCTCAGAAATATTAAATTTTTGTTGTAAAAAAAGAATGATTTATCTATTCAAAATTACTTGTGAGCTATCTCATGAACCCTGCAAATGTGCTAACAAATTTAAAACTAACGAAGGAAGAGTTTAAAGTTAATAGAATATCATAAAAGTATCAAAATTCATCAAAACGACAAATACCAAAGTAAAGCAATAATCTAACCTTTTCAAGCTTTTCCATCAAATCTTCGATTGGCAATTCTGGATTTTGTGATATTTTTTCTTCCATATTACTCAGCCATTCACAGAGTTCTCGATATTTTTCATCAAAATCATCCCATTCACCAAGTCTGAGTTAATATTGAAGCAATATAAATAAACCAAATTTTTTTTTGACAGAATAATAGTTTAGAGAGTCAAAACTCACAGTTAGTTTTGTTTTATATAAAAGTTTGTTCGGAGCCAGTCTTAATATTTAGGATGGAAACAAAAACCAGAGTCTACACTGTCTAGAACAGTGTTTTTTAAACGATGGGATCGTCCCACAGGGGGGGGGGGGGCATAGAAAATTTTTTGAGGGGGTTTGAAGCTATTTAAAAATAAAAATATTTGTTAGATTTGTTCTCGCCCGCCTTATTTTGGATATTTACATTCAAAACTTTCCATTCATGTATTTTCAACACGTTTTTTGGATAAAACATACTTTCGCCTTACGGTCTGTTATTTGTAGCTTGTTATTTGCTAGTTATTTTCGAGGTGGACGTAAGACTTGACAAATGCTAGAAAAGGGGGCGCGACTTAAAAAGTTTGACCACTGGTCTAGTACCAGTAGAGAGGAGGAGAATCCCACCAAACAGAAAGTTTTTGAAAAAGATTTATAGCATAAAAATTTTGTGAGATAAGAAAATCTCCATCATAAATTCAAATATATTTTTCATTATAAATTTATTATCAATATTTATTATGAATTTGAATCTACTTTTTTCTAGTAACCCAATAATTAACAACATGGGACTAAGAGTAATTGTCTGATTATTCTGATTATTTTTAATCTCTAGTCAAAAATCTACACGATGGTAAGAAAGAAGATCCGAGAGAAACCGAAATATGTTCCAATACCAAGGCAGTGTGTAGGCATATATGTGGTTGCTTTACCAAGAAGCGCCCAACCTCTAGTCCACTGGTTCTCAACCAGTGGGCCATGGCCCACTGCTGGGCCACAGGAACATTTTAGGTGGGCCACGGACCTATTAAAAATTGTTGGAGTTAAGTTGGAGTTGGAGTTCGATAATGTTAGTTATATTTGATGGTAGTAGCAATGGATGTTGCTGTGGCAATTTTCACCCAACTATTATTAAAGTGAAAGTGTTCATTCATGCAGGAGGAATTCTATGTTTTTCTTGAAGTTTTTCCCCCGCATAAAAATGTTAGTTGGCCACAGAATTTTAAGAAAAAAGGTTTGAGAACCACTAGTCAGTGCAGAGTAAGTATTCAGGGGAGAAACTTTTACGATTGAGCAAGAGCTGAGACGGAAATATGTCAAATTTGACATAATTATCACAATTTTTCTATTAAATGGCCAACCTTGCTTCAATCAAACTTTTCCTTTGCTGAGTTTGTTCTCTCAACTCCTCCCATTGATTGCGAACAAGTACTGCTCGTTGGCGCAAAAGGGCAATATCTGCCCGAGAGATGTCGCTGCATAATTCTTCCACACTGACCTCTAAAGCCCTGAAAGAACAAAAATGAAATGTCACAGTTTTGAAAGATATGATTTTTTTAATATTCAATATCGTTTTATAGGATTTGAAATTATTGATGTTCATGCCAAGAATGAATATGAAACAATCAGTGTTAGTTTTGTAGTCGAACCAAGCTTTTTTATTAAAATCAAGTCAGAGTTTTGAAAAAGAATTGTTAATGGTCTACATATCATGGGGGGAGTCAAATCTGTGAATAACCAGAGTTGATTATGGATAAAAATACCAGTTTACTCAAGTCCTGTGCAAAAAAAGTCTCGTAGGTTTATTTAAAAATACTAGACTCAATTTCAACTTTTCTCAGAAAGGAATCTTTTACTCTGGTAATGGCGCTTACCTTAGCTTATCACCAGTCATATCAAACATAATCTCTCGGTCTCTGCATTTTATCATAGCTGAATGTATTTCATCATGATCAACAGAGTGAGATTGTGCCAGAACCTTCTTTGTATCTCGAAGCCATCCCAACATCTCTGTGATTTTGTGTTCACAGTCGTTCCAGCGAGAGAGTAGTGACTGCAGGTCTCGCCTGAGATAGATAGATTGTTCAATGGTTTGTTCAATGGTTACAATATTCCATGTAATATATAGTTCATGTCTGGAATTATTTTATGTCCAGCTATTACCGAACTCGGTCAAACATGGCCACACGATTAAACCCTTATAAATGTGAAAATATTATCCTATTTTATTTGCTATTTCTTTTGTTCATTTAGAGAGTTCGGAGTTTCAAATTAATACTAAAAATTTCAAATTTGCCAATAATACAGCATTCATATGAATGAACTTGTATTCAGCAAACCCCTCGCACCGTCAGAATTGGGAACTGTGAGCCATCTGTTGGTTAATCATGAAAAATTCAAGATACTTAGTTGTGCATAAATAAATTTGAGGGAATTTTCGGAAGTTGATACGATATTAAACCAAATGGGATACCGGCATTGAAAACTTTTTATTTAATTTGACTGGTAAGCCTTGCTGCATACTAACACAAATGCATTACCCCAGAAATACAATAGTGTGCAGCATGATTCTTAAATTAAATAGAATAATGATTTTTATTCTTGCTACAGCATCCTTGCATTAAATGCATTCGGATCCACTAGTGCGAAGTCATAGGGCACAGAAAGGTAGTTAAGTTAGTTAGTCTTGCATATCCCTAACTATTAGCTTATTATTACTATTATGAATGAAAGCAAATCTTACTTTTTCTGTTGAATGGTTTTATTGATTGCTAGCCAGTCATTATGTAAAGAAGAAAGTTCTTTTTTTAATTCAGTTGTGCTGAAGTCATGAGTAATTGGAACAACATCTTTGCCTGCTTCTAATGTAGAACTGCATTGAACTTCATTCAAAGAAGCTGATTTCTCCAGAGCCTGTGATAAACAAGTCAAGCATTATATTAAAAATATTACTTATTGTATCGTTTGGGGTTGTTTTCATGTTTATTTAGATGGAGAGAAAAATGATAAAGTAATTTAATTACATTACTAGGTATGAGCTTCTGGTTCAGAATAGACAGACTTGGATGAAGAAGGAGAGCAAAACTAACCCGAAGTGACATGAAACACTCAGAAATTTGACCCTAGTCATCCTCATAAGCAGACAAGTACTTGACATATGGTTCAGGTATATAGATACATATACTGAGAATAGCCGGCCAAATATAATAGTATGCTCGCTGGGGAGTAAGGTAACATTTTAGATAAAATGAACATCTTCAGCCCTTGAATTATTCATAAGAAAATAATACATAATCTGTCTTAAGTAATTAGGACACAATGACCCCATGGTCAAAAGGTCAAGCCTAACTAGTTAGTTGAAATAGTAGATTAAAACCTTGGTTAGAATATTTTCTCATGTTAGGTGTAAAAATATTGTAGAGCTTTAGATATCCATAACTGCTCATCCAGAGTCCTGCTCAGAGAGAAAGAATAAATATCCCTTGAATAATCTCACATTTAATTTCTCTAAGTCGCTTTTCATTCCATGAACAGTTTGATGTATACGTTTCTCACAATCCAACTCTCGAATCTGTTTTTTTGCCGACTCCATCCACGAAACAAACCGATGTTTTTGTTGATTGTAGGAAACCCACAACTTAATTCCTTCATCTATTGTGAATTTTCTTTGTTGCATTCTCTTCATTACCATCTGCCATTGACTACTCAGTTCATCAAGTTTGGTTTTGAATTCACTTCTGAAATTAGAAATACCGGTAGATATAAATGCATTTCCTAATAAATATATTTATAAAAAAAGTTATATAATGCCCATTATAAAAATAGCGCTAGCTTTTGGAGGTATAATTCAATGGAGATCACACACATTTAGACAGCACAAAATGAGAATAAAATAATTCGCTGCATCAACTGTTACTTATTAAAAAAGTTATTGCAATTATGATTTTCACCTTTCTTCATCAGATCCATTTTCTAATAATTTTTCTCCATCTGAGATGATTGCTTGAAGTATTAGTTGGCGTCCCATCATTTCGATAGTGAATAATTCAAGTGTTCTAAAAAAAGGATAAATGTTTTGAAGATTTGTGAACGAATTTTATTCATATATACTTGTAAATGGATAATAATGATATGAAATTATGAGGAATAAATGCTTAAATTGAATTAGTCATGAATAGTGTAGTGTGGGATTCTAATTATTCATCATTTTATCTAGGCATAATTTTTTTTTCAGTAAATGACTGGGTGGTAATGACAATCATTTCGGGTCATCAGTGTCTGTTACGACTTAATACAATTACAAAAATGTTTTGTAATTGCAGGTGCAATGTTTAAGTAAATCATTAACTTGTCAAGCATGGTCTATCAATAAATGTCATGATTATGTGATATGGGCACTATGTACACATTCTGTCTATTGAGCAGTTTGAATTGAACTGCCTCAAGTCTCTCGCTAAATAATAGTTTTGGCGCCTCTGACACCCCTTTTACGCACAGTTTAACAGCAGCTTCCGGTATCTCAGTGAACGGTCATTTTTTGTTTCTCATTCTTGAGCTTAGAGCAAAGTCTCATTAAAAAACATCAAAACTTGAGTAATTTATTTCTGCTGTTGACTAAGATGAAGAATTTGCAGAAGAAGCACTGGGTGGCTACTGCTTTATCCAGCATCAAGTCCATGCATCCAAAACAATAACTGGCTAACTAGTCCCATACCCAATATGGACTGGTAATCTGACATGAGCCTGTGGTTTGCCTTATGCGGCTTCCCTCTACACTGAGATAATTATGCAAATCCTATTCTATCCTAAAATTTACCTTGACTGCTCCAATAATCCTTCATAAGTCGAAGCAACATCATTTGTCAGGCTGGATTCCATTTGTGCAATAAACAGCATCCATGATTCGCATTTCTCAGTGAAGTTGAGATGCCGTAAATGCAGAGACTGCAGATGTTGGAACCTTGAAAAATATTGAGTATGAAGATGAGTAGTTAGATGATAGCTAATGCATGGTTCTGAGCTTTGAAAACACATTTGCCATTGCATTGCTCTACACCAGCGGTTTGCAACCGGGGTCACAGAGCTGTCGGAGGGGGACACGATACCCATTCTTCCAAGTTTCTTTGCTTGAGGTTTTTTAACAGGGTGTTTACTTTTTAAGCATGAATATTTTAAACATTATGGGATTTTAAATCTAGCAATCAAAATAACACTATAAATTTCACTGAGATGATGTGTAGGGGGTATGAGTGCTGGAAGCCTCTGCAAGGGGGCCACAAGTCATAAAAGGTTGGGAATCATTGCTCTACGCCTTCAATCTTATAAGAATATTAACTGTCACATTATTGCACTTACTGCATGCCAGTTACTGATTCCTTCGATAAAGGTGTTCAATGTTTTTGATTTATCATAAACATACAAGAAGCTTTCCTTCAAGCAAATTACTACAATATTACATATTCATGCTTATTAAAAAGAAAACAATAACAAATAGGTGGTAAACCAAACTAGACTGAGTCAGATACTGAAATTAATAATCAGCACAAAGTTCTATTTAAAGATCTTGTTGGTGGTGGATGTTAAATAAAATGTAATTGAGTGGATTTTCTACTTACATTTCAGCAGTTTTCTTTGATATTTCATTCCATCTTGCGTTGAGATGTTGCAGTTTGGTTACATGAACATCTTGCAAAGGTAGTTGATATCCAAGAGAGTTTAACTCATCAAGTAAGGTTGAATATGTCTTGAAGGCTTGGAGTTGAATCTTGAGTTCTTCCATACGAGACTAAAAAACAATTTAAGGATTGATTGGATTGGAGGTAGGAAAAACGACAAAACACAGATAAAAAATATGACTAGTTACGGTCTAATCAAAGTCAGGTATGAAAGCAGCAAAGTAGCCAATCACTTTAAATGAACATAGTTATACAGGCACACATATTTATAATATAATGCATACTCAGCAGAAGAATTTGTTTTTATGGATTCCAAAATAATTATGAAAATGTTTTCATTCTTGATGGATAAAAAGCTAAACAACCCTGAAATCCAAAATTACTTTTCAGCATAACACTTTGTTTTTAAACTTGTGGCTGTGGAACCTAACCCAAGCTTAAGTCGATTTTGTTTCTTTGAGGGATACCAAAATGTTTGTTGGTTTTTATATTTTTAAAAACACTTGCTTATGATACCAATTTAGCATTTGCTGGTTTAAAAAGTATGATAAAGATTAAGCACTCATTAGATCGATTTCAGGAAGAAATTGCTGAGAAGGATTGCCAACTATTTAATTTTTGGTATGCTTGACCTCGTCATCCATGACCAACATTTAGTGACTGACATTTGTTTGCATGAAACTTCCTATGAAGTAAAAGGTGTTCAGTACACATCTTTTTGACTATTCAGTTTTCATGGAACTTTAATCAGGAAACTCACATAATTCAGTACATGATGCCTCAATTGCCCAACCAAAATACTAAAACAATCAAACCTGAATAACTTTTTCATCAATGGATGTGTCGTTCTGTTCTACAGCAGATTCAGCCTCATTCAACCAGGTTTCAAGAAATCCATATTTTTCTTTGAAATCCATAATCTTTGATTTTTCATTCTTCAAATGGTGAATTGTGTTTTGTAAATGATGATTTGTGTCTGTCAGTGCTTGTTCGATCCTAAAAGTATATAAAGTTTCAATGTGAATAAGGGATTCCCATTTTAATCCTCAATTATGTTTTATTTGTTGCCCTACTACTACAAAGCACTCAACTCAACAACTCATTCTGGAATCTATATAAGCAATCACTCATCTAGTTACAAAGCAAATAGGATTTAAAGTGCAGATATATTATGTATATTGTATATCATGTACTACTTTAAACAGGCGGACACAAAACTAGACTATCTAAGCTGCAATGTCGGAACTACTTGACCGGGCACCTATATTAAATATATCCAATTTGGTAGGCGATTCTAAATTGAGAAGACTTGGGTCTTTCTCACCTGCTTGTCAAGAGACTAGATTTTAAACAAATTTAAAACATCACACAGCAGAACTTGCAAAAAATTCACACAAACCTAGTATTTTGCCCATTGATACGAACAGCTGATGATGGAGTCATCAGTTGACCAATTTCATCACCAAATGTTGACAACTCTGCGATTGATGTTTCAAGCTCTGAGCAGCTGTGCAAAAGCTCCTGAATTAAAATCAATTGTAAAAGTTTTAGTAATAGCAAATTGGATAATTAAGATAGAATAAGAAATTTCATATTTTTCTTGAAAAATGGAAATCCAATAAGAGATCACATAATGAAATATGAACTTAGTCCACTTATCAGTCTAAGCAGGCGATCTGAGTATTCATATTCAGATAGTTTGGCACTTCCACATAATGGACTCCTATAGCAGCAGAGTGTACAAATCAGAGATGGTCAGGGAGTTACCAAAACTGTCCTCTGGTAATGAGAAGTCCACAGCCTCAGCAGGATTCGAAGTTGCTAACGTTTGACACTTAAGATTTTTCAGAGAAAATCAACGAATGATTATACAAACTCCGTACTTAAAATCATTAATTTGTAAAAAAATAGTCAAATTTTTCGTAATATAAAAATCTCAATTCAAACCTGAGCTTTCATTTCACATTGTTGAGGATCTTCCAGCATGGTTTGTGATGTCATAATAGAATCTGATTGTGATATTACAGTGTACAACTTATTTTCAGCTTGTTGGTATTGGTTTTCATATTCTGACCAAACTTCTAAACTTTTCTTATATTTTGAAAAAAGTTCGTCAACAGATGCAGATAGCTCATTCCATCTGAAAATTGAAGAATAGGTAATTGAAACCTATGAACTACCCCTGTTCACTCCTGATTAGAAAATCGATAAATTTGCCAGTGGCAACTATTACAAAATTATTACAATGGTGTGGCTAATAGTTTTTTGTTTATTTTTTTTATTATTTTTTGTTCACAATAAGTTTATCCTGCTTTTATACTAATTTCTCTGTGGTCATGTGTGAGTGCGTGCGATCATGTGTGAAATGATTTAATAATTTTAGGTGTGTGAACATGCACCACTTCTTCTTAGCAAAACCTTTCATCTCATATTCTGTAAATATAAAACCTTTTTGAACTTTATCTGAGATTTCGCTCTCCTGATTTCATAATCAGTTTTTATTTATCTGTTTTTATAAATCATTTTATTGTATGCCGATTACGGAGTTAAAATAAAGTTATACTTGTACTAAAGCTGAGAAAGAAATCGAGTAATCTAAGATGTGTCTGGGAAGCATATATAAGCTTCGATGACTAGGGATGGTACTAGGTTAATTATAGACATTATCATAGTATAGTACCGGTAGGTTATTTTTCTACAATAACAAATATACATTTTACAAGTACAGAATGTAAAGTGAGATATTAAAGGGCATTTGAGTGGAACCATGCGCAATCAAATTTAATGGTAATTAATACTAGTTTTTAACAAAAAAAAAAAAAATAGAACAATAAATGCTAAAATGTTATCATTAATAGATGTTGAGGTATTCTAAATATAACCATTAACCACCCTAACTCGCTATCTTTTCACAACACAAATTAAACTGTTAATCTGACAGTTAATGACTGACCCATTAATTTATATAATAAAATATAAGGGGAATAAATAGGAAAAAAGCCATCAAAATTCATAGAGAGGTATGACTCAGTGAACATATTGCATTGTACCTTGCATCCAATGAGTTGATTTTTCCTCTGACATCGTCTGCTGTTATGACATCACAAATTGCAATGAGACTGCTTGATTCAACTTGAAATAGTTGTTGTTGAAGACTGTGTCGTCTGAGTTCATGCTGAAGTTCTGTGAAGAGGACATACATTACAGAATATATCATTAAAATGCATAATTGATACTAAAGGACTATCATGTGACTATCATTCCCTCACAAATGTGAGGAAAAACACTCACATTTGTGTCCATAATGACAAGGCTTCTTATTGAAAACAGTTTTTCATATTCTACTGTTATCACAGAACATGTAACTGTTGGCCTATTCGGGCTTCTACACTATATCTGTCTATACACTTGAAAGCTGTTATTTCAATTTGACTTTGTGCGGTTTAGTACACATTTTCCTTGAATACCCCATGAGAAAAGATTTTGTGCAATTGCTGAACTCCCAATTATTGCTGTAGTGGTTCACATAATTGTTGGTTTATTACAGCTTTGCTGGGCTTATGTATCTGGAACTATTGACTGAATAGCTATGCTCATACTTGGCCTGGAGGGTTGGCATATAGTTAGGACATTGCATTGACTTTCCTCTCCCCCAGGATGAAATTCTTAATCCTGAGATAAATATGAGAAATCAAAATGAGAGACAATAAAATTGATTACCTTCAAGCTTGGAAAGTTGTGCTGCTACAGCTTCCATAGATGCATGAGCTTTAGAGCATTGAAGTAATGAATGTTCTATGGAATCGAGTTGTTTGGTTGTGACATTCTCAACAGAATTGAATCTGAAATACAATAATGATGGCTTCATACCTTACAATCTATCTAATAAAGCTAATTAATGGCACATTTAGGAACAAGGAATTAGTTAGTTAGTTGTGTTTAACCCAGATTATTGGGGGCTAGTTCACTAAACACTGTCAAGTACTTCTAGTTGTGGTGGCATATGTCATTTCTAGCCCCCACCTGACTATGCCATCCAAAAATTAGTTAATCACAACGTCACAGTGACGAAATAAGGCCTGTTAAAGTGGACGGATTGTCGTCCAAAACGCGCAGACGATCACCCGAAATCAAGAAAGCTTTTTCTCTCGTTTTCTCGTCGTGACAATACTGATTATGAGAGAGATCGCTGGCGTTAGCGAGTTCGTTATCGTTGGCAGAGTTGCCATTTTGGGCAATCATAGCTTTTCTTTAGCGATCTCTATGACGTGATTGTGATGTCGTAGTGACGTAATTTTTGGATGACGTAGTTAGTTGGGGGTTAAGAATAACATATGCAAAAACGTCTGTGTCACGCCAACTAGAAGTAGTTACAGCGTTTAGTGAACATGCGCGGATTATTGTACTCTAAAAGTACTTGGTAAAGTAAAATCACCTCGTCATTTTGTTATTTCCTATTTTTTATATCTTTACATGTTAACACCAACATAAAAATCTTTACAGAATAAACATACCATGTTTCTCTCAAAAATAAGACCTAGTCGATAGCGTAAAAATTTTTTCGACGTAGCCAAAAGCAAAAACATTTCCTACTCATTTTAAATGCTTAGTAATCTATGTTTAGCAGTTATTTTAAACAAAAATGAAAAAAATGATAATGAAAATAAAATACATCCCCCTAAAATAAGCCCTAGTTTTATTTTTCAGAAGAAAATTGAAATATTATTTATTTTTAAGAAAACACGGTATGTTACATTTAGTATATCACTAACCTTTCCCAAACTTCTAAAGCTTTTTTTAGATTTCTTTTCTGTTGATTGAGATGGTGTTCTAAAATCACCCATGTTTGATTGAGTCGAGCAAGATTTGAACTGCCGACCCCTGGCTCAGGTGATTCTGCTCTGAATTTGTTGTTCTTGGTTGCAACAAGATCTGAAAAAATGATTTGCATTATTTGTTAGAGATTAAGAGTTGAAATCTTGGAAACTTTCAGCACTTCGGCCTCTTTCATTTTCAATTTTATATTTATCATAAACAAAACAACATAATATATTCATCCATTTCCATTCATTAATTTAATTAATTCAGAGATGACTGAGTTGTTTCAGATATTTTAGCCAAAGTAATTAGATGCAGGAGCTCCTGCTTGTCTGGCACTTTGTTTATTGCAACAAATTTCAATCATACTCACAAGGTTTTCATAATACTGTAAAAGCTAATTGACCCAGTGTGTGAGACTAACTTGGTCCACATAAAGACATTAGGACACCCATTTTGAGCAAACTTTGTATAATACACATACCGGTGGCATACATTGGAATATAAAGAAGAAAAATATAAGTCATTTAGTAAAATTAATAAAGACCTTTATAATCTTTTTCCAATCTTCTGATTTCTGAATATTTCTTTTTCAATTTTGGTTCCAAACCCTGGAGTTTCAACAGCGCTCTTTGAATTTGAGATTTATTACCGGGTTCTGAGTTTTGTTGACATGTCTAAAAATTAGTGTGAAATAAAATTCCCTAAATGATCACAGAAAATTAAACACAATATACAAAAATGCAAACTGCACGTATAGTAATAATGAGAATTGATATTTTAAATTAGGCCTTGTGAAGATTCTGATAAATGAAAAATGGTTTAACTTGGAACTCGGCCATGATACAATACTATTACAATACACAAGATAAACATAAGCATATGAATTAAGTAAAGTTGCCAGAACTTGAGATTTAATATTTTTAAAATAAGATAAATTACTGTAGTCTTTAGTCGTTTCAAATCATAAAGATTGCAAATGTAATGAAAAAAAGTCTCACCTCCAAATGATCATCAATCCAGTGTTGTATTTTATTTATTGCTTTTTCATGTTCTGTCCATTTCACTAATTCGGGTTCTAGTTGGCTTATACAGTTGTCAACCTGAGTTAAAATAAATTTGAATGATTGGAAAAGTAATTTGTGAGGTACTTTGTGACTGGTACCTAAAAAAATTCATTTTTTCTTTGTTTAACAATAAACACAAAAGGGGAATTAGAGATTTCTAATTTAATTGGATTTGTATTGTACCTAAAAAAGGATGTTGACAGATATGACGTAAATTCAATAATCATAAAGAGAACCGTGGCTAGGTTAGTATGGGAATTAATAACCAATTATTCATAACATATCGACAAACTTCCCCTTTTAAAAATTTTAAAAAATGAAATTAAAAAAAAAATTATAAAATGCAACATAAAATAACCCAGACTATGATTTCTGACCCGAGCTTTGAGTATTTCCCATTCCATGTTCATATGTCCCAGTTTATCAGCAAATTCAACTTCACTTTGTCTTGGAGAAAATGGATCAGCAGATGCTGAAGATTTATTTATAAAATCGATAGTGACTTGTTTGACTCTGATCTCCATATGATAAGCCTGTGAACATACAAATTATCAGTGTTAAGTAGAAATCCCTATATCCCGGGTCAAGTCAAGTAATGGGCCATCTGAGTGTGGAGTCGCTTAGTTCAGTACGAGTCCAAGTCATTTCATGTAGTGGTGCATCGTGCTAAGAATTAGGAATACACTCGCCAATGCACCTCTGATTACCCTGTGTGGGTTCGCAGGTTAAATACTCATGTGGGGATAGATATGGGTGGGAGGATTGCTGGATTCTTCGCTGCCGTAGGGTGGTTCATGTAACAGCTGGTCGGCTACAGCAGGGCTACTCAACTGGCGGACCGCGGTCCAAATCCGGACCATTCAAGTATTTGATTCGGAGCGTACCTAATTCTTTATTTTAGATCATTAGCCCCACTTTTGTAGTTCACTACTATAAAATGACTTTTATAGTTTTGAATAAATATAAAAAGAACTATAACACCATAATAAACAATCTTGATCAGCTAATAATCATTAGCCGGTCGAGAAAGTGCGCGTTTAAGAATGCCGAATACAATTTCTGTAAAGATCGAACTAAAATAATTTTGAAGTTTTGTATGCGGATCTTCAGTGAAAATAGTTGAGTAGCCCTGGGCTACAGCATCCTCCACCGTCAAGTCCGTGCTTTCGAAAACAAATAACAGTTAAACTAATCCCATTCCCAACATGGACTGGTAAATGGACGAGAGGCCGTGGTTACCATGGAATTAGGTAGGCTTATCGACCTTCCTTTTCCCTCCGGATTTAGGATGGCTATGGGTTTAGCTAACCAATAAAGCAACCGATCAGGATGATAAATAATCAATGGTGCAGTTTCCTGCACATTAATTCAATGATTCGAATTGACTGTGGTGCAATGGTTAGAGTAGTCTTCATACCTACTTTAATATCCAAATTATTACAAATTAGAAAGTACCTTGTAGGATGCAAGATGGTCTTGTACAGCCTGTGAGCCAGTTGTTTCATAAGAATCTCTTTTCATTACATCTAGTGATGCATTTGTTTGTTCAACCCATGAAACCATTTGTGAAATAGCTTGTTGAACTGGAAGCAGATTGACTTGAGCCTGAAAAAATATTAAATACCGAGTTGGGTAACCACAGAATTTGTAGAATTTGATAATTGTGCACACAACAATAGGAACCCATTGCAAAAGTCTTGTCACGACTGATTGGAAGCTTAATACTATGACATATGCATATATCGTGTATTTAACAAAATTAAATGGTATTAAACTTTAACAGATGACTAAAGCATATGCAAGCAAGGTAAAATTATTGCTACAAATTTTCTTTTGGATGAATATAGAATATTTATATGCCCCCCTAGTATTGTATATATAAACCTACAACATTTTTAAATGGCTTTTAACCTGAATCTGGACTGGAATCTTTCCGTTTGATATCACCTACCCAATTTTTACACCCTGGATAAGGTGGTGGGCATAATATTGAAACCAGATATTTTTACCTCCGATGCCCGGTTCCATTACATTTGAACCCACGTACATTTGAACCCACAACAATAGCACCTGCATACTATTGCACCTATGGATTTTTTTTGTTTAACGGTTAATTTAACCCATACTAACCCTAACCCATGGGTTTTAGCACCCGCATATAGATTGAACCCGCGGATATACACATGGGTTCAAATGTACGGTCACCACGATGCCCACATAGTTGAGTTTCCTGATTCAATCACGGCCATGTAATTTCTAAATATAACCATTTCACTAAGTAAATAGAATTAAATATTGATATCTAATAGCAATTAACCTTATGTAATCTTTCACTCAATTCAGGTAATGACTTCTCCATTTTCGCTGTTTCATTATCAATGTCAGTCATTCTGTCTTTCATTTTATTCAAATTATTCCTTTTAAGTTGATGCAGTTTTTCCACCAATTTTCGAAGTTCATTTTCAAACATCTTTATTTTCTGAAATTCCTGAACTAGTTTCTGGAATTCCTTGGCTCTGTATAACAAAATTGCAATTTTAGGAATAAAAATACTGTGAATCACTCCCCATCAATAGGACAAATGATACAAGCAGTTTGGTTGGGCTCAACAAGAACTAGGGTTGGCAAAAATCTGGATATCTGATATGAATAATCTTTCTTTAAACGAGGTTGCTAGATATGATTTGAATTGAAACTAGCAAGAACTAATGCCTATGTGGAAAATAGATATATTTATATTCATACTCAACAACAAATGAATATGAAAAAACAGTGAAAATATCTCTTAATTGGTACATTACAATAACTCTGTGATATGCTGAACCTGCCTATTGTTTCTGCTTATTGTATGCACTATCTAAACCCCAAATTTCAATGCCACAAATTGTAACCTGAAACTGTGCCCTATTTATTCAACATTTTATATTTTTGCCCCAAACAAGGGTCTGCATTACTTCAAATAGAATCATTGAATTATTTATAATATGAAATGAATAACCTCATACCTATGTCAAACTAGTAGTTCGTTAGGAAGTTATATAGCTCTATAGCTGAGTTTCCTCTTCTTTTCAGTATTAATTATCATTTCTTATTTTATCCACTAAACTGTCAATCAATTATATTTTTGCAATAATTCACAAAATAGTTAATTTATTATAAACAATAAAGGTAGCTTTATTCCTTTTTTTTTTTTATTCAAATGTACCTACACATGCATATTACCTATAAAGTTTTCAAATAGATTCATATAAAGTATCTGGATGAGAAAGCTATTTTTAGCCATGTTGTTTAGCCTATATTAGCAATGTCCCCATCCAGTTATAAAATAAAGTATTATTCTATCTTGAGCTCAATAACTTATTCCATGTCATATACAAACATTCCTATTTAATAAAGCACTTCAGTACATCATTGCTTGGTCAGAGCTAATTAAACACTATAAATCTGGCAACTAATATCTCTGCAATATTAAATTCCAAATATCCAATGTCATGTATGTTTCATAGATAAAACATGTACACTGAAGTCTCAGCTTGAACAATTATATTGAAATATTTATTCAAAGACACAAGCTGCATTACGTTTGGCCAGTCATGATCTGTACTTCAACCTAATTCATAAATAATTTTATACAAAGCGTGGGGTTCTTGAATGTTGCCAGGAAACTAGTATGACAGAATAAATAGCGTTATTGTTACAAAGCAAATATGAAATTAATAGACAAGGTAAATCAAAATCAAGGGCCAAACTTGCTGTAAAGGTAATTTGACAATTTATTAACAGTTTAACTTTTGTCTGATATTGAATACAATTTGTCTTCTGAGATGAAGCTATAATTAATGGCATATGAAAATCTCCAATTATCAGTAAATAATTATTTATATCTAGAATCCATCTATGAACTATTATCATACAAATAGGAAAATGAGTCGAAACTTAATTATTGTCTTTTATGCAAATCTTTGCAGTTACTGAATAGTATGGAAGCTTGAGTGACATGAATAAGATTTTAAAGATATATGAAATAGTAGAATGTTTAATGTAACCACCGTTTAGTACGCCATTTAATCTACAACAGCAAAATCCTGGACTGACCAGAGCCCTACAATACAACCCATCCTACAATAATTCTTCAAAATCATCCATATTCCACTTAAATTAACAAATTACTGTTTATAGTACCTGTAGTAATACTGGAATTAGTAACAGAAGCTAATCAATACATCTCTAATTTTAGTCGAATTTCCTGATATTGGTCTATTTACTGAACAGAGCCATCGCATTGTCTCACACTTACGTTATATATTCGGCTTTCTAACTAACTGTGAGTATTATAGTTACAATATTTATACCTTTAGCGGGAAGATAAGGTTAAATTACTTATTCAACTAACGTTTGTATACAGAAGTCAAACGTTTGGTAACAATTGCTACTTGTAGTTAATTACCATTTTTACAGCCTCCCATGTGTAAAACCATAATATAAGAAATTTAGTTTCTTTATTTCATTACTAAACATCTCTTTTTAAATATTTCAAATTGACAGTTTATAAAGCGTTGTTACGTATGCCTTGTCATGTGCAATTGTGTCAAATTTTGGTACTTAAAAAGCTGAATTATGTATTGAAGGCTAATATTATTAAACTTCAAAAATTGTAAAATCTTATTATAAAAGTTAAATATTATGGCATACTATGCCCACATACAAAATTCATAATTTGTTTTCACAATCAACAGCTCAGGTTGAACAAAATACCATACCAGCTGTTTCTTTCTGCAACAATAATATGCTGCTTTTTTAGCAAAGATTTCTGTTATTGGTGGTGAATATGTAAAGGAAAATTTCACAAACTATAAATGTAATTTATCGAAAGCTTCGGAAAAAAATCGAATTTTAAATTTTTTCACTCAGATGTACTAAATAATATTAAGAATTATTCTACCTCTCTGTAAATATCACATGGAATACCCTATGTATCAAATGACAAATCAAATGACAGTCACTCATTAGAATAACCTCGTTAAATAATACACTCATCAAATCTGCCAAATTGTACTTCCAATTATATATAGAATAAAACTCATTTATTCCTAAATTTTGATTTTTTAAAATCTTTCTAAACAAGGTTGCTAACATCGGCTTAATTAAAAATAGCAAAAACTAATGACTATGTGAAAACTAGATATTTTTATATTCATAATCAAAAACAAATGAATATACAAATAAAAAACAGTAAAATAATCTCTAATTAGTATATTATAATAACTCCGTGATAGACTGAATCTACCTGTTGCTTCTGCTTATTGTATACACTCTCTAAAACCCAAATTTAAATGTCACAATATGTAACCTCAAACCATGCCCTAGAGCAAAATAGTTACACATGGATCAATTTACTAACAAGTTTAAATGCCCGGTTATGCCTCGTTTAAGGTATTTATGCTGACGACATGATAAATGACGTAACTATAGTCTGATTATTAGAAGATTATGTTGGATCAGCTTGTAAGGTTAAATGTTCATATAGTAGTTTGCCTATAGGGAAGAAAGACGCATGTTATATATAGACAGACAATACTATACAGTGAACAAGGATGGATAATGGACATCTAAAGCCCTATAGATTATGTTGGATTAAGTTAAGTTTGTATGGTTATGTGTTCATAGTAGTTTACTTATAGAGCAGAAATATTGTTGTTATACCCAGAACTACTGTACTGTAAAAAGAATGATGGACATCTAGGGACAGGCTTCTTTATATTTTAAGAATTTTAAACATAAATAGGCTATAGATAATAATTCATCTATAGCCCACATCTAATTATGTATGAATAATCCGGTATTTCTTGACCACAGACTTAGAGATTATAAGGTTATGAGTTGAACACCCAATCAAGCTTGAGTAACAGACCAATGGGGGCTACCAATGAATATGTATGTATATGAGAAGCACTGGAGCATAATCTGCATTAATACGGATTGTATAACGATTAGGCATAGATTAAAACTAAGCAATGCAAAAACATTTTTTTTTAATCAATTCACTTCAGACCAATACCTTTTGATTTTCTGCTATTTATTTTGCTATTTAATGATATTATAAAGATAAATTTGAGTCATATAAAAAATTGACAGGATTTTAATTGCTCAAATTTCAACAGTAGGGACGTAATGTTTATTTTGACATTGGGCATAATGTAATAAAGCAGTTATGGACTTTATGCATCGATGGAAGGATTTCATCATGTTCAAACCCACTACCAAATAAACAACTGCTTTCTGCTTTATATACAAGTAGAATCATATACCAAACAGCGAGTTCTAGCTTTCGACCTGGAAAATGGTGGATTTTATCCAAATTTATATTTGGAAAACTACAGGGGATAAGATTAGTTTAATATACATATTCATGGGCCAACTTTGAGGAAAATTAAAATTGACGAAAAACATATCTTACTTTGTTTTCGCAGCTGTTTCACTCAAATCAGATGCTTCAATGTCCTGGACAATCTCTGCAGGTTTATCTGAGTTCTCTGTCAGCCATGCATTGATGTTTGTTGATATAGTGTTGAATCTGCAGAATGAGAATTAGGATTATTTTAAACCCAGAGGAAGAAAACTTAATAAGGACTGAAAAGTAGTGTAATAGGCTTAAAGTTAGCTATGCATAGGCCATTGGACAGTTGATTATCAAGAAAACTAATAAGCATTCATTTAATTTAAACTTTGCAATGATTCACTTACAATACTCAAAAATATTCAAAGCCTCAAAATTGATGAGAACGGCCAATGAGTTGCTCATCTAGCAATGACACATGATTACCACTTAATAATATGTATGATGGAAGATTAAACTATAACTTTCCCTTCCTAAGGATATGTAATTTTCTTTATGTAATCTGCTATTATCATTAGGGATAGCATTTATTAAAACTGTATTTCTATAAATTTATTCACCAATATCATTCACGAATACCAAAGCTTACAATTCATGATACATATAATTAAATATGAGAAAAAGTAAGGCAAAATATTTACTTTGGCAACATTTCTAGTATTGCTGTTAATCTTTCAAGTTCTTGATCAACCTTCGACCCCAAAAGGAGTAGTCTCTCAGAAGTCTCGTTAATGTTCGACTTCAAATCATCACATTTAATAATAAGGAAAATATTGTCAGCTTCATCTACAGCTTGGTGTATTTCTAAAATAAAGAAATATGTTCAGAAGACTCCTGGAAGGCAAATACTGAAATGATTCTCTTATTTTCTACAAGGGGAAGAAAAGAAGATGGGACTACTATATAATATGGCACTATGGCTTCAGCCAATTACACTGTGACTAAAAAATAGTGCCCACGTCATTTGAAACATATTCTATTCTAGAGAGAACATAACATTGTGCAAAGGGTCATAGATTAATGAAACTTTTGGGTACAATCATACATAAACGAAAGTTCCAAGTGATCAATAAACTTTTTTTCCTATTTCCTAGAAATGAGAAATTTATGAATTCTCTTTTATGGCTCGCCTTGTATTTTTCTACCTTCGGTAAGAAAATTGCAAAAATCACTGTCCAGTAATCATGAAGGAAATATTCAAACCCTTGATATTCCCATGGCTTGCCAAATTACTAAGAAATATTATCAATCAGCAAACCTGTCTCAAGTCCAGCAATTTTCTTCTGGATATTGCGCAGACATTCAACATCTTCTTTCAATTTAGGGATACTTTCCTCATTCGGTTCAATTGCTAAAAATTTGCATTCCAGTTCTGTAACCGTACTTTGATGCTGTTGCAGTATGGAATAGACTCTCTCCCAGTCCTAGCAATAAAAAATTTAGTTGTTTAATTGTGGTAAATAGTTGAAAAACAAATAAGCTTAAAATGTGCAAACACAAATTTAGGCTTTGAACTTAATTTTAGGTTTATTTCTGAAATCATTTTTTATTTCTCTATTAAATAGTTTAGCACTTCCCATAACCATTTTGTAGTTTAAAAAAACCTTTTCTAATAATAAGATAACCATTAAAGAAATATATGAGATACTACAGCTGTAATTTTCAAATTTTGTCAGAGAGCAGTAATAGTTACTGCTGGACAAATATTTATTGTGACAGGAACCATTCTTAAGATATATTCATTACCTTTGCAACTTTTCCAAGTTGTTGCTCTTTAGACACAGCTCTGTTTTCCAAAGTTGAATGCTTGGCCTTCAATTCAGTGAATGTCAGTTCATGAAGTTTCAGTACAATGAAGCTGAGTTTACTGGCCAACTCAACACACATGGATCTCTGCTTCTGAAGGCCGTCAAAGTATTCCTATATAGCAATGTAATAGACATTTTTACTAATAAGAGTCCTGTGAATCTATGCTTTGGCTTGGCAGTTTACACATCATTGGTTTGTTAACGGAATCTTCAAGAACAGAAGGTGTTCACTAACCCACTGTCTTCCATAACCATTCATTCACGAAATTATTAAACTGGTCTGCTATTCCAGACCAGACTTGGGCTAGTATTTGGGCCGCTTCATGAGAAAATGGTTTCATAGGTTTTTCTTTCCTGAATGATTGATATTAAAATTCTGTCCAAGTCTGAACATCAAAAATGAATAAACCATTTGGTATTTATATATCTGACATTGTCTGGTACCAAAAACTAAGATTATCCACATAATTAAGCCATCATGTTGGCTTCACTCTCCCAGAAGAAATTTAAAAAAATCTAAATTTACTCATTAGGAAGGATTAACTAGTTGGCTATTTTGAATATTAAAATTTTGTCGAAGATTTAGCGATGGTTCGCAATATGATTAATACTGTCTCTTCAGATCAGAGGTTCCAAACAGGTGGGTATTTCCTCACTTGTGGTGAATTGAGGGGTAGATTTTGGAGAATAAACGAACTTATAAAAATGGCGCGCAGTGAACACAATGGAGGGATATTATAATACAAAGTAAATAATAATAACAACAAGATGCCAGCAAGTACTTTTAAAGAAACTTTTTGAAAATGTGTTGTTACATATAATTATGGATGCGCAACATGATGTGCAGTTAATCAAAGCATTACATCGCAGCAGTCCATGTTTTTCCTATAACCACAAGCTTTTTCAAGAGTTGTTACTTTAAAACAAGTGCTCCAAACTGAATAGGGTCTTGATATTTACACCCAATTGAACAAAGTTTTACCAAATTTAATAGCAGGCTTTTGTATGTGGTGAATGAAAACCCTCTTTTGATCAGAATAGAATAATTCAGCAAAAAGGTTGAAAACCATTCAACCAGATGATACAAAAATCCAACCTATACTATTTTAGTAGAATTAAACAAAGCAATATAATTTGAAAACTCACCTTAAATTTTTCCACATATGATTTCAACTCATTCAAATCTTTGATAGCTATTCTTGATATTTTCAGCTTTTCTTGTCCAGTATTTAGAGCATCAGAATAATCAAGAAGCATCTGAAATACAAGAGTAATACATTTAGTCGAAAAATCATCAATTATCATGTCAATTGTTTAGTGTTTGGCTTATCTTTGATGAGCAGTGATTTTGATTTGATTTGCAGTGGTAAACGGGGTACCGTCGCTCGATAAAGGGTGCCACTGCTCCATAATCAGTATTGGTCTGCGTCATTTCCTTTCACCCTGAAATGTGTTCTCTTATATTTCTTTTGATTTGTGTATTTATATAGTGCGTATTATCAGCATGGTGAAGAAATAAATTACTGATTACTACATTACGAACACGGTTTTCACTTTACCACTACTGCTTGTATTGTATAGATTTTCGAGTCTGAACTTACGGCTAATTCAGTCAAAATTCCAAATATAAGGTTTTTCATAGAAGAATACATAGTTTTTGGTATTTATGTGAATAAATCGTCAAGATCGCAGCCATGGGCCAATGGCAGAGGAACAAACTCATATCTTTAATCAGAGTTGAACCAGTCCTGCATAGGATGATCGAACAAGTGCTTTCAACGTACCAATTCTTAATAGATGTTGACCAGTTTATAATAAATAATGATAATTCCAACATTTTAGCAAAGTATCAAGTCATACCTGAGCAAATTGTACTTCTTCTTGGTTAACCCCATCCAGAGTTTTTGATTTCTCACTCAAATCATTTTTCAGTTTTTCAAATGTTTTCGAAACTTGATGCATCTCGGTGTCAGCAGGTCCCCAGGATTTGAACTCAAGCTAAAAATTAATTGAAGTCAAAAATTGATAAAAGCTCTTTCAAACAGATTCGTTACTGTATTACCGCAGGAAATATGCAAATAGCATATAATAATGCTGAGAAATCACTGCTCGCATAAGCGTCGTGGGTTTAAATTGCAAATGATATATGTTAGGAAAAAACGTCCAATGATTAAAGTTAATGTTTCATTACCAAAAATAATGATTTATGTAGCCAATAGCCAAGTTCATGGGTATTTGTATTACAAATCATGGTGTTCGTTAAACATTTTACAAGGTAAAATGTACTTTTTCTGCTTTTCTTTCCAGCGCTTTCAGTTTTTCCTCACATTCACTGGCAGATTCTTTCATTTCCTTCATTCTTTCATCCAATTCAGGTAATTCCCCAAATTCACCAATAGAAAACGACTGAACCTCATCCAGGAGGTCTGATATTTCATTGGATGTGAAAGCGAGATCAGCCTGATAATAAAAATAAAGGATTGATACATAGTTTCAACTCCAAACAAGCCTCTAGACAGGAATTTATTTAGACGTATATTGCAACTGAAATTAGGAGGACATGAACTGATAGATGTGACATGGCCATGATGATTGACAAGTAATTATCATTAAGCTAATTTAAGCTGGTAACTTCCTCATAAGATAGGAGGATTAACATATTTATCCCGAGGGAAAGGAAAGCCACTAAGACGACTCAATCATATGGCGAACCACGGCCTCTCATCTGGTTAACGATATCAGTCCATGTCGGGAGTTGGAAATTAAAATAATTAATCATTTCAAAGTTGCAGAATTTCTTATTATTGAGAAGATATTTGGAACCGTAAACTACCAGTAGTTACATGAAATAATAATAACTAACGCTACATTGTAGAGTAGCCAAGAAATATCTTCAAATATAATAGTAGAACCAGATTTGCATCTGTAGCCTTCATGTTGAGGAAGGTTTGTAACGCTACAGTAATATGCCGTGCAACTAAACGGATAATCGTCCAATACTAGTAGCTGATGTTTTGTAAACATAATATTTGATGCTTTCAAGCATTGTCTATGTCAGGGAGTGGACAAGGTTTTTGGACCAGGGGTCAAAAATTTGGCCCACCTAGAAGGGCGGGCCATGTGAGTGTGACATAAAAAGTTACATTTTATGAACAGTCTATTTACAGTCTTACAAAAGCAAACGTGGAAAACAATAAGCCTTGTGCCAAGAATAAATTTAATCGCAATATCAACAAATTCCCCGACTAAACCCTCAAAATTTGTGTCCATAGTTTGCCCATGTCAGGTATGTGTTGTACATTGTTCTACTAGTTCAACGAGCACAATATAATAATTACCTCCTTTGTCTACTAACAGGGCAAAGATCACAAACCTGGAATTCCTTCTGATCCATATCTTTCTCTGCAAGAGCGAGTTCTCTTTCTTTTGCTTCACGCTCAAGAGCACTTAATCTTTCACTCAGTGACTGTAAAGCTGATTTGAGTGATTCCGCGAAGTCTGGTTCTGCCATTGCCGATGACATCTGAATAAAATGATTTTTAGGCATTGGGCAAATTCAACTTGTGGTTGCAACATGGTTATGAAGGCTTTAACAAACTACAATTACTTCCACTATTTTTCCTGTATTCTGTTTAAATACATGGATTAAGCATAATTTTTTCTATTCATTAGAATGACATATTTTAAGGAGTATTGTCAAAATATCTTAATTTCAAAAACATAAGTGGACATGGAATCCTAGTGATTAGAGCAGGGGTAGGCAAACTATAGCACGCAGCCGGATTTGGCCGACCAAAGTGACTATAGTATTTATGAAGATTAATTCCTGTTGAAAATATTTTATTTCCAACATATTCAAACCTATGAGCGGCCAGGAAATTACCACAAGCAGCTTCGATCCTGATTTAAACAAGCTTTTGGACACATGCAGAAGGCTACATCAGTCCCATTAATCACTGTGCCACTTGGTACAATAGATGTTTGTTGTGCATTAGCTGTTACACCAGGGGTGGTCACTTTTCTAGTCGGCGGGCCAGATGTGGGAAAATGAAGTTCTTGGCGGGCCAGATTATAACATGAATAGTATTCAATATCTTAATCACATATTTAGTCACTAATGCAAAAAAGAAAATTATAAATCGGGTTTTAAGTAAAGTTTAAACTACAAAAAAATGGAGACCAAAAACACATAATGAATTTATCATAATGTACTAAAAGTGTAATAATGTAATATCATAATGTACTGATGTACAGTCAGCGGGCCGGTCCTGTTGCCCACCCCTGTGTTACGCTATATACATGGGCGTCTATTGATACATTGTGACTTCCACATACATTATCATTGACATTCCTCAGTTGTCCCATTTGACTCTGAATACTTCCCATCTCTGACTTCAAAATATTTTGTAGTTGTTGTTCTGCTTCCAAGCTACCACGTCGAGACAGATGAGATTCAACATCGTCCATCCATTCGGAAACAGCCTAAATAGTTTGTGATAAAGTGAATAAAATACCAAAGCTTCATTGTCTTTTGTAGAAAATATTTTTATAATTTGTTTACTCCAAGCCAAAGGGTCCATTTTAAAAACACAAAAATGAATTATTGAATAAATAAAAATTGGCCCTATAAATATGAATTCCACAATAAATACTGCAATCATAATATGAAAGTTGATACACAGATACCTCCAACGCATTTTGAGTTTGTTGCTGCAATCTTTCCAAAGCTTCCTGACTATCAAGTGATTGCTCTTTCATTTCATTCCAACAATCTTGCAGATCTTGAAGTTTTTGCTGAAATTCGAAGCGATTTTCATTTATTCATTTACTTTTATCAAAAAGCAAAAGTTTAGGCCAACAGTTCTTCATATATTGAAAAGTAATATTATCTAAATTTCATCTAATTTTTACAGAGGGCAAAGCCTGCATGATATATTAAGCAGCTGTAGGTATTGAACCACCAAGATGATGCTAGCCCAAGGAACTAAATGTATAAATAACATATTCACTTGCATATCCCACAAATAAGCAGAGCATCCCCAGGGATCGATTATCCGAAATTTCTCACCCATCTGTTCATGCGTAGAATTTGGTTTGTAACAATATATTTTCATAGTAAGACAACATTTGCAGGTCTGTTGTCAAGTTTTAGTAATTTTTACCGCATTGTTTCATATTGTAAGTTTTTTTCAATTTTTATATTTGGCCTTTCTTGAATGAAACTATTTGTACATACTTTAATATCTTCTACTGTGGCTCTCCCACCCGGCGGTGAATCAGAACCAAGAGTTGATTTTTTAACAGGTGTTGATGTCTTGGGTAGGTTTAGAAACAATTCTTCAGTCGCCAGATTTTTGTCTTGCAATTCCTTCACCATCTTGTCCCAGATTTTCTTTCTTTCAACTGGTGTTTTACTATCAGTCGATTCTGGCAAAACATGATACAAAAAAATTAATCAATGATAAAAAACGACAACTTGGTTATCTTGGTACCATTTGGTGATCTAATAATGAAGTTCTTCGCTATCCAGTATCAGGTAAGCTTATATAGGACATTCATCGTGAGTGTCAGTAGTCCTGACACAGACACTTGCACTCGCTTGTAGTTTATAGTCTTCCGAGATAGGATATTGATATTTATCCCAAAAGAGTGGTAAAGCCATAAGATACGCTAAAAAGCCAAAAATCAAGAGCAGTACAAAGATGGAAATAATTACCTATGAATAATTAAATGTTCCAGATGACCAACCATTTTCAATATATTATTAAAGACTGCTTGAATGCGTCAAAGCTATACTTGACCAATTCATCGTGATCTACCATGCAACAGTTAAACCTCAGCATATTTCCAGCACATAATTAACCAGCACACAGTATAATAAGTATAACATGGGGCTAATAGTAAAAAAAATTTGAGTCTAGGTATAGAAAATGGAAAACTATCTTACGTCGCAATGGTGAGAGCCTCTGAGCAGCCATGGTTCTTCCAAGCTTAACGACTTCTTCAAGCAATGTTTGATGGTGCTGAAGATCAGACTGGAATTTCTTGTAATCTTTGTCAAGTGTTTGTTCGGACTCAGAACTCTAGAAAATAGGAATCAATTAAGTAGTAATTAAGAAATATATATGTTTTTATCATGTACAGTTCTTGATAGCAATCAGACATTTTCAAATTTACTAATTTCTACACTACTGATTTCTTCGGATAGAAAAAAAAACGATAAAATACTGTTTCATAAAATTCAACTAACACCACAGACCTTGAAAATTTTGACTTGAATTTGAAGTCATAACATTTAAGTGCGAATGTGACACATTCTGTACAAAAAAGTGCTCAGTCTCCTAATATATAGCCTCGGAACTCAATTTTAAAAGCCTATTATGATGTCATGACTGACTCCATGATTTAGTTACACCATTGATGAAGATGGGCCCCGCAAAGGAAATAGCCTACAAGCCTCCTCAGAAAAAAAAAATGATGGTACCTTGACTTCAGATAGCCAATCTTGCATCTTTGATACTTCGGTCTGATATTGCGCAATAGCTTCATCTTGCTTTGCCTCAAGTTCATCCTGAATAGTTCAAGTTCATGAATATTTTTAAATTGTTCTCAATAGAAACACTATTTTGTCAAAACATATAAGATTACATGTAAATCAGGTGGGTAGCTGGTTATATAACTATCAATAGATTTTTTTTAAGCACTCAATTTCTCTTTTTTTTAATTTTTAGTAAATTAGTAATTTGTTAGCAGTCGCATTTCAGTATTTTTCTGGTAGTACATCACCCAAATTGCATGCTGTTATATTTACCTGATTGGAATGTCCAGAAAAGAATTGCATGAAATATCAAAATAACCATTAACAACTATATATAAAACACATGTACATTCAAAAAGGTGTTGTCCAAATTGAACATCAATCAAACAACATTTTTCCAATTTTACTGATAAGTTTTTACTGCTTCAATGCTTGAACTGAAGATTATTACATATAATGCCAACCTGCTTGATTATAGAGACTTGACACGGCCAAGAAATGTTGCCCAATAAATAAAAATTCTTAACATTAAACTACAACCCTTAAGCATAATTTACAATATATACCTGGTATTGCTTTCCTTTATCAACAGCAGATTTCTGCAAATCCTCCAATCCATCCTTTACACTATCAAGTTGTTCCAATAACTCGGCACCTTCTTTGTCTCCTCTGGACAGTGACAAGGTTTTGTCTATAAATTAAAATATATTGTTAATTTACTTGAAATTTTATAGACCCCCCTTCCACTCCCTGTGCAATTATCCACTGCTAGGCAAATGGCCACATTGTTTAAAAGAATTGTGATTTTTATCAAGTTTATTTTTTAGTTAGAGCTCACCACTGTTAACAAGATTCGAATGAAGTCCTATTTGTAGAAAAAACATGACTACGAAATACAAAACTTATAATTAGTGTAGAGATTTCTATTACAGCACATCTAACCAATCTTCAAAATCTTGTCTAGTTCATATATGAAAATGGGCTTTTGTAACTGATAATTTATAGCAGAATTTGTAGATCATCATAGCAAATTAAGTCCTTAAATTTCCTCGATAGTCAGGAAAATAAAATTTCTATGGAACAAATGTTCTGCTTCATATATACATACCATTTTACAAATGGGAGTAACTATGTTGAAATATTAGTGGTAAAACAAAAACCAAGACACCAAGAGAGCATTGATATTAGACTCATAGCAAACTTGATGAAAATTTGAAAAAGAAAAAACATGCCAACAAAACTAAAGTGGAAATAATTCAAGTTTTTTCCGCTTAAAACAGTTGAGAGCAGCACCCCCAAACTATTAATATTTAGTATCGAAATATACTTAATTTAATTACATCCCTTCAAATTCATCATGGTATATTTTAACTTTATTTTTATATTTGTCTTTGTTTACTCAAAATAGAATTAATTTCACATGCTCCTGGAAAAAGAAGCTTAAATTCAAGCGTTATCATATTTTGATAGCAAGAAAAATGCTATAAAAACTTCACAAGGATGAAATAGAGTTATTTGTAGAGTTACAGAGAGACATTCAAACAACTTTCGAGCATTATTTTCAAAGAAGGAAATACTAGCTGATAGATAGAGTTTAGCATTTAAATTTTCGAAAGACTCGAAAATGTTAATAAATAGCGAAATTTTAGCTAAAAGTAAGAGAATAACCACATAATTTTTGAACCTCAACTAAGCACCTGATCTAGATTACATAATGATTCAAAGCCAATTATAGAATGAACTTGTGTAGTTCTGCAATAAATGCATATTTATCATCGAATTGGGATCTTTTTTAAATTCCTAGTTAAATTCCTCGTTAGAGTAGTCAAAGACAAAGTTGACAATACTTTTCATAAATATTGCCAATAAGTAAGATTAATTTTTGTTAATAACAGAAAAGCAGCTCATTTTATTGATGTTAGTTTGCCATCCACAGAAATAGTCACAAATCTATGTTGAGCATTATACTGGGAATGTTCATTTAATTTGTTTTAAAAATTTTTAAAGTGAGTTTCAAAATGAAGATTCTAGGAGTCAATGAACATCCCTGCATTACGCCACACAGTGTAACAAATTATACCAGAACTAGATGTGCTCGATGATGAAGGTGATGGTGGCGACACTACAATACTATAAACTGATGATTGATGTGAACGACTAGATAATGGTGGAACAGGACGCAGTGCACTCGGTTCTGGCAAACTTTCCCCTGTAGCATTATTTCAAATCAGTATTGTTCATTGAGAATAATTAACAAAACAATAATTATCAATGTCCTCAAAATGATGCACCTCATTTTAAGATAAAATAAAATCTCTTAGGGTCACACTCGGGTAAGCAAAAATGAATACCAAATACTGAGTCAAATTTATAAAATCCCCGAATTTTATCTCGATGTGGGGCAATAACAATGTGCATGCTCATATGAATAAGACCTGCAAACCCCTGCATGGTAAACAGTAGTGTGATGGCAAGGGGGTTTCTAATGTATATAGCATAATATGCCAATTATAAAGCTCCTTGGTTATGCATAGCATATCCAATTTCACTCCATGTAATAGATCTCTTAGCAGAGACAATTTTAATTTGAGCAAATGCAGTAACTTCCAGAATTTAATAAATATTAATGAAAAATTGAATAAATCGATTACAGAATTACACTAAACGCATAATTGCTTGAAAGAAATAATTAATAATTTTTATCTGCACATTGACATGAAAAACACTTAAAACTATGGTAACTTTATACTACTGACCTGTCAATTCAGAAATCAATCTCAATTTTCTTTCCACATCAGCCACCGTTGATTCACAATCCTTTATATGCTTCTGCAAAGCTGAGAGATCATCTGTTAGAGATCCAATTGTTGGTGGGTGCTGGCTTGCTGATTCTGTCAAATTCAAATGTTTTGGTTGGTTCAGTTGTTGTAATGAAAAAATACAATAGTTCATGACGACCTTGTTTTGCAAATTTTGGTGGGGCTTTTTATAATTTCTTACTCTCTACTAGGCTTTGAAAATGCAGCTGCAAATATGTACAACTCAACCTACTGAAGAGTGGATGAGGAAGATGGGCACAGTACTCATATCAGAGATCTCTAACCAGACAGTCTAGCATTTTTATGCCCAGCATGTTACCCGGCCATTGTGTCTACAATATCCAACTAGGAATGCTTTTATCTACCGTATGTGTTCACTGAACAAATATTGCACTAAAGCATGTAGTAACAGACAAGATATTCATGAAAATGATATAAATGTAAATGATTGAACCATTCTTTTCATAGTAGATTACCATAGCTAAGTGAAGCTTAGGCATTACTGTGTGTGGGATACAGAAGTGCAAAATACTTCACATAAAATCATTCAAACCCACCAGAAGTCATTCTCTGTTGAATCTTCTTTGCATCTTCCATCCACTCAGTGACTTGCTCCAGTTCAGCTTTGTAGGCCTCAACCATTCTACAATATTGCTCTTCTTCCAACATTTTGATCTGAGAAAATAAAATTATCAATAGGTTTGTGGTACAATAGACTATTAGCTAATTATTGCAGGTCGCCTATCATCTATAGCAGGGTGGTCCAAGGTTGACGGCGGGCCACACTCTTAATTTTGTATTTTTCGCGGGCCACAATAGTGCCAAGAATTCGTAAACAGTGCAGTACAAAACAAACACTTTATTGTCCAGATACATTAATCATTATTTGTCATTTATCAAGCTGAAAATTGCCAAAAACCCCCAAAACAAACTCACTAAAACGTGCATAGTGTAAGATTTCAAACTCTTCATAAAGGAGAAAATGTCATAAGGAGAAAATGCCGTTTTAGATTGGCACCGACACAACTTGCAGATATATCAAGCAACCATTGTGGTATTTTCCTTCCCATATGCATATTTTTTTTACTCTCTTGCAAATGCGACGCGGGCCACAGTTAATGAAGCGGCGGGCCACATGTGGCCCGGGGCCTGGATTTGGACCACCCTGATATATAGCACCAATGCTAAAGTGCACTAATTCTCAGTGGCTATAAAAACTTTTGTAAAATTAATTATGATGCAATAATTCAGTCTATGACAAAATGAAAACAACTTGTAAAATGAAAATAAAAAGTTTTGTCAGAATTGACTTGACTTAATGCGAAGTCGCAGGTTGCTGATCGCTGATCTATAGGTTTGCACCCTAATTAGATGAGGAATATCCAATTAATCTAATAATATGTAGGAAATGAGATGATTTTCCAAACTACCCACACCTCGACCAAGTTGTGATAAATTGAGTGAACATTGCCAAAGAGAAAGATACTGGTCCTTCTGGAATATTTGGAATTTGCATAGCAGTGTCTGCTTGCAGAGCCTTGTTCTCAGTAAATTATGAGTGACTGCTAACATTTTTTTAATTTCCTCAAATCCATATTTTCATTGGTTAATAATACTAAACAAGAGTAGTTAACAAGCACAACTACATACTTCTATGACATTCTGTTTAGATGTTGCCTGCATTCTCATTGTGTCCCATCTATCATACAATACAGAGACTGTTGCATTCAGAGTTTCTTTTCCATCATAGTCATGAGCTAGAGAACTAGTCCATCTCTCAACTGATTCCAGTTTGCTCTGAAGCAGGTTAATTTCATCCAGCAGAGCCTAGGAACATGCAATATATCTAAGGTTACAACATGCAATATCTATGATTTATTTATTTCTTTATTTCTTTCAGCATCTAGACATAATGTGGCTCGATGGTTAGTATGCCAAATAACTATACTTCTATCATAGGTTATAGCTTGATGCCTGCTTGGCTCCATGCCAGTCATTTAACCTTGTTATCCAATCTATATTGTCTATATAATACATATTGTCTGTTTAAAGCATTGTACAGAATCAGGGCACACAGTATCCCATAAAAATATATTGCAAAATGGAGCTACATGCATTGGAAAGGATAAGATTTACATATTCATCCCAGGGGAGAGGAAAGGAATAAGACGGCTTAACCATATGGCGAACCACGGGCTCTTACCAGTCCAAGTCGGGTATAGGGGTTGGTTAGTCAGTTATTTGTTTCAGAAGGATTTCAGCACAATCCTCTCGCACATAATTATTCCTAACAGCATTCAAAGCTGTGAACCAACCCAGGGTAATCAGACGTGCGGTTGTGAGAGTATTCCTAATGCTCAGCACACTTAGCACCACACTGCCGAGCATTATATCAATTTATCCTCAAAAATTATTTGAACCATATGTTTTCGCTGTTGCTTGCTTCACTGTCATAACACATCAGTAGGTTATGAAGAGCTATACCTTCGTAATTTAAGGCCTCTTAACAAATTTTAAGGTCTCTATAGTATTATCAACAGGTCCCAAATGCCCAAAGGTTAAAAGATGGCTGATATCATATTCACAATCAGTACTGGGCACTTTTAGGTCAGTTTAATTTTGCTTACTTTTTCAAATTAAAATTATATATCATCTATTTATTATCTAGACTTACCTTCCCCAAATTATCTGTGTTAAAACTAAGACTATTCTCTGGCATTACTTTAACTAAATCATCACCTGATTTCGATCAAACTGTTCCTGAAGAGACATCTGCATTTCAGGTGCATCCAGTCTTTCCTGGCATTCATTTAATTTCATTGTAATTTCTTGAATGTCTGAACGAACATTGTCTTGCTCACGAAAGGACGAGAGAAGTTCCTTCACTTTTTCACCAAGCTGTAAAATATAGATTATAAAAAATTCAAAATTACTACAGTTCTGTTTTGTAATATCGCTTGGTATTAATATCATAATAATAAGAATGCTATTGATTTCCCCACACAGAACCACAGTTCCAAATGATATCAGGAGAGCAGTTACACCAGTTCAACTAACTATGTAGAATGGTTCATGTGACCGCTGGTCGGTTACAGCTTCAAGTCCATGATCCTTCGAACAAATATCCGGCTAACTAATCCTCTACCTGATTTGGACTGATAACCGAATGAGAGGCAGTGATTTGCCATATGATTTAGCTTTCATATCTGCTTTTTCTCCCCCAGAATAAGTGGGTAAATCCTATCCTATGTCCATGTATTGTAAGGTTGAGTTGCATAGTAATTAAAATACCAATTGTCAATTGCAGGTGCCATATGATTGGGCTGTCTTATGGGCTTATTTCCCCCCCATGTACAATAGTGAATCCTATTTTACTGCATTAATTACCACCATTTTAGTTCGTCTTGGAGTGATATAGCTCCGAGTTTTTATTAAGACTAAAATTTAAAAAAACATTTACAGGAATACAAATGAAGGCATAAAGAAACTACAAATTCCTCATGTCACTCTAATTTCCTGAGTAAAATGAATAAAAAATTAACAAAGTCCCAATACCTCATCTCTATCATCATCATCAATAGACATTCTCTCTCCCATTCTTCTGTATTTTGCGGCATCGACCATATATGGACTGCTAGCATCAATAGGTAGAGGCATGCCAGGAATTTCTGCAATAAAATAAGTACTTTTACATATTTTGAAGTACATAAAAACATGTACGATTTAACAAGGACCACAATCCGACCCACTAAGCCCTTCAGTATGGTCCTAGTCAACACTCAGATTTTATCCCATCAAGCAAAAAATTCAAATCTCACAGTTTGTTTAAAAAGTTGCTCACATGGGTAAAATCACATCTTTTTTGCTTTTATCGCTGCGTTACATCTTTAGTTGTTTTGTCCAGTGCTTTTATTACTGCATGGCTGCAGTTTATGTTTAAAAAGGCGATCACATACATAATGATTTTTGCTCATATTAGCAGCATTTTCTTCTCTCGCCTCAACTGCGGCACTCTATTTGTCACTAGTTGTTTAATTGTTGTGTGAATAGGAAACCTAATTTTTTTGTGTAGCCAAGCTAGATGTCTGTAGTTGGTAATATGGTCCATTGTCAAAAATGGTGCACAATGCAGCTTTGAAATATCAAATACAAATTGTGAGATTTTATGTTCCAGGCCTTTGACATAACAAGGTTCTCTACAAGCATTGTCCATAAATAGCAACTGTATTTGGATTTTTTCGTTATGGCACAGTCTATCTAATTTTTACAATCTATTTCATTGTAGCTGGCTCAAATTGATCATTGGAATCAAACTAAGCCCTCATTCTATGCCCAGTTTAAATAATTTAAATAGAGGGCCTCAATAGTCATACCTATAGCACAATATATAATCATCCATATAATAATTATATTTATCTCAGTGGCAAGGGAAGCTCATAATGTGACTCAAAATCATTGTTTGCCAAATCACAATTGAGGTGAGGCATAGAAATAGTTACCATGACCTTATACATCTTAAATGCATAGACTCGGATAGGGAAGAAGTTGGAACTGACCAAATTTTATGGGAGAATCCCCTTACAATGAGTAACCCTCCAGCAATTCTCTCATGCAATAAAATTTCAGCATTCCTTTCTCCTATTGAAGATCAACAGTAATATAGGGAAACGAGTATTCTTACAAAAATGTATTAAACTGGTTTAAATTTCTACTTACCTTCTTCCAGCTTGGATTTATCAGGGTTCAGTGATGGAGACAAGATATCGGCTTCAAGTAGAGATGAGGTGCTTGCTGATGAGATTTCTGAAAATACAAGCATGCTTTTTTATGCTATGGACCTTTCCTTGACCTTTGACCCCGAAAAAAGCCTCCTATACTTTACCATTGCAAAATTTTCGGGGCTCATTTTAAAAGCGGTTTCGCAAGTTGGCGCCTGTAAAATGGGGTATGTGTTTCAAACCATCTGTATGATTCATCGCATACAACAAGCTGTTTTTTAAAAGTACCGGCAAAGAATTTTAGCCCAGTCTAGCACAGCTATTTCTACGCTAATTTTTTATTACTGCAATTGAATTAAAACTCCTAAGAAGACAGAGTGATCATTGAAATATCTGATTCATATTTAAATTTCCGAAACACAGCTGAAAACTAACGAATAGAGTTCAAAAACACGAAAACGAGGTAATGTGTACGACTTCGCCTGAAAATCTGTCTGAGTGAGAAAAGTGTCTGAGCGGATGTGCAACAATGCGAGGGCATTGTTACGTCACTTTTTGCATCTCACTGATTGGCCAACGTCACGAAGTAAACAAGGAGGTCGATGCTCAGAGAAAGATCCCTTGATTGGGTTTTTACAAGAGTAACCACTTAACAGTCTCCTATGCTTTTGCGCCGGTGGATACGTATGCATATAATGCAAGGATGCTATAACAAAAGATAACTATCCTGAGTGATTCAATAGTCTTGTTGCACACTAAGACATATATATAGTTTGCACAGAGCCTGTTCACACAGGCCCATGATAAAGCACTATATAAATAAACATCCTATGTAATACAAATACATATTTGACAAGGCTCCGTACAAACCAATATTCCACCAATATTCATTTATATGTGATGAGCTACACTATTTTTGGAGGGGGCTTAAATCTTTACAGTTCAGCATTACTTAACCAATTTATTCCTTTTTGTGAGATGAAGGGCACAAGATTTAAAACTGATGTGCAACTCAAGATTGAATTTGTGTCTCCCATAAGGAAATCAGAAAAATAATGCAAGAATCTCCTTAGGGCATAGCTAATTGATAGGTGAAAAACATGTGAACCATAGTCGTTGGAATTCATGAAATTATTGTAGTAATTGATAGAATACTATAGTTCCAACTCATGGTCATCCAAGATGTTTATTTTCAGGGGATTTCTATGGAGTGAACACTGAATAAAAATTATCTGAGGCAAACCTGATGGAGTTGATGGTGAGCTCAAGTCTCCTGGTGATCGCATCTCTCTTGAAAGAAACTTTGACAGTCTGGAAAAGATACAAGTATTATACTAAATTCTATTGCTCCATTGATAAAATTAAAATTGGTTTTTCCTCAAAAAGTTTGATATTCCAGAATCCTCCCAGGAAGTAAATTTAATGAACGATATCCCATCAAATAATGGAACAACTAAGTTACAAAACATGGATCTCTCATTACATAACAATTTTGCACTTAAATAGATTTGTGAATCAATAATGGATCCTTGTGTTTCTTTCAAACTGGAGACCTCGGAAACCAGCTATATATGAATTGTAATTGACGCTGCAGGCATAAGGAAATACCTGCCTTTGCAGTGCTTATTACTTTGGGTTTAAACTATTTCTATATCAAGATTGGTCATGGAACTGAACATGCACCTTAATGGCCATAGTTGAACACTTTTGAAGAAATCTGCAGATCAATTTTGAAAATAAAACATACATATTTTTGTGCAAAGAATGTCTGTAGCTTGATTTCAAAACTTACTCTTAAATCACTTCTACAATATCATTGGATTACACTCATACATGAAGGTTGATTTCGCAAAACCCCAACTCATAGTTACATATACCGTATTTGCTCGTTTTGTAGACCGGGCCCATATTTTTTTAACCAAACTCACTAACCGGGCCCTCATTCAAGCATGAGCTTGTTATTTTTAAAGTAGAATTATACACAAAAATTACGGTATCTTTGAATACAAATATTTGACGACATTAATCCTTTTTCCATGTCAATTTATTCACGTCAAACCCAAGTTATTCAAGTCTTAAGAGTAATTCTCTGAATTTTTCTACGCACTGCAGGTACAAATCTGCAAAAGAAGAAAAGTTTTGCGACGCCCTATCAATATTGAAACGACACACTTAGGCGTCGCGACGCCCAGTTTGAGAACCACGAGTTACGTAATCAATGCTATCTGTTATGTAATTGGACGTCTAAGGCGTGAGTGTCATCTACCAGCGCTTAAAATTCAACAGCGTTGTGACAAAAGCGCTCCTTATTTCCTATTGTTCTCTACCACTGAAAAATCAGCTTTTACATCGGACGGGTATTCAAGCACCGGCCCTTATTTATTTTTATGTTCTGTTCACACGGGCGACTATTCAAACGGGCCCTTAATCAAGATCGAGCGGTAAAACAAGCATATACGATATTAATATTTTTTTATACTGACCGAGAACCATCTTTTTGCGGCCTTACAGGTGATGCTGAAGTGGGTGGGTAAACAGAATTTCCCAGAGTATCAAATAACATTGAATATAACTCAGAATCAGGATCTGTGTGTTGACGTTCTATCGATGTTGGATCCACAGTCTCGGAAACTGGCAACAGACTTCTGCTGACAGGAGCAATCAATTTTGAGTCTGGCTCATCATAAGAAGGTTGTGATCGTCCTGTTAGATGGAATAATTTGAATAACAGAACTAAAATCATATGAAAGGCACAAGATATTCCATGAGAATGTGCTCAAATAACGTCCTGTTAGATGGAATAATTTGAATAACAGAACTAAAATCATATGGAAGGCACAAGCTATTCCATGAGAATGTGCTCAAATAACGTCCTGTTAGATGGAATAATTTGAATAACAGAACTAAAATCATATGGAAGGCACAAGATATTCCATGAGAATGTGCTCAAATGAAATTCATGTGCGTAAGTATAAAACACTGAAATGTCAAGACCATACCAAATCAAATTATGATAGGCTGCATATAGATGGCTCATTTGGGGATGCCTAAAAGCCCAAAAATATACTAATGATTTTCCTTGACTGTTGAAATAATGTGGAAAGCCGAAACCAAAAGATTCCAGTTCCTCCAAGTATTTTGTATTTTCTCACATATGGCTGCCTATTTAATGCATGGTCAGAACCTAGTGTCGAAATACCTCAAAAATATAGCATGACTGATCAGCATACCTTCCATCAGTTTCCTTTTCTTTTCCTTCAATTCCTTCAAATCTTTTTCATATTTTTCAACTTCTTTCAGTAATTTCTTGTATTCATCTAATTCTGCCTTCTTTGATCTTGGACTACCAGAACCTGAAGAATAATTTATTGTTGAAAGTAACTGAAAATCAGAGAAAAAACTAAAATACGCACACTGTGATTACTCTGTGATTTCAAGTCAAATACATAAGACAGATTTTAGTGCCTAAAAAGCTGTTAAATAAATCTTATTTAACACAACCTAAACTGCAGGGTTGTCCAACATTTATGGCCGAAAGGCCACATGTAGTTTACGAATGATTGTGCGGGCCATTTGACATGGTAGTTATGATCTAGTTTCCACTAAACATACTACAGGTTAATGAAAAAAACGAGCAAACCCCTCACACCAAAATTATAAGAACAAAGGAAAATATGAAGATAAAGTTTTTAAAGTGAAAAGTTTTTATCACACCTAAATATTTTAATGTAGAGTATAGTACTGCTTTTATCCAACAAGTTTGTTAATATTCGGTGTGATGGACGATGTCGAAGCAAATTTTCCATATGACTGAGCTAAAGCAAAACCATCCACTTACCAGAAAGAGGTAGATTGTTCAGACGATGTCTAGCATCAGAAAGCAAATCAGTCAATCGTGCAATTTCCTCTTCATATGGTTCACTTTCTCTCAGCAGGGACTCAAGCGCATGGATGTCTGAGGTCAAGGACAACTCAAGGTCATCAATAACTCTCTCAGTATCCTCTGCCAATTTTATCGCTGGAGTTTCATGAAGTTGATCAAGAGCAAGTTTTGGAACTGGGACTTCTGATGAATCTAGATGAAAATATATTGATTACAATGAGTCAATAGAAATAATTATTAACACTGATAGGTTATGCTCAAAATTACTCTCATTTGAAATAAATGAATAAATTGTTATTAAAAAGATTATTATTTAATTAAAGTCAAAAGTAGACTTGAGTGGCTCTGGGCCAATATTCGTTTTTCCCTAATTCGGCCACAGTCTGAAATTTGTGAAATATTCACAGAAATCAGCTAAAGATTTGCAATTTGATTTCACCTATGAGACTCATATTGATCGATTTCATTCTGGGGTAAAATCACACTTTTTAACAGTTTCATCATATGTCAAGCCACAGCATCCTTTCCAGTTACGGCTCTCAAAAGGGTATGCCAGCACAAGCCAGATTTTATGGACTTGGTGGAGGGAGCCTCAACTGACCAGATGATACTTGAACACTTTGCTGGACTCAAGTAACTGCTGCATGTGAAAACAAATAAATGGCTTACTAATCCCATATCTAACACGGACCGGTAACTGGAAAAGAGGCTGTGGTCTGCCATATAATTGAACAGTGTTATCAGCTCCTTCGGGATAAATATGTACGATAAATCTTTACCTCTTCTTGGAGAAGGATCCGGTGTGGATGCAAATGGATGGTCATTCCTCACTGCATCTAATTTCCTTTTCCATTTCTCTAGTTGACTAAGCATTCGTTTTCTTGATGCCAGTTGTTCTTGCACTGGTGCATTCTGGTCCTGTGTGGGATACCGATCTCTCAAATTTGCTACACCTGGAAACAAAAAATGAGATGATGACACCAAGAATAAAAACAATCTTTCCAAAAGTGCCGTGCGTGTTCCGTATTTGATATGAAGTTTTATATGTTAATAATTCATGTCTTTCGCTCTAAATAGGATACCGGTATATACAAGTAGTTACTCATATCCAACATTATGTAATGAGCTAATACCACTGATTAGAGGATGAAGAGCATATCCAGTATATTAGTCTAGTGAATTGGGAATAGTCCAGGCAAAAACAGGAAGCACCTAATGTAATATAGCATCATTCTTACTAACAAGTTTGGGTCAAGCATTGTATTAGCAGTTGGAAATTCCTTGATTTATGGAAAAATGGCCTGACAAAGTAGAATAATAACATATAGTCACACTGTATTGACATGATGAACACATTTAAAAACGGACAAGATGACTGAATTATTGTTTTTTATAACTTAAATTAGAGAATGAGAATAAGCATACCATCTCTGATTGCTTTTGTATCTTGTTCCATGTCAAAAGCAGTTGAAATAGATTCTGATAAAACATCTTCTCTTTCTTTGATTTTCTTTTCTAGGTCCATGCATTCAGACCCCATCTGAGAAGACAATACAAATACATTAATCTAAAAGTTAAAATTGTAAAACAAGAGCAGACGAGATGGCTTAATCATATAAAAAATCCAATCTTTTTAACACTTTCGATGCCAAGATCAGTTTTTTCAATTTTACCGTTCCGTGCCAAGGTGAAAACGAGAGAGTTCTCTCCTATTCATTCTCTCTCGTATTTAGTTTTTGATTCATCGGGAAAGGGGCGAACCCAGCGGTGTCATCAGTTATCGTTCATTCCGACACTTCAGTCGTAGGTGAAAGAACTCACCTACACACGCGTATCTTGTCGGAATTGCTCTCTCATGCTATTATAACATAAGTTGATGATAATTTGTCTTGATCTCTCATTGCGATAAAGATTCAATTCGAACATTTTATTCAGCAATCAGAATCATTTTATTATACGAAAATATCAAATTTGAACAAAGAAAACAAAATCGTTTACTAGCATAAAAATATATCCTTCATTCGCTATATATTCCAATAACATTAATAATGGCCAATTATTGTCACTCACAAGGATAACATATTGCAAAATAAACAAAGTAGGCACATTGCATATTCATACAACTGTAACACATATGTATCTCTATGACCTCGTCACCATTACAATACGTCGAAAGTATTGAAATCGGCCTCTTATCTTGCCATAGTAGTGCGAGTAATTGTCCTTTTCGTATTGAGATGATTTCCCCTTTCTTTAGTTTTGTTTTTATTTCTGCTGGAAGTCCCTTCCGGTTTGCCGTGACTGTTCCCGTTATCGATGTTTTCCTTCGCTGCAATTCCTCGGCTAATGCGACAGAGTTATAGAGTCTAAATTAAAAATGAATATTATTAAAAATTGGTTGTGATAAAACAGTTTATGCAATTGATTGATATATCCGACAATGATTCGTTATCTAAAATAGAACGCAGTATGGCGCCGAGACGTAAATTATCTAATTTGTCTTATCAATACCGAATAATCAACATACCTATCAACAAATACGTGATATCCTCTATCCAGATGACTTTCCATTAGATGCAAAACTAAATTCGAAGTTTTTGTGACGCCGGGTGGAAGTTGTTCTAAGTTTGGATTACCATAATCTAATTTTACATTGAAAATGTATCCAGTTGTTGAATCAGCAATCGATCTAGCAATGATGCCCCATTTAACCGGTTTGTTTGGCATATATCTTCTGAATGAAACTCTTCCTTTATATGCAATCATGGTTTCATCGGTTCAGTCAGTAAACGATGAAATTCAAAGTCTTTACTTGCCTCGGCAAACATTTCATTCAATCTGGTATTTATAGCGAGCAAATACTTATTTGTGTGGATATTTGAACTAATATTGGCGTGCAAATGAAGTATTTCCAAATGCAATTTCAATATTCATTATACGCATCCGGTGTCTCTAAGTTGACATAATAAAAAGGTTTAAAGCTTCATCGAAATTCGTCAGTTGATCTGTCAAGAACACGATTTTCCGAAATTGTCATCTCACGCAATTTGCTACGCAAGTCGTCTCGACTGCACGTAGTCCCGTCTTCGTGGCGCCAGACACGTGATCGCTATTGCGTAGCTACGTAATCAGTACGCCATGGCTGCTTATTGAACTTGTTCATCCGACACAAAGTCGTAGGATTGCATATTTTGCTATAATTATGGTTATACAATAGCTACGAAAGTAATTCAATATGAGCTGAAAGCATACGGGGGGCTCTGTGTTATTGGTAATATATTTCCCACTAAAATACTATATCTCGGATCATATCTCACTGACAAGTAGAAAAATATATGTTCCGAATAATATCAATTTCTCACTTTATTATTTCAAAATGTAACATATCACCTCTCAGGACGATAAAATTTGCTTTCGTTGCAGATGTCCGTCAATCCGTTACCCAAAAATGATAAAAAATTAAAAAAACGTTCAAAAATACCAACATTTTGAATCATTTCATCGTCCTGCCAATAAGACGACGATCATGCATATAAAAATATTCGAATTATTTCCCGGTTTAGTAATGTTTTTCTACATCTTCGTAACATGATTGATAATATTATCATCTCTCCTCACACCTTTCAATCATTTCACCGTAAAAAGTTGAAACCGTGTGTTGGCGTCAGTCGGTCTCGTACAAATTTTTGATGATAATTTGCGGCTAATATGTACCTCGGCCATGCTAAATAAGTTGATAATTTACTTCATGGCGGACCCTCCTTCCATCTTGGTATTTCTTGAATGACGCGATTGGCTGACGACGTCATTCTTTCCCCCCAACTTGACAACAAGAGAGAGGGAGAGAAGAAAAAAAGACGGCAAATACCTGAACTCGACCTTCTTCTATCTATTAAACTTTTTCCTTTTCGAATGACGTATATATACGTCATTTCGCATTGATGGCACGGAACGGTTGGCGCCAAATAACGTATATATACGTCCTTGGCATCGAAAGTGTTAACCAGCTACTAGTCTGGGTATAAAATAGTTACTAACATCTACTTTAATCTATTGTCATTGTCGTTAGTAAAAATTGCATGAGACATTAAAAAAAAGGCTGGATTACTAGACAAAAAATGATCTTAAAAAAATATTAATAAATCAACAACATCACCAACATGGAACTAAGAAGTCAGCAGAAAAGCTTTATTAAGTCATAATCCAAGAAGTCAAGGTTTTTACCACCGCCACAGAGACAATGTCCTAATTTTCTTCCACATAGATTTCGTGAAATACTACTATTTCATAAAATACTAAATATGCATTAACAGGTAACGAAAGGAAAAATCCATAATTTTCTGTTATTAAACCCCTCGAACTTCTGTTTTTGTATGTTTGTACCCAGAAGTTTTAGTGATATAGCATGCTTTGTACAAAACGTAGGTATGTTTTCTCTAGAATATGTGTCAAATGACCTGGGTTCTGTCTTTTTGAGCCACTGTATATTAATAACACTATTTAAATAAATATATTTTTTTTTTATAATTCCAAAAGCAAAATATTGAGCAAATTCAAAACCAACCTGGTCAATTTTCTTTGAGAAAAATGATGATGAAGGAATTGTTCCGGTTCCATAACCAGTGGACAAAGACTCAAAACTTTCTTCCTCCATGCTTTCTATATCAACTGCCGCACCAACATCTGGGATTCGATCTCTCATTCGGTCAATTTCTTTGCGTAGTTGTTTTAATTCATTTCTGAGTGCCTGGTTAATAAAATTTGTCATTTATTATCGGTCATTTCGATAACAGTGGAATTAATGAACAATGACATTTGAGGGACACTTAGAGAAAGAACTCCCAGAATGTCCAATAATTTTGCTAGAAATAATATCATTAAAATGTAATGCTAGCCTTTCAAAATTAATATGTTTCCGAAGACAGTATTTTTGAACGTATAATTAGAATAGGAAAGATAATATGAAACTTTCCTAGCAAAGATTAGGCCATTAAGATGGCCAAATTACGATATACAGCTTTTGTGAGCTGCCATTCATTTACCAGTAGAATATGGGACCAGTTAAAACCAGTTCTTTACCGAGTAAAAATTAACTGTTCTGAATAATTAAAATAATTTAATATATATTCGTTTTCTGTTATATAATTTACGCGTTTAATTAAGTGTTGTGTTTTCAGAATGCAGAAATAAATCATATGTTATTGCATACCCATGTAAAAAAATTCATTACACACCTTATTTTCTCTGAGTTGAGTTTTGGCATCTTGTAAATCACGCATAGTAAGTGGGCCAGCTAATATATTTTCAGCTTTTGATCTCCATTTCCTTAGAAAAGAATGAGTTTCCTCAACCTCTGTGAGATAATCTGCGGCCTAAGAATAAAAATAGAAGTTTAAATTTGGGTGACAAGATGAAGATAAAGAAATATTTTAATCTAATTTTGTATGCTGTGTCTTATACCCATACATGAAGCAAGTATGGGTAAAACAGTACAGGCAGACACTGATATATTATGGACCACTAGGTTTTGTAAGAGAGCATAGCCCAATTATAACTTGAAAAGCATTCTTCCCAATTTTTGAAGAAAAACAAATTTACCTGTTCAACATTGCCTACCCAATTTATTAGAACCCTGGATAAGATGGTGGGCATGGGATATCTACTCAAGATTTTTTAACAAGCGAGTTGTTAATTACTTACATTACTAAATTTTCTTGCTCTTGCATGAGCCAGTTCTTGTACTCTGGCATATTGTTCATTCACTGCTGATATAGCAGCATTGATAGAGATTCTGCTGCTTTCGTATGTCGTTTGTTCTGCAATCTCAACAGCCATTGCATCCAGACTGACAAGTCGGATGTGACATTTGTCAATTTCTGCCTTTAAAGCCTGAATACAATCAGACTAATTTTAAATTCAGCCAGTGAAAGTACTAAAATCTTACGAAAGGCGGTTTTCCAGTTCAAATTATATTCTACCATGGCAAGTTGTTAAAAATTCAACCATGGTAAAGGGTTAAGTTTGTAATTTTCTTTGAGTGCTTTGTAAAATTACTTCTTGATTCGGCATCTGAATTATACTTTCAATCAGGGCTTCAAATACATGATGATTTCAAAATCGAATCGAGTGAGAATTTTTTAAATTGAATATGAAGATATTCTAATTAATATGACAAAATAGTTGTATGTGACATTTTTATTTGTAAAGGGGCCTTCAGACACATAAAGTACCAAAAACACAGAATCTATCTGAGCATGTTCTTGATCGGCCCTGAAGATAATTGTATGAAAAACAATGATTGAAATGTCTAGATGGAAGATGGCTTCACAAAAAAATTAAAGTATACACCTCGACCTACGAAGGTGGTGTGGAATAGGATTTTAAAAAAAAGGTAGAAAATTTTCTTAATACCTTATGCTCTTTCTCAGCAGTAGAATAATCTTTGATATCTTCTGTTAATTTCAGCTCTGCATTGCTCAACAGAGTGGATATTTCAAGCAATTCCTGCTGATATTCTTCTCTTATTGATTTAGCAGCATCAAGTTCCTTTGAATTAATAAATATGAGAGTGAGTTAAATTTACTAATATTTAGTTACCGGTAATCCAAAGATAATATTGTCTAAAGACATTTTTATTTAAAAATAGTTAAAAATTTAAATGAAAATTTAGTTAACAATAAATAAAAATAGTTAAAAATATATGTTAAACTACAGTCTAATAACTTGCATTTGTTAGAATATATATATATAAATCGTATTTTCATGAAATTTATAACAATATATATAACAATATTATAGTACATTTATGTTTATCAGTCTGTAATTATAACAAGTATTTCATTAATCACATATCATTCGAGTTGAAAATTGAAAAGCCTTGCAAATTCAAAATGTACCCTTCTGTCCGACTTTATTAATAACCCTCATACTTTTACCTTTTCCTTATTCTCAATTTCTTCTTCTAATTCAGTAAAAGCAACTTTAATTTTTGCCATAGTTGTTGAGATTTCAGCAGGAAGAATACTGAACTTATCTAGATATTTCTTCTGTTGAGTTTCTGACATCTTTGTGAAATATTCTTTTTTGGATGCGAGCTGATCTTTGAGCTAAATCAAAAATACAAATAGTTAAAGATAAGAGTCCACTTAGAAAGCATTGAGTACTGATAAAACTATACATTTTAGGTGGAGGTCCTAATATGAGTAATTCTTGTCATATCACAATTAGTACATTCAGGTTTTACCCCCATATTTACCTATTATAACTGAAAACAAAAGCTCTTAGTGTGAGGTACGAGTATTGGAGTTATTGGCCAATATATCTGACGTAGTTTGGAAACTGGCTTAGAAAGATGGTTAATTGACACGACAGCATGAATTAAAAACCTTTGAAAATTAATAACACACACATTCGTTTAAAAAATAATACTATAATAAGACTGGTATAATAATCATGTCAAGTAGTCATTTAATCAAGCTGTCTTATCATATTTTTTCTCCAATGGTAGATTTAAAATCATATTTTATCTCTATACCTCTAAAATCGCATCCTATCGCAATACCTGTTTCAAAGCATCAATCTTGTCCTGGACATGAGAAGGTGCTGGAGTAAGATCAACAGATCTATCAGCAGAATATTTCGAATCATTTATCCATTGCAGAAGATCGTGTAATTCTGTCTGAAGTGCTTCTCTTGAATCCATTTCCTTCTTCACTCCAGATAATTTGTTACTTGCTTCTTCAGCAAGGCTGTGGAAGTAAAGTATTACAATCACCATGAATTCTTACATAAAGTCTTTCTTCTTGCAAGTCAAATTGAATTAAAAAAAAATACAATGAAAAGAAATAAAAGCCAATGTATAAAGACAGAGGTACTGAAACAGTGTATCCTTTTTGGTCATGAGCAATTGGTGGGCACTGGGAGTTAAAAAAATTAAAAGTAATGCTTTTACAGACATTTTCCCTTTTAACTACTGAGAAATTGAAATTGGGATCGGTTTATATCGGTTAAGTATATATCATATAGTCATATTGTTGACCAGTTAGTACTATCAAGATTTTGCTGTGTTTGCTTATCTGAGCAAAATACAAAAAGAGCAAATATCTAAGGAAAAAAACAATAGCAGCAGAAAAAGACAACAAATAATCTGATCTTTTACAATAAGTTTTATCAAAATCCTTCATGGTATATGCTCGGAAAAAGTACTCGAAATTCAAATTGATATAAACTTGGAAATTAAAACCCTCTTATTCTATGACCAACCTCTGCAATTTTGTCTCAACATCCCGTACTTCTCTGTCAACATCTCGAGACTCAGGAGAATCAAGATTTCTTGAAATATTTTGAGAAGCGTCGTGCACTGTACTGAGACGACGTGATGTTGATGAGAGATCTTTGTTCAAGGATGCCAAAAGAGATCTGAACAAAAATGATTTCACAGTGAGAAACTAACTCAAAATAGATTGCTATTCATGATTGTGTAAGTCATTTGGTTGAAGGCTGACATATAGTCGTATAGTGCCGATAGGAACATGCGACTTTTACCTTACAGGATTTGACTGTTCAAATATTGTGGGGGATTATTAGGTGTGAAGGAATGCTGGAGAAGTCCTTATCCTAAGCCTGTTGGCTCATTAAAAGAGGTTCATATCGAACGTAATAAAATATTATTTATACTTATCTGGGAATCTCAGTAAAAGACATTTTCTCGAGACTTCTTTTTAACATAAAAAGACATGGAAATATCATGTTGCAGCCTAGATCATTCTATTTTAGCATATTTCGCTCAGTTCAAAATTAAACAACTTAACTCAACTTACTTTTGTGTGCTCAGATCAAATGCTGTGCATTTTTCAATCTGTTTCACTGGCATTCTACTTTCAATCCTGTCCAAAACTGATTTAGCATCTGAAGTATGCTGGTGATATGTTTCCCAATCTCGGAGATGTTTGTTAAGAAGTCTTTCAATCTCCTAAAAGTATGTTCATAAATCAGTCTCTCAGCAGAAAATCATATCATATAATGTATGGAAAACACCCCTACACAATTCATGTTCCTTTTAGCCTTTTCATAGAACAAAAAAAAATATTCCGAATTAAAATAATGGGCCGAAAATAAGAATAAATGCCATTGCTTCATTTTATTAATTCTGTACATTCCTCCAAACCAATTTATAATATTTAAAAATTATCACAGTACCTTTGATCTTGTCTGCAATCTCTCGATTCTTGCCTTCACAGCAGTTATAGAGCGATTCACTGACATTCTACCAGCAAAACTATCTGATGAGAGAGATTCAGAGACTTTGTGCAATGCCTGGACTTCATGATCAAGCAAGGAGACATCAGACAGGGCAGGCTGTTTAAAAATGCATTGATCATGATAATAAATAAATATTGAAATAAAAAAAAAATTCAAAGTGAAATGAATGAATGAATATGCAAAATTGAATTCTAAAAACTGAAAGACGAATTGTAATTGTATAAACACCTGAACTATGGTTTAGATTTTTCTAGGTTATGAATGGTGATATATTTTCAATGTTTGAAAATTTTGGTTAAGGCAAGAGTAGAAACCACCAGAAAATAACATACCCTTGACATTGCTTAAATTTCAGATGTCACTTATTCTCTGAAGCAGCTCAGACATATTCAAATGCTGCCCTTATCCAGATTTTACTCAGCAAACAATGAAATATTAAAATAAATATTCTTGAACCGAAACTTTAGCCAAATCTTTGGAAAGCCCAAGTATTTTTGAAAAGCTAATTTTTCAAAAATATGAACTTTCTCTGGGATTTTTATAATTTCAGAAGATTACCTGAAAATTTTCAACATTGCATCGAGCTTCAAATACAGATCCAGGCATTGTGCATTCAATAGAATTCAACTTCAATTCTGCTTTTTGTATTTTTGCTTGAACTTTTTCAAGTTCGTCATCAAACCCTTCCCAGTTCACAGCAGTGGTCTGGAAATAATAAAGTTTTATATTATATTAAAATATCAGCGGAAAATTAGCGTGGAATCAGTAGGGTTCAGAATTTATTATGATGAAAATGATTTTAAAATTAGATAACTAGAACTACTGTCTCATGTCTAACATTAACTAACTATGTATCTGACAATTTTAAATGTCACAAAAATCGAATCTAGTCTATTTTCAGCAGTAAATAAATTATTGAGGAGATTGTGACTTTTAATTTTGTATTAACTTGTTCAGACCAGGTATTCAGTATCATTTGATTATTCTGAATACATGAAGAAGCATGGCATAATGCTAAATATACTCGGTGGTAGACCAAACGTAGGGTTGGAGTTAATATTAAATTAATTAAATTTATATCTGTAAACTGAATTTTTATTGACAGTGCATCATTACACCGAAATATTCATATTTTGAGCTTCTACAAATTTTTTTAACCGAGTTTAATTTATTTACACAAATTCCTACCTGTAAATTATCTCTTATTTCATGAGCTCTATCCAATAAGTTTCCAGCTCTCTCTTTAGCATTGCCCACGGACTCTGCAAGTGCTCGTCTTGCAGTGTTTGAAAGAGCAGGACTTTGTTCCAAGTCTTTTGCTACGAGATTTAATTCTTCTATGTTATGGAGAACTTCATCTTCTGTTGTGAACAATGCCTGTAAAGATAAGCGGTTGAAGATGAATAGTTGGTTACTTACAACAGGAAATTTCAGTCATAAGGACCAAAATCATTATATCATTTAATGAATGTATTTGAATGTATTTAAACTCGATATTATTTATACTGGAAGAGCATCTATACAAAATAATTGGTGATTCAAATACAAGACCTGATATTTCGGAGAAAATATCAACAGTGACTAATAGCAACAATATCTAGATTATGAGAGAGCAATTTGAAACATTGTAAGCTATGTTGGTTAAAGGTTTCTAGTTTTGGAACATAAAATAAAAGCAAAAACACTTAAGTGGAGCTTCAACCATAAAAATTTTTAGTTTGATGTATTAAATGTCTGGTCACGGCAAAGATGAAGCTGATAAAAAAAACTGGGCAAATAGGTTCATTGTGCCACACCTTTAAAACATGCCCCAGCCTATTATAAAACATAGTCGCCCCATGTTCTAACTCATTGATAATGTGTGAGAGCATTGCTTAACTTCTGCTGTCAAAATTGCCCAACATACCCGGAGGAGAGTGACAATGCAGGTATTAGAATAGAATGGAAGTTGTCAACAGATCTTTTTGTTCACTATTCGAGTCACTTTGGTTCCCCCATGTCTACCCCACCATCCCTAATAAAGATATGAAATTCTATTCCATACAATCAATAATTTTTGCCTTTGTACAAAATTTCCAAATTTATGTTAAAAACGACATACGGTAATATTGTAAGTAAAATTCAATATTCAATACTGGTTAGTTGGTTATATTAAAGCTATTAAACTACTGGTAGATACTGTAAAACTTTCCATATTACAAGAAGATACTAATATACCTTATGCATTTACGTTTGAACAGTAGCAATATCTCAGAACATAATGTACTAAATACACCTCACATTTTCTCAATCATTAATGTTTAAAATGAATGAGCTAGAAATGTTTGAATATACAGAGTGACCTAGGGATTAGTTTACAGTTAAAAAATAAATTAAGTAACAACTAACAAGAACCAAGTTATGGGTCACACTTTATTACATAATTATAGAAGAAGAAAAAAGAAGCCTTTATAATAGTGACTGCCATGAACATTAATCGTAATGAACAATTTTTTATTAATTATGGAAATCTCCATAAGAAGTTGTTTATAGCATTAAGTACTGCGTGAAAATTGGTTATCAGAGTGTTAAATAAGAGTCAAACAGAAAAATTAGGTAAAAGAATAGAGGTGGAAATATCCACTGTGATCAAATTTTAATTATGGAAAATATGAAAAAACAGGGTATTGTAGAAGATTATTCTTCACACATTTTAAGTTGAATAGTCAAGTAACTGATGTGCATTTGTGGTTTACAGCACAATCTAAGTCTCAATGGTGCATATCAGCCTCAGTGTGAATTTGAATTAACATATTTGTGTACGATTGTTCAGCAACTATCCACTTTATAATAATATAGAAAATAATATAGAAAAATACATTACAATATGAAAGGTATTAATATCGCGTCTCACTCTGTGAGGTGTTGGAGGAAACATTTTCAAAATGGATTAGAATGAAATATATCTGCATGTGATTGGAAAATATCAGAGTTTGGTGAAATCTTCATAAATCAGTTTACTAGATTTTATGAGCGAATGGTTTGGTTTCTGTTTTGATCCAAATTTTACGATGTGTTAGTGGAGAAAAGAACAAGCCTAAATTTCTAACCAAGGCATACTACAATATTCCAATATTGATAAAGGTTAAAAACAGTACCGTATGCCCCTAATTTGTTACATTTATCTGAAATAACTGAACTCACAGGGCATTTTTTATATAACATTAATTCACGCAATTTGCTCCAAACAAGGTTCTATATAAGCAACTTCTGGTAACTAACGACATGTAAGGAGTCTACCATTATTAGAATGAAGTTACGAAGTTATGGAATGAGATGTTATATGAAAATCTTTAAACATTCATGCAATTCGAGCAGATGCACGAAGTTATGTAAAAAAGTTATGTAAAAATCGCTTTATATGAATAATAATAGCACACATAAACGAACACAGCAAACTCATGCTTTTCAAACCATGCAATATAGACACCTGGTACTGATGTATCACGTCTGCAGCCTGTTGTAGTTGATAATGAAAAAAAAATATTACTGTAAAAATTACATTCCTAAAACATTGAATAAAAATAATCTAATTACAAACAATAAAAAAATTAATGGACAACAATAGGAATATTCTAAAATTATATAATGCCTAGAGGTAAGTAGAATTGTCGGCATCATAAGTGAGAGATGCCTGAGCAGTCCTAACTGAAAATGGGGGTCATTAAATCAAATTGGTTCAGTTGGTTCAAATGTCAAATCAATTGGCTGGTGACCAAAACATTCTTTATCACACCACTGTTATTTAGTGTGGCTGAATTTTTGTGTTCATCTCTGACACAACCATAGGTGCTCCCGAAGTATGCGAACCAAGATGGCGGACATCGGAACGTAACATGGGTAACAGGTTAGGGTTAGGCGATAATTTTTTTCCAATTTTCCTTATTTTAGACCTATTATCAGTTCGAAGACTAGCCAAAGAGCCTCCCGTAGTATTTATACCTAAAATTATGGCCTAACCCTAACCTAGTACACATATTACATTCCGATGTCCGCCATCTTGGTTCACATACTTCGGGAGCCCCCAACCATATACCTGAAATATTCCAATGACATGCTGTCCCTATAATCAGAACAAAGCCAAAGTTGGGCTAAGATTAATTATTCAGGAAAAATATTAAATCCCATCAAGCATTGACGAATCATTCGACATTCACTACAATTTAAATTTGAAGAGAACCTGACACCAACTCGATATGAACATGTGACCTAACAATAAATGTCCATAGTCTATCAAATTTATACTGGACATAAGACACCCGGCCATACAGACATCCAACACCACAAAATAAAAAGCTTTCAAAACTATTGGAGCGCATTCCAGATAAGCTTGATAAAACACTGAAATTACCCCATTAAAATCATTTTTCATATATTCACCCAGTTCTGCTATATTATACCGCAGTATTATAATTACCCTTCAAAAAAAAATTAGTAAAATATATAAGTTTTCTTCATTCATTTTGCATAAATTTTCACCCAAGCAATTATTTTTATAATATTTGTTGCTAATAACAAAATTATAAACAAGGCATGATTTCTTAACCTGATGTTCCTTGAGCAGACTTCTTGCCTGCCTTGGTGAGTTGTCTCCACTTAGTAGTTGTAATTCAGCACTGGCGCTGCCAAGTTGAGATTGTACTTTGCTTAAACAAGCAGAATATTTTTGTCGAGATGCATACGCATCTTCAAGGCGGATCTAAATATGAAATTTTAATTGTATATTATTGGCTTTTCATATGTGTGATGTTTTCTGACATGAGAATGGATTAAATATTATCCCAATAAAGTGACAGTCTATTATTAAGCTGTCACTCATGCTTTTGGAATGGGCAAATACAAGGCATGGGTGCCAATATTAGAGAAATCAGGTAACCAACCAGCTTATGTGAACTTACAAGGTAGCATACATTCTATCAACACAAAATCCAGCACTTAGAAAACAATGATGAGAAAATAACAAGGGATATATGTGTATGTATGTATGTTTATTTGCCTCAAAAATGTAACATTATCTGCATAATAGTTGAACGGTATAATAAAGACGGGATACATGTTCAAGATTTGCAGCAGCAGATTGATTTCTCATACAGAGCAGTGTTTAATGTGATTACAAATACAAAATATATACATTCTCTAATCATAGATTGCTTTTTATATAATTTTAAACCAAATTAAATTTATAAGCTGAATTTTACAAACCTGCTTGGCAAGAATAGCAGAAGTGAGTGCTTCTTTCAGATGATACAGTTGATCAAGTTTTCGATTGACAGATGCGGGAGGTTCCTCCCCTTCTTCTTGATACTTGTCAATTTCTAATTGGCCGAGACTAATCAACATCCGAAGACGAGACTGGACTTCTTCTTGAATAAGCTTGAAAAGAAATAAAAGGATTTTAAGGAAATAGCTAAAAACAAAACACTTGAGTACATTCGCCATTGAGGGGCCCCCATTGGACCACCAAAAGTGTGATAAATCTGCTATGCCCGTTTTGTGATTTTACAAACTCAATAAAGCTCCTATGTCTGAGTGGCTGCTCACACAGAGCCTTGCATGAGGGAAGGCATACAACACTTTTAAAATAAGACATACTGATAAAAATAGCTAAAGCAAGACGTGTATTATATAATTATCATCATTTTGCACATTGAGCCACCTTTTAGTTTCGATTGGCTTGCATGGAAATAAATTTTCAGAGATAAAAGAGAGTGAGAGAGCGAGAGAGAGAGAAAGTAGCATGATCAAAAGATGATATGACCTCTCACCCCAGTTTAATGTTCAAAAAGCACAGTTATATACACTTTTACCCAGTCCTACCTGCAACTTTTTCATTTCCTCCTGAACACTCTGTGTATCAAGTTTCAATGGTTTGTCACATTCAATAGCAGCCTGCATTTCTTCTAACCAGACCAAACCTTGTTCCAAATCTCCTTGGAAATCTTTCCTGGATATTAGTCTGTGGGTTGAGAAAGTATTATTGGAAAGATATTACCAAATACAGTAGAATTACAAAGACAGTTCTTACAAATCTGACTTCGAACAAACTCCAATTGTCTATATACAGTAAGTCCCAAAATTTTATAATATATTTATGGAACAAAATGGTATTTGAATACACTACAGTAGGCTTTCTCAAACTGGGCCATCAGCTCCGTTAGGCCACAAGCAAACTCTTTTGCTAGATACCATTTGCGATGCCTACATTAATATAAAGGAATTGTCTGGTATTTGAAAAATTCTTTGACTGTAATGCATTTAATTTTCTACTTTTGTTTTTAGACTTTCATATTATTAAACGATCACATAAGATAACTGATTGGAATATGTTGGGAGCAAAATTAGTTTTATAGAAGAGTAGTAGAAGGCCACAAGTGTTAAGAGTCTTTGACAAGTGTCGAGGGAGTTTTAGGTACGGGGGCAAGAAGCATGAAAGTTTATATTTTGAATTTTGATTTTACCTTTTTTCTAGTTCTCTTTGTTTTTCCCCAATTTCTGCTTGAAGAGCATGAAGCAATCTTCTGAGTTTATCAACTTTTTCTCTTATTATTGATTTATCCTGCTGATCCATATCAGCACACAATTGTTCTGCCAGTCCGCTGATGGATCTCAGTTCTATCTGTGATGATGTGAGATCTGCTGCGGTTTTCTGGAATTGAGAATTAAAAATTCCGAAAGATTAGTTAATTCACAAATTCCAGTGATAGAATGGGCATTTATAAATATTCACATTAACAATGCATGTCAAAACTTCTCAATCGATTAGTCGGTATCACCTTTCACTAAAATTAAAGTCCTTTTGAATATTATAAGGCAGAACAGTGGTTACCATCCTAGGGCCTGCGGCCCATAAAGAAGGCCCCAGATCAATTGGAGGTAATACTATGCGCAGAATTGATTTTACGTTCCCCTTTACAAAAAAATTCTCCATTTTTCCTATTTTCATTGCTTGATAAGGTTATTTTACGGAGTATTTTCACTTTGTTGAGCATGAATTGTTTGAGTGCTCATGAGTGTAAAAATCTCTAGAAGGGGACCCGTAGAATTTTTATATGCTGCACTCCACTAAATTAGTGTGATGGCTTGGGTAAAAATTAACGCTTTTCACCTCAACCATTTTGGTTTCATTCAGGGTCAATTCTTGGCTATCCCAAATACATCGTTTTACTCAAGGTATAGTGATTTTAAAAACCTACACCAAATTAAAAAGATTTCATTTTAGTCTTAAAGGCCTAGTTCTTAAGGGAGAAAAGAAGTGAAACAATCCGTGATTTGTAGCTCATTTTGTATAGTGAAAGTTCAGGCAAAAACTCACCTGGCATTCAGAAAGTTTATGCTCTGCCCTAGAAGCACTTCCTACAGCGAGTGTTCTTTCATATTCCTTCAATTCAGCAGAAAGTTGCTCAGTCCTTCTTTCGAAATTTTCACGGTTTAATGACATGTCTGAAAACCGCTCAATTCTCTGAGTGCTTTGTTGCATCAGTCGGTGGTATATGGCAGTAGCTAAAATATATTGGAATTGATAATTAATATTATATATCATTTATTTGCTCAGCAGACCATGTGCTTGGGGTATAGCACCATAACATCATTTAAATTGCCTTTCCAGAAGGTTTTACTTGGAAAATAGACGAAATTGTAATAATCCCCTTTGGAAATAATGCTTCTTCCTGCGTTTGCGCTTGTAGTTGTGCTACAGCAAGTGTGTCTCCAACACTCATTTGAGACACCGAATATCAAGTCAAAAATTTCAAAATTAAACAGCCATTCCATCTAGGCTAGCTCAATGTCTGGTATGTGATTAGTAGTTAGTCATTCCAAATACTTAGAATAGTAAAGAATACCTCAACCAATAAGTGATACCGAACCACCCAATGGCAAGTACAGCAATAATTTCACGGCTGATAATCATCTTTCAATAGATTTAAACCTGACAACCCATGGGCGTGGTCAGGAATTTTAAAAGTGAGGGGGTTCTGAAATTTCCAATTGCTAGCAAGAGACTTGTGAATCCTCCTCTGTCTTTGTCCCTGTGTTTGTCTGAAACTAGGCTAGTCTATGAATAGCAGGGCTATAAACAACAAATGTCTTGGGCATACAAACCATGACAGTTGAGAACCACAGATGTGAACAAACCCACCTTTCAGTAACCCTTCTGGTTGCCAAGGTTGTCCTGAGTTCTTTAGAGAATCTCTCATTTTCTCGATTGAATCAAGACTGGGTTTCTTTTCAGCCAATATTTCTTGAGTTTCCTGAAAAAATGCATCGGATATTTATAAGTAATGATCACCTAATAAATTTGCACATTTGTTTGTACATTAACCAAAATGATTTGAAATCTGGATTTGTTCTTTTACAAGGCAGTTATTTCCTTTGACCCACTCATATGAATAAGTACGGTAAGCAATGTTCCCTCTAATTTTTTGTAGTATGTGTGCGCAGAAATTTTGGTGTGTGCGCACTTTTTTGGAAATGACTAATATTTGTGCAAAAACCAATGAAGAAATTTTTGCGTTTTAATTAGGTAATGAGTGGGCCTACAATAAACTTTGTCAACCTGCCAACCGAGTACATTGTTACATTATATCGAAATACGTTTGTGCGCAGTAAATCTATGCGTGTGCGCGGCCTCTGAAAGCTGTGTGCGCGTGCACACGCGCACACTTTAGAGGGAACACTGACGGTAAGTCAAATATTTTATTTAGCTTGTTATTTTTCCAATCAAAACAACATTAGAGATCATTTATCCTCTTCATTCAAAATTTCCTTTTCACAATACTGAAAATTAGACACTTGGACATCAAGATTTGGGTAAATATATGCAGAAACAGTTGACTTCTGGTTTTCCGGCAATATGAGTTGATGGTTCAACATTACAAAACATGTAGAGACAATACACTGAAAAATGCTGTAATTTTTGCGCATTGTGACTAACCTTTGCTTTAGCAAGAAGATCCCTAGCTCTAGCAGAAGTATGGCCGGTAGGTAAAGCATCAAGTTCCTGTAGCATGGTTTGTCCAGTTGCCAGATATTCTTCAAAATGTTCTAATTCATTTGTGTATTCACGACGTGATGACATCATTTCCTCGAGATGTTCATCTTTGTCAACTGCTGCAGCACAGACTCTGAAAAAAAACTTGTAAAATTAGAAATGCTTTAACTGTGTATGAGGCCATGGTCAATTACTTATCTGGCTTTTAAAGTCAACCAGATGATGCCAATAATTAAGTCCGAAATTGGAAGTTCATTATTTCACCATGCTGGAAATAAGCACTAAACATACAGAATTTAAAATAAACAAAAATATCACAATTATTGGAGAACCAAGACTAGGCCAACCATGGCCCAAATAAATAATTTTTCACATCATTTTTTTCATTGCGTGTGGAAGAACTCAAAATCATTGGTATAATAAAAGGTTTTATGCTATATGTTGGATTGACATATGTTTATTAAAAGTAGACTTTTCATTTCATGCCAGAATTCGAATGAACAAAAGAGTTTTGCTTTGCAGTTTGATTCCAGTTATCTCGTAGAATATAAAATGTAGATGTAGGACTTACAGATTAAACTGATCTTCAATCATTTTAATTTTTTCATCCAGGATTTCCTGATCAACATCTGATAACTTTGGTCTTATCTGCTCTGCCTTATCTTGTATTTTATGAACAAGGTCTTGATAAGTTGCAGATTCTGAAGTTATTTGCTAGAAAAATAAAGAATTTGGTGTTTTATGTGTTGTTACTTCAAATAAAAGTGAATCTCCAGTAATTGAAAGCAAAATATTTATGGTTTATTTACTTAAACTGAATGGAGCCTGAATACAGTTTTAACCTAAAATTATTACTTCTATCCTACACTCAACAAACTGCATATGCCAGGGGTCGTGAGTCGGCTTGTGAGCCCCACCCGGCCTCCAAGCCATGTAGTGTGGCTTTTGTCAACACTCGGATTTTCGCTTATCAGGCATAAAATCCTAACTCAACAGTTTATGAAAATGCGATATAGATAAAAATACATAATGATTTTGGCTTATGTCGATGCATTTAATCTTTCGCTGTTTTGGCCGGTGTATTTATTACTGAAAGGCTAAGCAATAGAGGCATTTTCTTTTATTGCCTTTTTCGCTGAATTTCCTGTGTGGCCCGGCTAGATGTCTGAAGTTAGTTATATGACTCTCTTATTAAAAAGGTTGCACATCCCTGGCATATGCTTATCGCAGAGTTAAATCTAAATTCTTATTTAGTTTTACATTGCTGACCAAAAAAAGCTGTACAAATATGACAAGTAGAAATTATGCATTATCATCCCAGGTCATTATTAGCACTGTGATGTTGTTAATGTAAACTTCCAAAATCATTCAAGACACTCACATGATATTTTCCAACTTGTGTTTCCAGGTCAGTCAATGGAGCAGCTAAATTAACTTCAGGAAAAGTAACTATATCTGCTTCCTTTAACCATCGAAGTGCACGATCAACATCAGCCTAAAAATCATTATATGAAATTTTTTACAATCATTTATATCTATGTGTGAATCTTAATCTAATTATCAGGTTGGTTAAAAAATGAACTGTATTAGTCAATGTTATTTTTTATGTATAGATAGAATATCTGACAAAGTTGTTATCACAATATCTTTCACAAACTATTAGTATTAGTACAACATTACATTAGAACAATATTTATACAACACTTACATGAAATAATTCTCTATCAGCAAGTAAATACTGCAATTCTTCCATTTTCTGTGTCCAAAGATTGTCAACTTCTGCATATTTGTCCTCAAGACCTGACGCAAACAAAGTGTAATAAAGAAATTAAAAATCAGTTTACAGATTGTTCGAAAAACTGCAAACCCACCCCATGGTCAAATTTGTTAGTAGATTCTATAAAAAACCAAACCGGAAAGCAAGTTAGTTGAGCAGTTGGGTATGTCAAAACATAATCTTCTTAAACTCTCATTCATATTTTAGATAGTAAACTAAACACGTTCAAATCAAAGTAATTTATCCAGGTATTTGGTGAATTGGGCTATGAGTTAGGAACATATTTGCTATCACACCACCAATTAATTTTTTGCAAGAAGATAGATAGAAACATGTAGCAACTTGGTTCTCGTAATACTTACGGTAATTTATGACTTATTAAACAACCAAAGTCCATTGACATGGAACAATTAAATAGCTGACTATTCCCTTATCCAACCTGGGCTAACAATCGGACAAAACCTGTGGGTTTCTGTATGATTAAGCTGTTTTATTGACTTTGCTTAGTTAAAATGAAAATTTCAAACCCATGGAAAATATCTACCATATATTTATGAGTCATTGTCAAGTGGGTAAATTTTTATTCCACAATGTCAGATACTTGGACAGTTTAGTAGAACAAATCAATGCCAGTATCTATACATTACATTGTGTGGCATGAGGAGACCAACAATTTTTTCATACATATAATATTCTGGACATACGGCAAATCTGACTAAACGATCTATTTTGAATTTTAATTAGCGGTATAAATGAAATATTGAATTTTAATGAAAATTTTTAAGAATTAATCATCTCAAATTATAAATATCTTTCAACTAATTACCTCCAAAGAAATCTCAATACCAAAACCTAAAATGTTGAATTTGATGGAAAATATTTGAGAATTATTTATCTTAAATTTTAAATCTTTTTCAAATATTTACCTCAAATAAAAATCTCAATATGGAAACCTCTAATTATTTTTTTAGACTAGTGCAGAAATCAAGAAAATTATCAAAATATTTTACAAACCATGCAAATGTTGAAATCCACGAATCACAGCAATCTGATCTTGAATTAGTCATGCACTCCGATGATTAACTTAGATTTAGTATTTATACCTGATAACTTGCCTTTCACACTCACACCTTCTGGTTTCCCTTCGTAAACAATCTGAAGTCCGGTCGCTGTGACGTCATCAACTGTCTTCTTGTGCCGAATGATTTCTCTGTGTAAAACCTGAACCGGGTATGAAAATATTTAATATTATGCTGTAAAGGTGAATCTATTGCCTAAGCCAGCGATTCTAAACCAGTGGATCATGGTCGAATGAAACATTTTCAGAATGTAACAAATCTATTAAAAATTGTTGATTATTCAAAAAATCTTGATTGTAGTAATTATTAAAGTGGAAGCGTCTATATTTGCAAAAGTTGTTTTTGTTTTCTTTATAGTTTTTTCCTTGCATTAGGAAAATAATGGGCCATAGATTTTTTTTGCAGTGAAAGTGAACCATGAATGTAGAACCTGAACTAGAAATGGAATTTTTTAATATCATGCTGCAGAGGTGAGTCTATTGCCTAAGCCCCCAGTTCTCAATCAGTGGGTCCATGGCCCACCTATGAAACACAGAAAAAGAGGGGCCACAAACCTATAGATTGATTGATTGATTATAGATTGATTATTCAGTTAATCTTGATTGTAGTAACAATGAATGATTATGTTTTTCTCTACTGAGTGGTAATTTACATTTAAATTATTGTAGTAGAAGCGTCTATCTTTTTTTTTTCTCATGGTTTTTCCATGCATGAAGAAGGTAACGGGCCGCAAAATCTTTGTACAGCGAAAAGGGCCACGAAAGAACCACTAGTCTGAGCATTAAAGATATTTTTACTCTGTATGGATATGTAGATTTAAAATATAATTAAGAGTGAGATTGTTGAGTCTTAGCAGTCAACAACTAGTGCTGAGCATTAGGGATACATTCAGTCCACTTCAGAAATTTGAATTTTCAACCAATTATGTTTGACATACCCGATGATCTTGTATAAGTTTAGCAACAGCATCAGGATGTAATGGAGGATGTTGATGAGATTCCAATGATTCTTTTAGATGATCAAGCCATGCTATAGCCTGAATAAAAACATTAAATTATTTTCATGTTGTGCATGCTAATTAATTTAACTACAAAATTTGAAATTCTTAGTAAAAGGGTTTAGCACAGAAATTTTGCTTACATACATGAGACTTCATTGTATAGGTAAAAAAAATAGTTGTTGATCGAGTAAATAGTTGGATGTTAAAATGGAATTTATTCAATGTTTGATAAGAATAAACACAGGTTTATATCAAGTTTCGTGTAACTCGGCCAAGTTTACTTCCATACGAAAGAGGGAGTTTAGGTGGCATTACTTCAATACAGTTCTAATTTTCTCCCAATATTATTTCTACTAGATGAAACAAATGAACTTTTCTATTACTTGGGGTACCAAAACGGTAATAAATCCAAAGAATAGGATTTTTATACGTTTAACAACTTGTATCTTTATATCTGGTGGCTTTTTTAGGTAGAAATATACAAAAAAGTGCTTTTCATTTACCTGTTGAGCAGTTGCCCAAAGGTCTTTTCTTCTACCAATTGCATGATTTAAATCATTAGTTTTATCATTTGCAGATTTTTGTATTTCTTTGAAATATCTCTGCAGGTCTTCAACTTCATGCTGAAGCAACTCTCTCTCTTGACTGCTCAAGTTGAGTGGGAGAGTTTGGTGACAGCTAGTCAGTTGATTGAATTCCTCTTTCTTGTGGGCAAGCTCTTTGCAAAGCAACTAAAAGAAAAAATAATAATAAAATATAAGGTGACTATTTGGTTACTTAATTTAGTGTCAAAAACACGAATAGTTAGTCACTGGACACATTGCTCTTACAGGATGATTTGCATAACAAATGGCAAGTTAAGAATTACTGCAAGTATATCTATGTTATATCTTACATTTTGAGCTACATTTTTTTCATTAATAATACCCCTTAGTTCAGAGGTTCTCAAACTTTTTTTTTTTGCTTGCGGCGCACTTAAAAAACAAAAAAAAATCCGCGGCACACTTGTAAAAAATAAAGTTAGCTTCAAACAAATTTATTCTGCAAATTTTAATGTCTGTGCCTGTTTTGAGAAACAATTGAAATTCTGTCGCTCTCTTTTTTTTGTTTTTAATTTCAGTCAAAGCAGAAAATCCGTGTCCACAGAGCCATGGAGATGCAAATGGCTAGATTATTCTGATGGCTTTTGCACCGATGAATAAATAGAATTTGTAAACAGATCGCCAAAACTCAACCTGAGTGAGCGCTCAAGTCAACATGATAGAAGGTGGACGTCTTGTTTACAAATACAGTATACCAAATACAATTATGACGTAACAATCACCCTTACTACAACAAGAAAAATGCAATATTATTATCTGTCTTATAAGAAATGCATAGTGCGGACAAGTCTCAAGCGTGCTCGTTACATGCATCCCGATGTGTAATACGAATAGCCAATATTCTGAAATTCCAAAACGCTCCGCGGCACACCGGAGAATCTCCCATGACACACTAGTGTGCCGCGGCACACAGTTTGAGAAACGCTGCCTTAGATGCAAAAAGCAGCTTCTAATTCAATCAATTAATTCTAAAAATGTTTATCAATTTCCATTTTTGATTATAGATTCCAGGTCTGTCTTGGTAATGCACATAAATCCAAACCAACTTACATTATGATACTGTCTTGCAGCGTTCAGCTCATCCACACTAAGAGTCATAGGAACCGGCTCAATAATTTTCTGTTTTATATCAGACAACCAGGCGCTGATATCTGCAAGTTGATTTCTGTATTCTGTCATCTCACTGACTATGTTTTGCAACATTTGAAGTCTTGACTGAGCTTTCTGTTCACAGTCGATCCATTTTTGGTTCAGATTTCTGAAGTAATTGTCATTTTTAATTTGGGCAATAAAGACAAAGAAGCAAAAACTCTGAAATTATTGTTGTTAGTTTCTATTTAATCCTTTGCTTGGATGGATTTCAGAGTATTTTACCCTTTATGAATTTTACTTTAAGTTTTGATTGCGCTACTGTTGTGGGCTAGTGACCTAATATGACCCAAAGTACCTAATATGGATGTGTTGATTCTATGCCCACCACTTTATCGAGGCGGAAATAGACAGGACAGTCCCTATCAATGATGGGAAAGATTCCTTCTAAATAAATAGTAGGTCTCCACTTCTCAATGGCTGCCTGTCTATGGCCTGAAAGATTCTATCAAAAAATACAGCTAACGTTTTGAATACTAAACATAGACATCAAAATGACCTTTTTAAGGTTTAAAAATCGTCATATTGATAGTTTACAGTAATACTCAATGTTAGTATTTCCCAATGGAACAAAATCAAAGTACCCAAACCAAAGAAATTGTGATTGAAAACATACAGATTGCCATTGCAGAGAAGAAAATAATGCCATTATTTATCTCGATAGTTTTGTGGGCCTACCTGTATTTATCTTCAACAGAATCAGCATCATGAACAGACATTCTTGGTGTCAGCGATTGCATTTTATCACTCAAGTTATCAAGCATTCCTCTGAGCTTTCCCATTTCTTGAACAATTTCCTGCATAATTATAATGAGTTTAGTAATTTTTAGGAACATTAGGTTGACCTACATTTGGTTTTCAGTTTCCAGTCTAAGGTAAGAATAAATAGATAGTATGGATAAGAAGTCAGGAATCCCAGATGAATAATTAAACACTTTGCTGGAATCTTTGCTGCCATAGATTAGTCTATGTTACTACTGGTTGGCTATGTTCACCCTCACCAACAAGTTAGAAGAAATAGCTGGTTAACTAATCCCAAACCTGACATGTTCTAGTAACGGGATCATGACTCATTCAGTGTATGATTCAGTCGTGTTATCGTTTTTTCTCTCCTCCCAAAGAAATATGAAAATCTTATTCTAATATTTTTTAATCTTCAAACCTTTTAATTCCAATATTACATAAAAATAACAGCAAAAAAACATCTGGCCAGATTAAGAACTTGATGGCTAGTTTTTACAAGAAGCTCAAGAACGCTCTTAGCAATGATCCAGGATTCATAAAGTCAGAAGATCACACTGATATGACTGAAATATTTAACTGGCCACAAAACCTCAGAATCAGCAAGCCACTACATAAGTCAGTAAAGCTGTACTCGGAAGATGCAGTAATGACTTTCGTTTGTTTATATACAACTTGAATATATATAATATTCTACATATCTTTCTACCTTAGCTTTGGCCAATTTTTTATCTGTATCATCTGTTGTGTTTCTGATCAAAGCTTCAACATCTGATTTGAAATTTTCAACGACAGTTTCAACAGCAGCAAAATATCTGAAAACGTTTTATAAATAGAGTTAAAAATATATTTTGAATATAAATTTTGAATTACAAATGAAATTGAATAAAAACATTAAAATTTTTTTGATAATTGTCCCGAGTTTATAATTTTTGAAGCCTGAAAATCAAGAATTTATTAATGACAGAGATAAGCAAGAAAATAGCCTTAACCACAAATTGATGTACCATAATTTATATAAACGGAAAAATAAAAAAAGTTTTTATCATTATTTTACACCTTCACACTCAACAAGTCTTTGTGAATGCTTACAAACTGACTATCAAAATTGAAATAAATTGAACTCTTTTTGGTTCAGCACGGCTTGTCCAATTTCGATTAGTCGGGGTGGCAAACAAACTAAAAAAAAATTCTTTCACTTACGTAGAAAAATCTTCTGTAGCAGACAAATTCTTTTCCTGAGCAGCACAAAGATTACTAGCGATTGATCTCAGATGCTCCCACTGAGACTGGACATCTTGGAAATCAGGATCAACTGCAGTATCTGAAATTATAAATATGAATAGTACAATGGTGGAAATTCGCTTTTTCTATAGACTTGTAATTGGAGTTACATATTCATCCCGAGGGAGAGGGGAGACAATAAGACGGCTTAATCATATGGTGAACCACGGCCTCTCGTCCGGTTGCCAGCCCATGTCGGGTATGGGATTAGTTAGCCAGTTATTTGTTTACAGATGCATGAACTTGATGGTAGACCAGCGGTTGCATGAACCACCCTACAACGTCGAAGAGGTGCGGTGGCTAGCGTATTTCTAATGATTAGCATGAAGCGCCACACCGAAATCAAACCCAATAATCAATAACCTAAATTCACAAATATATAATATATAAATTTCAACCACTTACCAGGACCAAGCAGAGAGTCATATTTTTCCTTTAACTGGTTCAGAAGTATTTTCTTACTGTCAATATCTTCTAGAATGCTTCTGCAATTTCCAAGATGTTTAACAGCAGCTTCTGATATGATTTCTGATGGTGCGTCACCCAGTCTGTCAAGAGATGTTTCCGCTTCAAGTAGCCATTCCTGAAATAGAAACGAATTAGTCAAATGTTGGTTACACTAGGATTTCTTTTAGCTTGTCACATTGCAAATCTAAATCTTAAAAAGCAACTGACTTTAGTACAATCAAGTAAAATTTTGTTATTGTGAAGTCAGTAGGTTACAGGAATCAAATGCGAATCGATTAGAATAATTCGACATTTCTGACACAAGTTGAGACAATTTAGAATCCACGTGTCAGTTTTACAAAACCTGTAGTTAGTTTATTTTTCACCAAAATGAAAATACACTTGATGCATACAAAATCTCAAAAAAAAATCACGAAAGTGACATTTCACAGGGAAAAGAGACCCGAAAAAACAAAGTTGGTTATTGAGCAGCAAGACCCGTGCAACTCAGCATTGTCTGATACATAGCGCAGCATAGTAATATTATCATTTTCAATAAAAATCATCAGATTTGTAAAATAGTTAGTTAGGACAACATTAGGAACAGCATATTTATTGCATTTTTCAGACTAGCCAATGTTGTACATATTTGCTTAGCCCTGCATCCCTAGTACCCAATTGTATTTATTTTTACTGAAGTAAAATCATGGTAATTATGTAAATTTTATATTGCATTATAATACTGGTTGGCAAATGGGATTCCAAATATCTAGTTGCACTACCAATTGAAATTCCTCTTCCCAGGCTGATAAAAAATCAACATACCTTAAATTCATTCTGTGCTTCTGTGACTGCCAACCATTCAGTAGCGATATCGTTTGCATTTTGCATTTTTTCGTCAAGATCGAGTTGAAATGATTCAAGTTGTTGATTAACAGGATCCATCTCAGCAGGATGTGTTTCCAGATTCTCTTGTACGAATTCTAGTTTTTCTAAAAAATGAAAAAAAAATTGAGCATATAGTAACAATATAAATAACAAATAAGTTATAAATTGCTATTTGTTCAAGTCTTTCATCAAAACATTTACCGGTAACTACAAATCAAACATATAAACTGGTTCAGAAGTGGGAAAAATTTTACACAAAGAGAAACCAAGCCAATTATTTTGAAAAGTTGTGACATTCCTAACAAAATTAAACAAACAAAATTGATAACTGGAATTTATCTGTAGTCTCAGGTTTTTGTATTATTCTAGTGTTAACTATGTATAGTTCAATCAATCAATCATTTATTTTGGTTCTCTGACATAAATAATACAAAAAGTAAACAGACAAAACAAAATGCAGAGATACCTGGGAGACGGGCATAACTTAAAAAAAGTTAAAAAGTGTACAATGCCTGCCGACCAAAAAAGAATAACAAACAGAGAAAAACGCGTTTTACAATCGGGCAGTACTTTGAAAGCAATTTAACAAAAACAGCAAATTAACATTACGTTACATTATGATATATTTAGAATTTTTTTTCAGCATACCTTCCAATTCCACAGCAATAAAAGCCAATTCCTTGACAGCATGTTGGGCCTCCTGCAAGCTTGCTGGTTTATATGTCATTGAGATTTTGACCGCTGCTTGTTTCTCGCTCAACCATGACCGAATTTGTTGAAGTTTTACATTGAAGTCTTGTTGTTTGTGAACAATTGATTTCAAACGATCAACAAGTTGTAAAGCAGCACTATGTACAGTGGCATATGTTGTCTGAAGTAAAAATATCAATTTAAGCTTTGTGCTTAAAAATTATTAGTTTTAAATTACTTTTTTGGGTGCAATTCTCCCAGAATCAGTGAACTGATACATTGTAAATAAAAATTCATTTATATCACGATATATCCAAGTTCCTGGCAGGCCAGATGACCTAGGGTTGAAAGCAATAGAATTGACTTTGGTGGCATTGTACATCTCTTATACTTCTCAGATTAAAATCCCACGCCCACCACCACACCCAGAAACTAATAAATACAGCAGGAAATACAGCTTGTATGGAGCCTTGTTCAGGGTGGAAAGTATGAATAAACGTTGTTTAAGAAATATAAAGAACAACAAATAACAGTCATCACACATATTGCAAATCATGGCCCATTCTCATATTACCATTCTGCCTCATTTCAAAAGTGTAGAATAATCAACGAAAGTTGTATAGCAAGAGGAAATTGAATGATGATTATGAACTATATATTAGAGTAGATTCCAATCAAACCTCATGATTTCACAAATTATCTTTTGTATTTAGAGATTGATTGCCTCAGAGTTCAGAAAACCAACAAAATACTCAAATTATATGATAAATTATAGCCAAATCTCAAGTACAAATCGAAGTAGATAAAGAAAGTAATAGCTATTTATACCCCATGCTTTAAAAATTTTTCACATTTTGCATATGAAATCGCATTTTGTAACCTCTGTAGTCAGTGGTGCAATAAAAATATTGCTCAGAAAATTCTATAATCTGATTACCTGTAACTTATCCAGTTGTGATCTCACTTGGCCCTCTAGTGGTAAAGGTTTGTCATCGTACTCGTTCAATAATCTTTTGCTCATCGAACTCAATGACTGAACCTCAGTTCTGAAAAATTATTTGAAGATAAACATCAGTGAAAAAAAGTTGGGTTGAGAATCAAATTTGAAAATAATTTTTATGCAAGACTTGAACAGTAGCAGGACATTCCGAAAATTTGGAGTGCTAAATGTTTCCCACTGAATTTTGGTAAATTTAGCAAACACAAAGAATGACAAATTTTATTATTTTAATAAAATACTAAACTAGTGGTTCCCAAATCGCGGCCCTTGTCCCAATTATGGGATTCAATATGGCCCCCAGAACTCATGTGAAATAGTTTAACACTTGTTTTTACTTTTTGCGCTGTGTGTGCACTTTTACCACTTTACTAAACCCACCTAAAATTGTTGATTTCTTCCAATGTTCCTTGAAATTCTTGAAGCTGAGATTCAAATTTTTCTGCTGATTGCTGAGAAACAACCAGTTCAGACGGAAAGTCCTAATATGATAAAAAATATATATACAAATACATATAGATAAAAGGTGGGCAAATTACTGCCTGTGGACTCCAACGAAGTGTTTTATCTGGCACACTTATGTCTGCTAAAATTTTGACTATAACTTTTATGGATATGAATTCCTGTTGAAAATATCAATGAAAATAACGTCATAGTGACCCAATTGTTTCTTTATGCTTATTAATATATATACATTTGCATGTGAAAACTGTTTTTTATTGATAGTTTTTCAAATTAAATTTTGAGCCTCTGGCCCAGTAACCAAATCTTATATCTGTAACTGGCCCACTCTGTAAAAAATAGTCCCCCCCTCTCCCCCTCTTGATATCTTGGAACTTCCCTTTTCTGCGTAACGTTTGGTTTACGGTCTATTTACCTTCCAAGTTTAAGTGTTTGGAAAAACTTTTAAATATTCGAAAAAATCTGTCTGCAAGATACCTGAGATTTTGAACAATTACAGAATTTTGATTTTCTAGATTCTACTTTCTGCATGAAGAATGAGTAATATAATAACTTACCTGGGAAGAAGCAGCCATGATTTGTGATGATTTGCTCAGCAGCCATTTTTCAGCAGACTGCATTCCTTCAAAGTAATCTTGGTGAACTTTGACCTATGAAATTAGGAATATGATGTCACATGCAATGCGATATGATACAGAAATATCCTGCACTCCGGAAGTATTCCTACCAAGATGATGCCCAACGTGAACTTTAACCTGGTACACATACTATGTTCAGGTTGTGCACCATATTGGTATGAATACTTCGGGGGCACCCAATACTGCACATGGACTAATAACCAAACAGGAGACCATGATTTGCCATATGACTAAGTCACCTTGTTGATTTTACTCTCTCTTGCGATAAATAAGTAAATCCTATCATATCAATTTTATATTTATCTAGTGAAAGAAGACAGCCTACAAGAAGGATTACTAATATCTCAAAGAACTACCATTTCTGGTTTGGTGAAAAAAATGAACCAGTGCTAAACTTCAGTCACTTCAGTACCATATAAAAATTTCTGTTATTTCATTGAGTATTTGTGGGTGAGTCATCACATGAGAATATAGACAGAATTCATGAACGAAGAATTTTGATGGAAAGCAACTACTGAAGTGACAAAAGCAATGAAAAATTTATAGATAGCTTCCATGACAAATTTAATCACTGATAAAAATCAGCATACCCTGGCTTTAAGTTCATTAATCCTTTGCTGACTCTGTTGGGCAAGTCTGTGATATTCTTCATTAAGATGTTCAACTTCTCTTGATTCACGAATGTTATCAGGCAATCTACGAGCTTTCAGGATCACGGTTTGCAAGGTTTCATTGTTCTTCAAAATTTCTTCATGATAATTTGAGAATCTAGGAAAATGTAAGTAATATTAATTGTTTTTCACTGATCATAATTAGTTTTAGCATATAGATGGGTGAATGTTCCTGACCTTGACATGCGGCTGAATAGTTGTGCTTTTGTGAATGTCAGCTTGGGTTGTTGGGTTGTTGTAAGTGTATCGCTGATCAACTACTCTCTATTATAACCCAGACTGGTAACTGGATAAATGGCCAAGTAATGCTACATGACTGTTTATCTTCCTAACAGAGCAAATATAAAATCCCAATATACCCAATGTAGTGAAACCATTTGAGGAAAACTCATTTAGATCATTTTCTAGACTTTTATTAACTTAAAGATTGCTACTATACTAAAGCAAGAAAAAGAAAATTTACAAGAAAATTAGCAATCTTGGCACAAGCTTACCAAATAAAACCCACGCTTTGTCAAGCGCCTAAAAACATCTTCAGTTAACTCGACGACAGTGCCACTTTGGCCACATTAGGTGGTGCTAATTCATCACACCCGATTCTATTCGAATGACTGAGCCCCAAAAGGCAGCAACCCAAAACGTTTTTTCTCACCTTGCTAGTTGAGCTTTCTTTTCGAATAATTCATAAATAATCTCAGGTTTCGCATTAACTTTATGTTGCATATCCGTCATCCATGTCTTGAAGTTTGACATTGAATCTTGGTAATCTTCATAATAATGCAATGTACGATGCAGATTCCTTCTCTCTGCTTGGATTCGAGTGTAAAGCTCCTGAAAACAGTTTTAAAGGTCGTGATCAGACAAAACGACTGTGTGGACATAAAGGTCAGATTATGGCGTTATTTAAAGAGCACCAGCAAAGCTGGAGCAAACTTGTAAAAATGAAAGTAATAGAGATACTTCTATCGCTAACTACTTCAGACATTATTATATAATTGAAAAAGGGCAATTCTATCACAACGATAATGCTAGAATAGTTTTTTTTATTATTCTCTGGTTAAAAAGTAAGCAATAAGATGTCTAAGACTAATCACATGGTATTTTCTCGGCTGTCACCTGGTTAGCTAGGGCATGGAGATAGCCAGCCTGTTAACAATATAGATGCATGCATATAGCTTAACTGTAATCTAGTAATAGTCTCACTTATGTTATAACCATAGCATTAGATCTTATGGTATGCAAAGTAAAAAAAAAACTTATAAACCCCTAAAAAACAAGTATACCCCTAAAACTATGAAAACATGACCTCCCTTATGAGATCAGATCGTACAACATCAAAAATAGAAAACACTTAAAGTATACAACATAGATCTACAAACCTGGAAATCCTCATGTTGAGCAGCCGTCTGTCCCCTGATTCCCTCAGTGTGAGCTTGATCCAGTAATTGAGTGAGTTTGGAACTTTTATCAGAGATAAGAGATAATGCTACTTTGTGTGATTCAAACTCTGATAACAATTCATCAAGTTTATCTGAACACATCTAAAAATAGAGAAGGCTTTAAAAATAGTGCATGTAAGTAGAGCTAGTAGATCCGTTGTTTGGAATAATATAAAAAAATCAGATGTAGACTTAAAAGACTTAAGACTTAAAGAAAGACTTAAATCTTTCTGATGTTGAATTGCTAGCGCAATTTATTACACCCTGGGTGAAGTGGGGGCATGGTATTTGAACCTGGGCTATTTAACCTGCAAAGCCAATGCTTTAAGTCCAATGCGTTAATCCCTATAATGCATGCAACCAAAAGATCCAATCCTTCAAACTGTGTATTTAGAATAGTTAAAAGAGTTCTTTTCTCGCATGGGTCAAGACTGAGAAAATGTCTCAAATCTTTGATAGTTATACAAAAAGTAAACCCACCTGAGCATTATCAGCGTCAATATTTTCTGGCAATGTATACATGGCAAATCGTTCATCCGTTGTTTGAAGCCATTTGTCAAATTCATCCGCTTCACTATCAAACTCTGTCTGAAGTTGGATTGTATCTTGGAACTTTCGAAGTTTGTCTTTTGTTCGAATTATCAGAGTTTGGTACCGTGATGTCATTTGGGTGACCTGAAATTTTGTCAATAAGAAAAATTAAAATTTGTAAATCTAGATGAAATAAAAATTGATGATATTATTTGTGTCGTATGGAGTAAAACTCGTATCTCATTGGAGAGGTAGAAATTCTAAACCCGAGAATAAAGAAAAGATTTTGCTATTTTTAATTCAAGGTAAACATGAATGCTCAGTACATGATCTTAAAGTAAGCTACAGTTAGTCCAGTAGAGCAAATCCAAACAAAGTGCAATAAATTAAGGAAGTTGAGCTTTTATATATTCTCAATTTTATATTTCAGATTCACTCACATATGTAAATGTAATTGAAAATCTATCAACAATCATTTTACTATTTTTTAGCTATATGCCTCAGTGAGATTTGTTTGGGACCCTGTTTAAAGTCCTAGAATAAAACGAGAGGCTGTGGTTGACCAAATGATTAGGCCGTATTACCTTATTCCTCCCCTCAGGATAAATATGTAAATCCTATCCTATCCTGTTAATCTTATCATTATTTCAAAAATGTCCTGATGCAAATAAAATAATACCTGCATGCTGATATTTCCATCTGTACTTCCACAAGCGTCCACGAGTTGTTGAGCAGCTTTGTTAAGTTTATCAAGTTTGGATTGATTCGCAGAAATTTCATTCGAATATGATTTATACCGATCAACAAGATCTCGATTCTCTGAGAGACTGCTTGTCAGTTGGATCTGGAAAATTATTGGAATTTCTTGAAAAAAAATAGAAATGCAAATTTATATTTAAATATACCAAAAGTCGGATTCAAAATTAACAAGAGTAAAGCTAAATTTTGAGATAGCAAAACTAATAAAGCAACAAGGAACCCAGGTAAAACTGTCTTGTGATGTAAAACTGTCGCGATATGATTAGACATTAATCTCTCTCTCGATACATATAAAATGAAATTCTATCCTATTAACCAATGCCTTTTCTTATTATAAATTTTGCACAATATGTTTATCTGACACATTACCCTGTCAAATTATAGTATAATGGCTTGAAAGTTTGATACATATTTATTTTTGTTGTTCATTACTGGCCCATGCTATGTTTACCTAAGTTTATTTTTTGCATGATTTTTTGTGTGTGTGTTGGTGGACGAGTGCATGATATTTGTCATGTTTCAAGCTTTTGTTTGCATTCCGTTTTTATTTTTCGTGTACTACGGAGTTATCGAAATAAACTATCTACAGTATGTTTGTGCCAATAGCAAGCTTAATCACACTCTCACCTCAGCATCAGGGCACTGTTCCATTGCTGAAATCCAGTCTAAAAATTCTTTGCAAATTTTCTCATATTTTGCTGTTTCTTGAATCAGTGTCTGAGCATTGACAAGAGCTTGTTCCAGCTTAGTTCGATAATCATTCCAATCATCACGAAGAGTCTGTAATCAGAAGATATGATAAATAAAAAATATCTACCGCAATACCGAGTGTAAAGTAGAATTATTATTGCCATTATTATTATTATTGTGTGTGTATGTGCTATGAAACAGTTATGTGCCTAGATAATCTTCATCATATATTGCCAATACTGGTGACAAGACAAAGGTTTGCCACAATCAATGGACAAAAGACCGGGAACATCGGACATCGGAATATATAGGCCAGTTTACCTATGCATCTTGGAACAACTATGAAAAATTGTACTAGTCTGTCCATTTTCATAAACATTAAGTCATATCTGTCCTGATAATGCCTTTCCATGAGGTGCTTACACTCTAGATGAAATGGTGGACATGATGGCACATGGGCATTCAGTTTCAGCATGAAATATTACACCTGTCGTGCGAAAATTGTTAGGCACTATGCTTTATCCACTAAGACATTGCATCTGGATAGTAAGAGATAAAATACCTGGTAAAAGTGAAATATTCGTTACTATACCTGAAGTTGGAGCTTTATACTTTTATCAGGACTGCTTCTCTTTCCAGCGGAAATTGCTTGTTTCAATTTTTCTTCTCCTTCAGGGATTTCTTCTTGGAGCTTTTCAAGGGCCTGAAAAATAGCAAGAAAAATTTGAAGGAATAAATATGAAAGAGGAATGGAGCACTCATGCTCTTTGCCGAGCAGTCATTTCCTTTGAGTATAAAAAACAACATGGAGCTTTTGACCCAGTATAATCAACCTGATTAAATTATGCTTGCTACATACTGCAATGGCGCATCATGCTAATCGTCAGGAATATGCTCACCACCACATCTCTGGTTACCCTGCGTGGGTCCCCAGGTTTGAATCCCATGCAGTGATAGTTATGTGCGAGAGGATTGATGGATTCCTTGCCACCATGGTTCCGTGGTTCACCTTATGATTAATCCTATCTTATCCCTTTCAATCCTCCGTTAACAAATCTATTTTATCTCACCTATAAACAAATAAATATACCTAAAATATACCCACCTTGATATTCTCCTGAAGCATTTCCTTCCCACAAGAGGTGTCAGAAAGTTTGAATAATTCCATAGATTTACCAGAGAACCAGTCAGTAAATATATGAAGTGCTTGATGATAAGATTTTGCACTTTCAGCTTCTGTCTCTGCTTCATTTAGAAGACCTTAAAAAGGAAAGAAATGCTAATTAAAATAAAACAAGATAATAATGCTCAAACAAACGATCATCAAGGTGTTAATAGTATTGCAATAAATGTTGAGCACTCGATTGAAAGATTCTTTTGTGAAAAAGGGAAAATTTCTCTAGATAAAAAAATTCGGGATAAAACAACAAGCCCATGGGGACCAAAAAGTTTGGAAACCAATAAATATTATTGCCCTCTAAGGGGTACTTGCATCTCGAACTACTGGAAATTTAGAAGTGACTGATCCAGTAGCTAAAGATTATTATTATGTCCCAGCATAATATTTCCAATTGTACATCTAGTGACCAATGATTGTACGCTCCAAACCTGGGACAAAAGTATTACTAAAAAGGTAATGTATTGAATATCAATATGATATAATTTCTTATTCATCTGAGTAGAGAGAGATAAACATATAATAATTCATGAATTGAGCATGAATACACGTCCAACGTCCAATTGCTGAAGTTAAATTCATTACCTTGTGCAGCATTGAGCAACTCCTGATAATGTTCTCTTATTTCAGCAAGATCAACTCTCGTACCAGACACATCACCGGTGATATTTGCAATTTTGTTTGCACATTGTTGAATGTTATCAATCATGCCAGATTTATTCTTGATGTCCCGATATAGCAAACGACATTTTTCAAGATCAGAGAACAGGGCTTCAGGTGAAAGACCCTTCGTAAAAAAAGAATATAATAAAATTTCACTTAAAAAGGGGTTGAGTAAATACCAACATTTATTGCATAGATGTGTATTTTCATATTTAATCAGAAATCAGTAGTTTTACCTGAAAATCCGCACTAGACTTACCATGCTGAAAATTTGCACAAAATACAATAAATCATAAAAAATTCACTTTTCATGATGAGGGGAGATGCAGAACATCAATGCTGATTAATATTGAGCAGTGGCACTCACCCTTCACATATTATATCAAGTAAACAAGCACTGCAAATGTTGAGTAAGAATTACAAAATGTCTTAAAAATTGAAAAACTTGATAGAATGCAATGAAAAGAATTCCAATGTTACTAAATTGTTTAAACTCTTGTTTTCGAGTTGAAAAAAAACCTCTGTGGAAATTTCAGTTTAAAAAATCAATCAGTACCTGTCCTCCATGAGCAATTTTCTCAGCCTTGACACTAACATCAGTGTTTTGCAACCATGTATGAGCGTACTTCACGGCCTCTTCATATTTTTCCCAAAGTCCAATGCATTTACGAAGTTGGTTTCTATGCAAAAAAAATAAAATATTATAAAATTGAAACTGGAGTCACTCGTATATATAAAAAAAATGAGAGAAAGGCTCATCCATCCACCCAACTTAATTTGCTATTTCATATGTTCTACCAAACTAATTTAGTTCAGTAGAAATAGACCCTCTTCTGGGGTTAATTTCTATATTACAAATAGGAGTGAAAATTCATTAAAATCTGAACACAAAGCTAAATTCTTTGGTCTAACAGATTTTTTAATTGTTATGTTGTTTTATGTAAACATGATATTTATCCAACATTAGAACCAATGAAAAAAATTCAAGTATGTTTTATTTGCTTTGAAAAAGTACCTAATTTCTTCAGCTTTTGCAACATTCTCTTCCCAAGATTGCACAAGTTCATTGACCTGAGATTTGATGGTAGGTTGTCCCCGAGGTGCAGTAGTTGGAAGAATCTTCTCACTGTGACCTGAAAAATTAGAAATGATGTTAAAAGCTTCATAAAACAAAAGTTGTAAAGCTTTCAGTATTTGTAAAACTGCTGGCATCTTTTACACTTATTTCAGAAAAATCACAGCTAAATATAGAAAATCACAGGCTTTGTCCACATCAGGTATGGGAACAGATAACCAGTCATTTGTTTCATGTGTACAGATTCGGGGTAAAGGTATGAGGGAGAACTCTCACGAAAGCGGAGTGGCACTAAAGTATTTAAATGCCCAAATTACTGTTTGCAGAAATTTTAGTTTAGACCTATAAACAAAAACATCATGAGTACAATATACATTTAGTGTGACGTAAACCAAGTTCAATCAATCAATCAACAATCAAAAATGATCACACTCATATATAGGTGGCATAAAATATTAAATTACATTAATCCATTTTTCCTCATAATGAATATAAAATGATAGCTTTCCGTTATTTTCTATTGTGAAAAAAAATAATATACCTCTTGTAATATTGATCTTCACTTCTCCTTCTTGTTTTCCACCAAGAATTGTTTCAAGTTTATGAAGTCTTTGCTCCAACATTTCTTTGTCTCCTGTCAAAAATGAAATAACAAAATAAGTCTGAACCAGACCAGATAAGTTTACCAGTAAAAATAACCCAACCATCGTATCATTAGGTGTTGTCTCAATTACACAAAGTAAAATAAGCTTTCGTTTATAATGCAATAAATTAGATTTTAAATGTGAATACCTCAACGGTACTGACAAATAATTTATTTTGAAATCTGTCATAGTAGTACAGTTGGCAAAGTGCTGGGGTCATAAGTTTAAATAAAATTGGTCTTTGGAAATTTGATGCCCAGATATAGAAAACCGGCTTGCTGTTATAGCATGGCAGGTGTGGGTGAGGTATACCTTTGTCTACTCTACCACGTCGAAGACTGAAACATTGAAATGTTCAACTATTCCCTTTAACCAATGCAAACAAAAAGTCAGGCCTGCCAAGCCTTGATTAGTAATTCACTTCAATTATTTCAATATATTCATATTTCCAGTCCCCTCCTGGGTTTAAATATATCTCTTATACAATATCAATATACCTGTCATGTTAGAATAAGTTTCCAATCTGTGACTGAAATCATTGATCCATTCCTGAGCTTCTGTGAATGCAGTTTGATAAGCTTGGTGTTCAAGAAGATTCTGTTCACTGCGTTTCAAAGCATCCTTAAAACAAAGAAAGAGAAAATAATTACAACGGATTACTTTAAGATAGAAAAATATTTGATGGTTATGGACTGTTGAAAAAGCTGGACAAATATGAATAGAATTTTTCCAATTCAACTTTGAGCGGCTGTTAGTGAGTCCCAAATTTTTGATGTGTGACAGAGCGAAAATTAGTAAAAATGTGCTCTTAAATTTTACAAAATACCAATTTTTCGAAATTCGCTTGTCCGTCATACACAGTCTAATTTTTCAAACATTTACATTATTTCATTACAAATTTTATATGATATTAAAAATTCACAATGAACTAAATATTTAAACAATCACAACTCCAACACAGGCACATTTAATATCTTGCAATTTTCTCCATTTTTTTTAATTCAATATAAACATCCTATCTTTTACCTGTACTTGTTTAGATATGTTGTGATATTGTGAAGTTAGTTGATTGAGTTTGGATAGTTCAGGAGAACTTCCCAACTTGTGAGCTTTTCTCTTCAATCTTTCAAATTTATAGTTTGGTTCAGTTGTGTCTTCAGCAATAGCCTAAGAATGTATTTATGCAATTAAAATATATACAACAATCATAATAAAAAGCCAAACTATGTACCCTCTCTCCTTCATTTATTTGTATTAGAAAAAATAGAGAATTGGATCACCAGACCTACATTCTAGCGCAGTGATTTTCAAAGTATGGGTGCAACCCATGGAAGGTTCAAAAATGGGTCGCGTCAAGATGGTCAATGCAAGGGCGATCCAAGACAAGGTTTGCTGAATATTTGGTCCAATGTCTCAATTTATCCTCATAACTTTGGTATTTAAAAACAATGAAATATATAATGTCATTTACAGAAAGAACTCTCTTGAGTCCATTGTTGCATCACAATTTATATACCAGTAACGTGTCTTGTTTTATGGAGCCAGTTACCATGCACGTCGCTGAGATGACTTTTCTGCCACCGTTCGCAACCACATATCTATGCAAGCAAAGATTTTCAGCACTGACGGTTAATAAAACTAGGGCTTGCAATCGCCTCAATCTTAGTGCTGATTTGCGCATTGCACTCAGTAAAATGGAGCCGTGTACATAATATATAATGAACGACTGCGTCAAGTGACTGCTGCTAATAAATCGTTTTCTGTATTTGAGTCGAAGAGTACTAACACTAAAAATATATTTTTGCGACTATGCATAAATCTCAGATTTGGGTCGCGCTCAAAAAAGTTTAAGAACTACTGTTCTAGCGGCATGGTCATAGTTTATGGAAAAATATGTATCCCCAACAGCCACTTCACATAAGCCGACTTTAAGCAATAAAATTTCAATACCTCTACAGGATATTATGATTGGTACTTCGTGCTATGGAATAGAAACACTCTTACATAGAACGACATCTAAGAGATAATTTTGCTCCACCAGAGAATTTCTCCTTTTTCATCTCCAGAAATTTCGGAAATTCACTAAACCATGCTGACTTGTAACTAAATAGTTTGCCATATAAAAATTCTTTATATTGAAATTGTGCAATTCAATTACAAACCTGTAGGGAATTAAATTGTGATTTCTTTAGTCCAATAGTAGCTCTGAGTCCAGTTTCAGCCTGAAATTTTTCTTCAGCATCATTCAGCCATTTTGTGAGTTCAGCAACGCTGGAATCAAAATCTGTTAGTTGTTCTACGTAGCTCTGAAGACTTTGTTCTTTTTCCTGTAAAATGTCAATAAAACATGTTATTATGTAATATATTTATTGAGAGTATATCAAGATCTCATGGTGAAAAAAAACTAGATTAAGACTAAGATTAAGAACTATTAGAACGAAGAGTATGCAATAAATATTTTAGAATTTAAGTTGGAGCCCACATCCAGAATGTAATAAACTGGGACGGCCCAATTCTGCCAAATTTGCCAAACCAAAGCCAAATTCTGGTGTTTCTAGTTCTGTAACCTCCTCACATATTATTGCTGCCTGTCACAAGTCTTGTTTGTGTTTAAAGTCAATTTTAAATTTGATATTGCAGATATAGATAGTCAAACCAGGATAAAAATAAATTTCCACAACATAAAATAAGAAATCGTATTTGCACTAAACACTCTGGGTCACATAACTAATTATTATGCGTAGAATGCGTAGTATTATGCGATAGTCTTATCCGGTAAGCAGTAGTTAATATAATGACTACTTGATTTAGATTAACTCTACGAATCATGTGCAGACATTGGAATAAATTGAACTGTTGAATTAGTCCATAACATGATTGACAAGCACAGTAAAGGTCGTGGTTTGCTTTACAACTTAGCTAATATAAGAAATTCCTGGATGCATTTTGTAAGACAATCCAAAATTCAAATTCTCTTATTTTTCCCTAAAGATTTGATACCTGTATAATGGCCAGAAAATTTCTCCAAGCTTCTTTGCAATGCTTGGTTTGATGTCTGACATTTTCACTGCTCTCAGGACCCAGAATATCAGGCAGTTCATCACCAAGACTGATCAAGCTGTTCAACTTTGTTTTGCCTTCCTCTGCACTGCCCAGGAGACCCTAGATTTAACGATAATTATAGTTAGAAATAAAACAAAAACCGACTTAATTGTTTTTATCCCTTAATAAGTGAAAAATCAAAACATTTTCGTCAGTGTTTAATTTCTGAACAATTACTGGATATTGACCTATCAGTTAGCAATAGGGACGGCTATGAAGTCCCATTCACCATATGAATTGCCTCTTCCGTAAAGAGCATATTTGATTCACATATAGGCAGCAGTTTAGATTTTAGGCTTACAGGTCATCCAAAGTATATAGACTTGGTCACTTACATACATACAAGTACGAATTCATTTTACAGAAACATCTTGTTTTGTATAAAGAAGAGGGGCTTGACACAGCAAAAGCATATAAAAAGCTACTCCACTATGTATATTTACTGCTAGTGGTGAAATAATATAGTAAGAGGATTTTCTCAGAGACCTATGCAAGATGGTAAACAAAAAATTTTACTCATTATTAAACAATACCTGAATATGTTGTAATTTATTTTTAGCAGCATCCTTGTTTCCGGAAACATCGCCATGATATTGGATCAGTTCTTTTTTAGCTTTCAGCCAAGATTCAAAATCTCGGACAGAGGTTTGGAATGCTTCCAATAAATTCTTTTCACACTGAGTCCGTGTCTTGACAAGTTTCAGTTTGGTGTTGTCATATCTAAAAAATAGTTTAGATTGATAAAAAAATTTAAGAAAAGAAATTTTTATAAAGGTTTTAAAACTAAAATACTTAAATATTGAAGCCACTAGAAATTATGCATTATGTTACCCTCAAATAGTTTGTGTTTCAGTTTCATGGACGAAAAGGGAAGCAGTAAATGGCCCTAATGAAAGGAGATGAACTACTATCCTTTCTTTAAGTTGGTTTCAATGCAGATCATATTAATTTCTTACACCCTAAATATTGGGGCCGTCGTATTTCATTTTGAATAATTTGACAATCCAAAAAATTGTATAAACACTGATAAAAACAAAAAATATGTACACCCAAAATTACAGTAAAATTCACAAAACTTGGAAGTCTGTGAAAGACTAAAATAGAATCTCCAAAATCGATTCAAAAATTAGATATACACATTATAAAGAAAACATTATAACCTCTTGTGATGGGAATAGACAAAACTACAATTTTTTTATTTACAAGCATTGGGAATACGCTCGCCACTGCATCTCTGATTACCTTTCGTGGGTTCGCATGTTCGAATCCCATGATCATGTGTGAGAGGATTGCTGGACTCCTCGCCGCCGTAGGGTGGTTCACATAACCTGGTCTGGTCAGTTACGGCTTCCTCCACCATCAAGTCCATGCTCCCGAAAAACAAATAACTGGCTAACTAATCCCATACCCGACCTGGACTGGTAACCGGACGAGAGGCCGTGGTTTGCTATATGATTAAGCCGTCATATCGGCTCTCCTCTACCCAGGATAAATATGTTAATCCTATCCTAATATTCTAGCTTACTGCTGCAGAGATGTTGTGACTTGTTTTGAAAGTTGATCTATCTCAGGACTTTGATATGATCTGCAAAGTCCATTCAATCTGGCTTTCAATGCATCGACTGATTCTTGGAGTTCATCAAGCTCTTGGAGAACAGACTGTAAATATAAATTTAGGGATAAAAGAAAGATTTTGAAAGAAAGATGCAATGGGAAAAATGATTGGACAGCTCAATCATATAATCTGGCTTGTCATTCGGTTTCTGGAGGCAGACATGGAAATGCAAAGCCTATACTAATAGCGGTGCTGGACTAGAAGACAGTTAAATCAACTGACTAGCAATTGTACAAAACACAAAGTTTAAAGCTGTTTATGACTGCTATATTCACTAATAGATACGCAGTAGTGAAAGTGAACATTTGAATTTGTAGATAAGAGAACCCTTTATTTAGTTATCAAGATATAAGTCTTGCCCAAAATCAAATATTTTTTTGATTCTAATTGAACCGAATATTTTTCTCGAATCAAAACATCGAATATTATAATGCAATCCGAATTCTGATTCGCAAATTAGTCTCATGACGATTTGAATAATTTGCAATTTGAATTCAAATATTCGGTCCACTTGGACAGCCTTACACATCATTGTATATCCATACAAAAATTGCTCTTATATTTGTTGCACAATCAATGGTATCTCAAAAATACCATGCCACGCGCCCACGCTATTTCGTTTCTTTAGAAACATCAAATTTCTATGATTTCAAAATATCTATGATGTAATAATGGAATTTGAACTTATAGTTTGAGTGTGTTTGAGTATTTGGTGAAAAATAATGTAACCAGTTTACTCTCTCTGCAATGGCATTCAGTCTAAACACATCTAATTTTATTGTAAACTATATACCGTACCTGGCAAAGCTTCTTGGTTTTGAATGCATTTGCAGATTTTGTAATCTCTTCAGTGCCCTCTTGTGGCATCTTGGCTTGAACTTTTTCCAATTTTGATTGGAACTCACTGAGAGCGTCTTGTAAAGCCGATCTTTCAATTCCAAAACTTTTTTCATACTCTGAGAGCTGGGAGAGTCGAGTTTGTAAGGCAATCTCTGTCTCTGTCATTCCGCGATCCCATGACCTCCATTCTTCTTTCAAGCTGAAATATTTTGTTTATTAATTAGAACTTTGATATAGATATGCATAAGAGTTTCTTATACAGATGGAAAATATAAGTATAAATTTATTTCGACTCCATAAGCAGCATGACAGGCAATAAAATGATTAATAAAAACAAATAAATATAAACTGATTTCGAAATCAGGAGAGCAAACAAAACCTTAGACAAGGTTTAAAACATAACGGTACAGAATAAAAGATAAATGGATGAAAACATAAAAACCAGAGACATATGGAGACCATGTCAAACCTTAAATGAAGAGAATAGAAATACAAAAATGCATAGACAAGATAGGCCTAAGGGAATATTATTGCATTCAAAAAGGCATTCAATGGATAGTGCATCATGCTGAAGCACAGTGTAACTCTAGCCATCGATAGAATCACAGATTATCCTATATAAATTAATCCACAGATTTGGTTCTGAACTGATAACCTAGATATTTCCATACCTAATTAGGACTGGTAAATGGATGAGAGATTTTTATTGGAACTGAAGTCTGCTATATATGGTGTGGTGAATACCACACCAAAAAACAGTGAAGTATCAATTATTATCAACCTTGTTTTGACAGACATTCAAACTGCATTTTTTCAAGTATGTTTGACTATTAAATATTTAACACAGAATTGGACAAAAAAAAGTTCAACCATACCTTGCTAGTTCAGTTCTTATCACTCCTCTTCCCTCTTCAGCAGTATTAGCAATAACATGATCACCAATTTCAGTTGCAGTATCAAGTTTCTGACGACCATGAGTTCTAGAGGCTTTCAAAGCCTGAAAACACACAAAAAAGCATGAATGAGGGTTACCGGTAAATAAATGGGATAGGTGTTTTTGCAAGATGTCTCAAGATGTAAACAATTAATTATTGTTATATAAATATGCTGCAGTATACCATATCAAAGTCGATTTCGCCTTGTTGCTATGGTTTTATCAACACTGTTCTGGAATAAGTTTCTCACTAAATTATCACAGGTAGCAGACATTATTCATTTATATGCGGGTTTGTTGGCCTGGTGGCTAGCGATTAGCACTAAACTATTTTGGTAAACCAAGATAGGTACGGCGCATCATGCTAAGCGTTAGGAATATGATTGCCAGCGCACCTATGATTAAACTGCATGGGTTCGCAGGTTCAAATCTCATGCTTGGTGGTTATGTGCGAGAGGATTGCTGGACTCCTCGCCGTTGAAGAGTGGTTCACCAATGGTCTGTTGCCAAAATGCCAAAGCATCAAGCATCTTATGTTATCGGCTTTCTTCCCCTCAGGATAAATATGTAAATCATATCCTAAAAACATATTGAGTTCATCCCCATGCCCGTCATATGCCAAACCCGAACTATTATGGTCTTTCCAAAGTTTACCCTAACTTCCTAGGCCAAGATGTATTTGCAGGGAGAAGCCCAGATACACGTGCTTGCAAAAAATATATTTTTGTCTTGTAGACTCACCAAAACTTTGGTCAACTTTTTCTGCACAGTTTCTTTATCTCCTGCAGTATCAGACCATCTGTTCAACTCTTCTTTAGCAGAATTTATCCAGCTGCAGAAATCTTGTACGGCTTCATAGTATCCTTCATGTGTCTTCACACAAGATTCAAGATGTTCTGCTCGTTCTTGTGCAAGTGAAAGAACATGGTCATACTGACTCAGCTTTTCCTGAAACATTGAAAATATTTATGTCAATGAAATTCTCACGTTACATAAACAAATCCATAGCTTAAGATTACTCAAACAAGAAAAAAACGTTATGTTGTTATGCTACTCAGCGATTGGCCAGAAAAACGCTTTGTTGTCACCCTTCAAAAAAATGTTAAATTTGTATCAGAAAAAAAAAAAAAATTCTCGATGCTCATAACCGTTTCCCTAGCATACTGTGGTATGGTCGGCGCATCATGCTCGCTTGCCATAAATATGGGATGGATATAGAAAAGTTTTATCCTATCATTAGTATCAACAATCAAAATTAAGCTATGCCGGCAACCTTTTTCTCTTATAAGGTGACAAAATGGCCAATGAATAAGCTGTCATAAAAATTAGCATTCCTGGTCAGATAGGAGAATAACCATGCATATTCAATGAATAATAATGGTTTTAATGCATTGTATAAGACAAAAGTCTGAAATATTTCAACAACCTTGAAATCCTCATCTTGATTGAGTTCCATAGCTTTATTGTGAAGAACATCAACAGATTCTTTGTGAGATTCAATGTCTTGGAGAAGCAACCTAAATGTGATAGACAGTTTAACAAATGTGATAAGAAAATGATACCAATGAGCAAAGAATTTGAATTGTATTCCTTTAAAGCAGGGGTGTACAAAGTGCGGCCCGCGGGCCGAATGCGGCCTGCAATGGAAAATTGTGCGGCCCGCAGAGAAGTGCTAATTTTGAATGGTGCGCGGTCATCTAAACTAGTTTTGAAATTTAGTTGGATCTGGTTTCCTTTGCGTTGCAAATCCTATATCCGAGTTCAATTTATTATCTATGCCTATGACTTACAGCGTCCTAACAGCGAGGCGAACAACGCGATTCACAAAGCTGTCCCTTGCTGAGCAGTAAACAATTTAAGGAAAATGCGGAGATTACGCTAATGAATTTGTAAGAACGGGCAATTGAAGATTAGGCAACTGGAAAGCAGTTTAAAAAAATTAAATGTTATATAGATACAAAAGCTAAATGAGTTTTGGTTCCAGCCTATCAATTGATTTGGTCTAAATCTAATCTAGAATAAGATTTGACAGAAAATTATTTGGAAATGAATCTTACCGAAAACACCAAAATAACTTTCCACATGTTAAAAAAGTCATGGCCTCAAATATGGCACTTTTCATTAACATATTTATTTCTAAAATGAGCTATTTTGTGCCTGCAACTAATAGTAAGCCTATGTTAAATGACGATGCGGCCCGCGGTTTCACTCGGTTATTGATATTTGGCCCGCCCGCGAAAAAGGTTGCACACCCCTGTTTTAAAGCATAGAAATACAAGGAGCTGGGCACTACAAAATGAGCCATTTTGCATTACTGGAGAAGGAATTTGAGTAATGTGATTTCTGGGTACAAGAAGTTTCTTTCTAACTGCAAGTCCAAATGCATTAACATGATGGTCATAAAAAAGAAATATTAAACAGCCATATACAAGAATGCCTGTTATTTTGATGTTTTTGATTTTGGAGGATAATTTTATAGTTACCGTATATCTTGGATATTTCAAGACAATGAAAAGACCTGATAATACTTATCTAATTTTTGCATGGACTTGCTTGGGTTAGCCAACCCACCATGCAATGGCAAAAATTCATGAAAATCTTATCTCTGATAATCATTTCGATTCAGTGTTATTTCACCTATATTTTCGATTCAGTGGAGGAAGGGCATCTCCAATGGTTTGAAAATGGATTTAATGCGAAATAGAATTAGAAAACCCATTTCTTAGCAGTTCAACCTCCAACATACTTGTATTTTTCAAGCTGCGCTTCTTTGTCTTTCAAATCAACAGCTGGAGCCAGTGACCCAGAAAGAACGACCTCATTCTCTTTCAACCATGTCACGAGTTCATCTTTTGCTTGAGCATATTGAGACCAATCGACCAATTTCTGATCAAGACGTGTCTTGCATTCTGAGAGTTTCTCAATGAAATCATCATGATCATTTTTGAGTTGGTTTATATCTCTGTGAAGTAAAATAAAAATATCATTTCGACTGAAAATGATTAGTAAAGAAAAACCAATATTTATAGAAATAGAATAACAGTAATATTAAAGTATGCCGATATTTGTCACGAACACTTTTCCCTTAAGTTTGAGTTTCTATTTGAAGTTTATTGTATGTCATTAAGTGGGTGGACAGGAGTTTTACCAATCATGTATAGATTTTGCTCACTATTCAGAATTCTTCATTTTATATTTTTAAAATGAACTAGTCCATGTGAAGTGATGTATCTGTGTTTACAAACAGGGCTGGCCAAGATTGGTCTAAGTTTCAGATCAGAGTCCTGGTCATTCACAAACATCCACTCATCCACGGCCACAACCACTCATTTTGGTTGTAATAAATATTAAAACCCTTAAACCAAAAATTGTAGCTTTTGGTGTATCAGTAGCTGCTTGTGTGTGTGAAATATCCTTCAAGAATTTGGCAATTAGGCAGAAAACCAACCAATGAAAATGGATCCGAGGCCATTCAAGTAAAAATACTGATTTGAAATTCTAAGGCTGACTAGAATGCGCCAAGTATCAAACCAATTGATATATGCTATAAACAAATACTTTATCTGGTAAGCAATTTTACTCGAAATTGAGTTTGTTCTTGTAACCGAATTTGTGCAAAAAAAAGACTCACTACCTGCCAACTTAACTTACGTTTTAATTTGATCTTTTCCAGCATGAGTGCTCTTCTCCATTGCCCTTTCTCCTTTGCCAAGAGCGACATTCAGTTTAACTTCACCTTCTTGTTTCTTGAGCAGGAGATCTTGGACAGTATTCAAACTGAAAAATTAAGAACAAACATGAGAAAATATTACTAAACATTGCGTATCAGATTAATAAAGTCGAACATAGAATTAATGTGTTCAGAGGAGATGGGAGGCCAACAAGAGAGAGAAAAAGATTAATCTTTCCGTGAACCAGAAAACAAACATTTTAACAATATTAAAAAAAAACATATGCAAAGTTATTTGGTATAGACTGAGGGAAACAATGTGACCATACAGTATCAGAGTCAGCTTACTGCAAGAAGGTTCCATTGTGCAGCAAACATAGTGCGTTAGGAATAATTGACCAGTTATTTGTTTCAGATGCGTGGAATTGGTGAAGAAAGTATTCGATTAGCAATTACATGAATCACCCTATGCCAGCATAGAGTCCAGTCATCTTCATGCACATAAGTAATTTCACAGGATTTAAACCTACGAACTGTGCAGGGTAATCAGAGATGCGATGGTAAATATGTTCTTAGGGCTAAGCATGATGTGCCTCTTGAACTTGAACTATTGAGCCTAAACATAGTGTTTGTTATACACAAAAACAAAACAAAGAGGATGAAAAAAATAATTGAGATCTGTTCAGTCATGTGTAGTAAGAATTAGCCTCAAAACAATGCAACAATGGGGAATAGAAACAAGAACAAACAGACAACTAAAGATTGTAGGAAAGTAAGCAAAACTATAATTAAGTTTCAATCAATATATATGAATACAGCTATGTTTCTATATGACACTATAAGTTGAATTAGTTATTTTAAAATTGATAAGCTGCAATAATTTAGTAAGTAAAAACTGCATTAATTCATATATAAAGATTGGACAGTGGTTCTCAAATGGTGTGGCGCGCTATCAAAGGGGGTGTAGACAATTTTTTTAAAGGGCATGAAGCTAATTAAAAATAAAAATATATGTTAGATTTGATCTTTCCGGCCTTATTTGGGATATTCACATTTCTTTATTGATTAGAGATTGTGATTCCATCCAAGAATTTTCAAAGTGTTTTTTGAATAAAACATACCTTGGCCCCACTACCTGTTATTTGTAGCTTATTGGAGGCTATTTATTTTTAAGGTGGATTGCGTGACTTGACAATTTCCAAAAAAGGGGGCGCAGCCTAAAAAGTTTGAGAACCGCTCTTCTAAGTATAATCTGGCAACTTCACTCACCTTTCCTCAAGCTCTTCTTTACCATTTGCATAAACACTTGTTTCAACACAAGAATCAAGTTTAGTGTTTGCAAACTGGATCCATTCTTGTGCTGACAGTAATGATTCTTCATATTGTCGCTGATCATTTACAATTTGTTCGCATTCTCGTAAGTGTTCCTGAACAAAAGAAGTTTGAGATCCTTCGTTAAATTTTTTATACCTTCACTCTAAACAAGGATCTAGACCAGGGGTGGGCAAGGTTTTGTACCAGGGGCCAAAAATTGTGCCCACCTAGACTGGCGGGCCATGTAAGTGTGACGTAAAACTTACATTTTATGAACAATATTAACAGTATTACAAATGAAAAAGTGGAAAACAATAAGGCAAAACTAAATTTGATCGCGATCTCAACAAATTTCTTGAATTCGGTTTTAGTTTGGTTGTGACAGCATCAGGTGGGCCAGATTAAATTGGCCCGCGAGTCGTAGTTTGCCATGTCAGATCTAGAGAAACCGCCAATAATAATTTTCTAACATGTAATTTAATGTTTCCTGATTTCTTGTATAGAGTTAAACAGTATCTGAACTTAACATTAACTTAGAGTAAACAGATCTCGATTGGAGTTTATGCACATATTTCATATTTTTTTCGTAATATCAACTTATCAATGTTTTTGGTACCTATTATGTCCACAGATTTTGCTATTAAAAAATGAGTGTAAAACTATTTAGAGGTAGAAAATTTTTGAATAAGATTAAAGAAAAAACTGATGCAAAAGTTTGATTATACTATTAATAAAGGGCAAATAGAGAAAATTTGGAAAAAAAATTTAAAAGACAGAACTTGTAACATCATAACATACCTTTGCCTTTTTACAAATGCCGTGATAATATGAAATAAGTTGATGGGCTTTCCTTGCTCCTGTGTTTTGAGAGGAGTCGCCTTCCACAAGTTCATAAGCTTGTTGCAATAAGGTTTCAACTTGTTGGGATTTGCTTGAAAGATCCTTGTTGATTGTCTGAAATAAGATGAAAAAATTCTGTTTTCAAGCACATCTTACCGTAACGAAGAAATTTTAGAGGTTTTTGTATATTTCTGTTGGAATCGATAACGAATCGGTCTGCCTAACCGTAGGGTGGGCCAAGTTCATTTTCACTGTTTTTAAGCCTTGGTTTAGTTAATCATGGCAGGAATGTCGAAAAAGTCTCGTCAGAAAAGCTGCTCAAAAATTAATATCAATGCTGAGAAAATTGACCAAAAGCTAAACAAAGAAGCATATTCTGCTCTTCAAAAAGCATTTATAGCATCCTAAGATTAAAATTCTATATAAATTTTAACCAAAGGCGACAGTTGGAACAATACAAACGACTTCATAAAACTATTTTTTTCAAAACATACAAAATTTTCAAATTTTATTAGTGCATATATACTAGTAATTGGAGCAACATATCTAACTTAAGGCTTAGTGAGCGCCACCATTGGGAAGATTAAAGACCAGTGCTTCAAATTTTCTGAAATTAGTAAAACTGTGCCCCCTGCTGTCATGATTCAACTCAATTTAATAAATGAAACTGCCTTTAGAGGTGCAGCTATTATACTTCTTGCTTAGAGCCTTGTTCAAAAGCCGTACATACCTCTAGTTTCTCGAGCCTCGCAGTTTTATCTTCTAATCCAGCATCAACATCTTCTTCCTCTCGTAATCTCTTCTCCACTTCTTTCAGCCATGTTGCCAGATCTTTGCGATTTTCCTCCAGAGATCGAAGCCCAGATAAGGAGTATTCTAGATTGGTTTTCTCTTCCTATAAAATAAGTTAAAGAGAATAAGATAAGATTGAATAATTTCCCATTCCTCCTCAAAAGATGTTATTAATGGTTTAACAACACAGCAGGCCACTGCTTTCAGTCTAGTTACTTATCCAAATCAGATATGGGAGTAATTAACTAGAAGACGCCTCGGCGATGTGGCGCATCTTGCTAAGCATTTGGTATATGTTTGCCACCGCACCTATGATTACACTGCGAGAGCTTGCAGATTCAAATCCTGTGGGGGTAATTATGTGCATGAGGTTAGCTGAATTCTTCGCCACTGTAGGGTGATTCACATGACCGCTGGTCAATTACGACTTCCGCCACCATCAAGTCCATGCATCCGAATAAAATAACTGACTGTCTAATCCCATACTCGACATGGATTGGTAACCAGACAAGAAGGCTTGGGTTTGCCATATGACTAAGCCATCGTATCAGATTTCTTTTCCCCGGGATAAGTACGGTATGTAAATCCTGTCCTATCCTAAAAAATTGTTTTAGATGCATAAAGCCAAAACAGCTTTTATGAAACTCCCATGTCCTGATAAGAATTCAGTAATCTTTTACATATAATCACCTGAACTGGTACCGTAGCCTTGAACCAATGCTGAGTAATTATTCGTGTGATGACAAGCCTAGCCCTAACATCCTGCTTGATGCAATGACTATCGAACTAATTGTTAATATCACTCAAATTGTGGCCTTCAAATCACATTTACATAACGCCATAATAATTTTTTTTCCGTACCTCTAGTTGTCCTAGGAACTTATGCCAGTCTTCCTTCATGTTAGTGATCTGCTCTTCAATGGTTTCAGTGTTCCTGTTGATATTTTCGATGTAGTGTTCACCTGCTTCAACTGCTGTGTTGAGTTTGGATTGACCTTCTTCTGTCTTAGCAGCGTAAGATTGTAATTTCTGAAAGAAATAAAATATAAATGAGGTAAATAAAAAGGTGGTTCAAAAGCGAATTTAAAATTCTCACAAAGCAAAATTTTATTTATTTAACATTTTAGTACGGTACTTAAATTGGTTCGAGTTTTTGCGTAGATTGTGGAAACTGTTGGCAGTTCTGAGAATTAAAAGGGACCAGACACAAGGTTATGGCTCAATCCCATCCTGTCGCTTCGTTGGAGTTAATATTCAACAAATAAGGTAGAAGTTATTTTGTAAGTGAAAGAAAACAGCCACAAGGCTAACTGATTTGCATTCAGATTTGCCTCCAACTTGTGTACGGGTAATATATATATGACACACATGAGCAATATGCAACAGCAATGCTTGCAACTATACAACAAATCCCAATATTTGGCAAGTGTATTCCTTATTGCTTATCACAATCTGGCAACTGCGGAACCCCAAATTTACTAGGAAAGCTTGGTTAAGTCTTCAATTGATGTCTATTATTGACCCATATAAGCCATAAACCACAATCAGGCAAAGTGAAAAATCTCTATAGCCTAATATAGCCAACCTGCAATCTTTCTTCCAGCACAGGAATATCAGCAGAAGTATCAGCACAAGCAGACAACACTTCCTTTGCAGCTCTGTACCAACTGTAGAATGATTTCACTGCTGTATTCAATTCTTCTTCCAGACTGCTTTCCAAGAGTTCGATAACTGAAAAGATAATGAATATTATTTCATGAGACTGATATTGCTATAACTCGATGGTGTGGCGGATCTTGCTAAGTGTTAAAAATACGCTCTCCGCACCTCTGAATACCCTGCACGGATTCGCAGGTTCGAATCCTGTGAGGTTAATTATGTGCGAGAGGATTGCTGGGCTTCTTGCCACCGAAAGGTGGTTCACATACCAGCTGGTCGGTTACGGCTTCCTCCAACATCAAGTCCATGCTTCCGAAAACAAATAACTACAACTAATCCCATACCCAACATGGACTGGTAACCCGACAAGATGGCAGTGTGTTTTTTTTTCCTCTAATGTTGTTCATGCATCCATATATAGCCATGTATTGCAATACCAAAGCTTGACTAGCACAGAAAATAGCTCATAATTTGAAAAGAGCGATAGTCCATGTAATGAACTGTACTCTTTCATTTTAAGTACTGCAGGAGCTATGTAATTTTAAATATCAGCAGGCCCAGAGAATTATTTGTAGCAAACACCAACCAAGTATTTTTTCAAATTTTAGTATTTACCTTTTAATGACAGTTTAAAAACTTCATCATAGGTTGATGTCAGTTGACCAACTTTCTCCTGGACTGTATTGAGCTCGGCATTTTGATATTTTCTGCACAAACTATTCAAATGCTCTTTAGCTGATTCAACATTGTCTTGCTGGCCAGAGATTTCTGTGTGGATTTCCTGGAAATGGAGAAATAAAATTGTATAACATAATATGGAATTTTTATGTTTATAATGGGGAGAGAAAAAGTAATAAGATGGCACAATCATATGGCAAACTAGTTACCCAGTTATTTTGTTTTATATGCAGGTACTCGACGGTGAATGGCCAAAAATGATCAGCAGTTTGTTATTTAAAACTAATTTTTCAATACAATTTTGAAAAAGAAAATGCCAAAACAGTCAGTTATTCCAGACTTAGAATTGATTCATTCAAATACATTATTGGATGTTATGTTATTTAAGTCATAGTTGAGTCAAACGCTCATTACTTATCAATCTTAAGATCGGTAAGTATGTTGATCGGTATTTGTCTTTTTGTGTGTTTGTCTGTTAGCCACTTTTGTATGTTACTAGATATCTCACGAAAGCGGAGTTGAATCTCCTCCAAATGCATGCATGTGCATTCATCAAATCTCGGACCAAAAGCCGATTGATTTTGGATAAATTATGTCATATAATTACCGAGTTATTAATTAATTAGTGATGAGACACAAGGTGTCACTATGGAGTAAGAGCGCTGTTTTGGGTATCCCCTAACTTTCGATCGATAAGTCTTCGGTCCCTGACCGATATTCTCGTTCCAATCTTAGTACTTCACACAAGGGATAACAAATTAGGTAGGCAGATTATACTTAGTCCAGTTGCACCAAACCCTGGTAGCTTTTGTCCGAAACTTTATTCAAGGCAATCGTATGAACACAAAACTCACTCTTGCTTTGTTCAATTCTTCTGTATTCTTGTCTTTCATAAAATTTTTCAGTATTTTTTCTTTGAGTTTCAGCCATTCATTCAATTCAGCAACATAGTTTGACAGCATTGTGTGTTGGGAAGTGAAATCGTCAAGTTTGAGTTGAGCCTGAATAAAACAAAAATTTATCAAATTACACAAATTGAAAGGATTTTCATAAAAAAATTTTATCAAATTATTCAAAAATATAAAATACATCCCAATTGAGAGAAGTATTACAAATATGACTTTAACAGCCACTGCTCAGATTGGTCAATATGAACAGTTTACACTTACTTCAGAATGATGGAATTTGCTTTTAAGCAAAAGTTTTTCATTGCAGAGGTGAAAACTTAGTCATTACAAGCTTAGTATGTCAATACTGTAGGTGAATTTTTGTTTATAATTTTTTATTTTAAGCATATTTTGTGACAAAACTTGAAAAAAATTGGGTCATGAATTTCTTGGTTTGGGGTGAAATGTCAATGTCAAATGAGTTTTCGTATTGAATACTAAAATGAAAGGCATTGTTCTCTTGCTCCTTTTACAGCTGTACATCTCTAGATCAGCGAAAATGCTCTAACACAGCCGCGAGTCCCACAATCCTTCCTAATTACCACAAATAAAAATTTTCTTATATCTTGGTAAAGGAAGTAGCTAGGATTGCTTAATAATATGGCAAACCACAGCCATGACAAAAGCTAACTTGTAAATTACTCTAGATGTATGGACTTGGTTGGGAAAATAAGCTATGGCTCACTACACGCTACATGCAATGAAGAGTTGAGAATTCTTTGCCACTAATCTATGAGGTTATGTTAGGAAAGAAGTTTGGCAATTCCTTGTGCTTACCACAACAAGCCAACCATACTTTTTTCGTAAAAAAACATTTGAACACAAAAATCCAACCTGTTTATACACTGCAAGAGCTTTCTCAAGTTTGTTTTTCATATTTTCATTGACTTGTGTTAATTCATCCATTTCACCAACAGAAGTTCTTCTTCTGAATTTATGCATTTCTGTTACTTTGTCTTGCAATGTCTCGTAGTGAGATTTATGCCTGGAATCAAAGATGATGTTAGAAAAAAACATATTCACATACTTTCGCTGGGGGAGGGAAACTACAGGGATTCTCAGCTGGTTATCGAGTGAAACCCAAGGTTCTAATATCTAACTAAACATTGAAAAAATGAGGTTTTTAATTTTATAATACTGTTATTGTTGATGCGTAAGGCTTCGGTGAATTGACCGAGCAATATCACTATTTAGATATTACATTGGGGAGTCCATTAAATCACCAGAAGAAGAAATATATCTTTCAGCTGAATTACAGCTGAAGGGGAAACATCATCTAATCCAGGATTGCATGAGTCAGTTTTGGGTTGGGAGATAAAATCAAAACTGAATAATGTTTTGCAATGCAGTATTGCAGTTGAAATTGTAAATGTTTAACCTAAATTCAGGAGTAAAGTTGTATCCAATTTGAACTAGTAACAGGGACTCAATATGAAATAAAAGTACGAAACTCATGAGTCAAGCTTGAACGAGGTCAAAAGCAACGACTAATCTCTTGGAGATGGGCAGAAATGTGCAGAAATCTTGAAAATTACCATGTTTTATCTAACAATTAAAATTTATATTTGTAAGTTATATAGCAACATGTACAGAGAATATTCCTCCCCTATCCACGACATGGGAGCAAAGAGCTGGAAAAGAGCTGATTTTCACATACTTATCAATCTCTTCATGCACAGCAGCCAGTTTATCTTTCAAAGCAGCAGAATCATCCAAACTAGATATCGATGCATTCAAGTCATTGATTGAAGTATTCATCCAATCTTCCATTTCTTCATCAGCACCTATACAATAGACAGTAAAAAGTAAATAACAAAGATATAAAAGGATTGCATGGATAGGAATGGTGGTGACTGCAGTGTCCTAGTTTCCATTTAAATGGCATCTTTCATAGAGGGTTTAATATGCTGAGATCTTTGGACTGCCATATAGACATCATGTCAGGAATAGGGATGTATATATGGTCCTAATAGTCATTTGAATGACCTCCTCTGTATTGGGCTATTGGGCTGACAAGCCTGACATACAGGATAGGACAGGATTTACTTATTTATATAGATGAAGATGAAAGCCGATAAGACGGCTTTATCATATGACGAACCACGGCCTCTCCTCCGGTTACCAGTCCAGGTCGGGTATGGTATTAGTTAGCCGGTTATTTGGTTTTTTCGGAAGCATGGACTTGATGGTGGAGGAAGCCGTAACACAGTACTTGTAATACCATCAATTAGGGTGGTTCGTGTAACAGTTGAACGGTTATAGTTTTTCGCCACCACACCTCTGATTACCCTACATGGGTTCGCAGGATCAAATCCCATGCAGGGTAAATTATGTGCGATGGGATTGATAGACTCCCCGCCGCCGCTCGGTGTTTCACGTTACCGCTGGTCAGTTACGGCTTCCTTAACCAATAAGTTCATGCATCTGAAAATGAGTAACTGGCTAACTAATCCCATGGACTGGTAACCAGTTGAGATACCGTGGTTCACCATATGATTGAGCCGTATCAGTAATCAGTAATCAGTAATTTATTTCTTCACCAAGCTGAAAGTACGAATTTTACATACACAAATAAAGAAAATATAAAAGACCGCATTCCAGGGTGAAAGGAGACGCCGAAAACCAATTCTGGTTATCGAGCGGCGGCACCCACGGGGAAGTCTAACAAAAACGTGATAAATATAATTAAATCGAACAAAATATATTACTCAATAAATAAATAAAGAAACGCAATCGATGCGTCAAGGCGACCCGGTAAAAACCAAGCAATCGCCGTTTAAAAATAAGAAAATCGACTCCATGCACCACAGTCTAGGTAACCATGGAAATTATTAAGTGAACCAAACAGACTTGCAGTGTGGTCATGGCAGGTAAAGGTAGTTCGGCTACGGTAAAGTGCAACACAAGTCGATTGTGTGCATATAAGTGTCCAGATTGAAATAAAACTGGATGTTAAGAGTACACAAATTGTAAAAGTATAGAATACCGTACCAATCAAGTATGCAAATAACAAAATATTGACACTTTGAGGCAGAAACAAGCTAGTAGTGTGAAAGCTAAAATGTTGACCTGGACTAACAAGTGTTTTGATGCTGGAGTCAAAGATTCACATACGGGAATTGTATAGACATGAGGAAAATATACATCGAAATATTCAGCAGTATTAATACAACACAATGAAGTGAGTATCATACCATAGAAGTAGACTAGGAAAATTTAAAAAAAAAAACTTAAGTTAATCAAAAGGATAAAAACAATTGACCTGGATCACTGTTACCGAGGCATTATAAATAGTAAAAACAAATACAACATTAGGCTTGACTGCCCATAATGAAAGTAATCAGAAGGATGCCAATTAAGTTTGGATCCCAGTTGAGGCATGTAAAATGGCATGGTAACAATAAGTGTATTTATGGGCATTGGACTGTAGGCATGAATTTGTCATTGGCAGTTAACAGAATAGATATCAAGAAATTACACACTAAATAGGAGACCATGATCATTGAGGAGCGGGCTCAATAGTAGGGCAAAAAGCCTGCAATATTTTTTTGTTATATAATTTTAGTAATATAATTTTTGGCTTTACCTCAACCCACAATGTGTTGGTGACAGAAACACTTGTCAAGTGGCTTGTGCCCATCAGTATGGAATACACAATTAAAATTATAAGCTAAAATACAATACGAATATTTACACGAGACATTGTTTTGTTACAGGTGATTTGGATCGAGACAAATGATGAGCTGGCAATGACGAAAAGATTTGCTGGGACCACATCAACTGGATGTAGAGGCAGTGGAAAGGTAAAGGGAGCGCATGAATTTTTTGTATTTGAATTTGAAAGTGTCATAACTACAGTTACGTAAGTTTAAGGGAATATTATTCCAAGTTACCACACCTTTATATTTCAAGGAGTTTTGGGATTTGCTTAGAGAAAATCTGGGTACAAATAAATTAGACCTTGTCGAAGAGCGTGTGTTATGATCATGCACTTTACTGAGCGAAACAAAATAATCGTCGAAAGCAGCGGGCAAATGGTTGCTATGAAACTGATGCAAGACCTTGGAAATCTCTAGTTGATATTATCGTATTATCGCCTTTCCTCTCCCCCAGGATAAATATGTATATCCCTAATAGGCATTTGGCAGAAATATCCAAACAAAATGATCATACCAGCCAGTTCTTTCCATAAACCAAGCTGTCCTTGCAGATTCTCTAAAGTTTCTTCAACTTTGTCTTGAACATCAAGATATCTGAAAACAAAAACAAGTTTATTTATTATATTATAAAATACAATGATTTTTATGAAGTTTTATTTCACTTTTTTCAAGCCACATTTTATGAATACTACATAAATCAGACAAATCTAAATTCAGTCTTGCTAAAAAGTGAAAAGCCTGAGTTTTCCCACCGAAAGTAAAGTATAATTAACCCTGGATGGGATTCCAACCTGCCAATCCACACAGGGTAATCAGAGGTGCTGTGTTGAGCGTATTCCTAACGCAAAGCACAATGCGCCACATCACTGAGTTACGCAGTTATTTGTTTCATATGCATGGATTTAATGGTGGAGGTAGGGGTTAAGTTGACCATAGTATAATAATGGCAGTTCACTCTCCAAGCCTCTTGCTTATAAGTATCGCAAATGACAAATCTGCACAAGGCAATCGGAGGTGCGATGTCTAGCCTGTTTTGAACACCTAGCCCAATTTGCCAGTTGCCGAGTATTGAAAGTGTTGGTAAGTGTTATGAATCTCTTCCTTGCTTCCTGCTATCAACATACCTGTCCACGATATCTTCTAATTCCTGGTCGATATATCCAGTGTCGCAAATTAAAACCTTTTTGACGTAAGCAGCAAATAATTTGCCTTTCTTTGCCATATCATCCATGGTTGATTGTCGTTCATCTAACTCATCCTTCAAAGACTGAAACAAAATAAACAGTTGTATATTAGAGGAATTATTATATTTATACAGTAAAAATAGGCTTGGGTTCCGGCCACAATGTAGGAGCTATAAAATAAAGTATGTACCCAGACCACAACCTAACGGAAGAATGTGAAATAAATTTCGTAAAACTACATACCAAGGCTCATTTGAAAATTAGGTGAAGATTTTTACAGATTATACCTGGTATGTAAGACATTGTTTTTATGATTTCTACATTAAAAGAGACATTATAACCAATTATATATACCGTATTTGCTCGTTTTGTAGACCGGGCCCATATTTTTTTAACCAAACTCACTAACTGGGTCCTTATTCAAACCGGCCCTTATTTAAGCAAGGGCGCTTGTTATTTTTAAAGTAAAATTATACACAAATATATACCGTATATATAGATAAGATCGATCGTTACAATAATAAATATATTGTCATTTCCAGTTCTAAAGTATGATTTAAATGAGAATAACGAAAATTTTGACTTTTTCTAGGCACCGCAGGTACAAATCCGCAAAAGAAGAAAAGTTTGAGAACCACGGTATTACGTAATCAATGCTATCTGTTATGTAATTGGACGTCTAAGGTGTGAGTGTTATCTACCAGCACTAAAAATTCAACAGCGTTGTGACAAAAGTGCTATTATTTCCTATTGTTCTCTACCACTGAAAAACCAGCTTTAACATCGGGCGCCGGTTTCAAGCACCGGCCCTTATTTACTTTTTATGTTCTGTTCACACGGGCGGCTATTCAAACGGGCCCTTAATCAAGATCAGGCGGTAAAACGAGCATATACGGTATGCCCTTTATAACAATATTGCAAACGAAAGAGAATTTCAATATTTGAACCTGAAAGAAAGGACAAGAATGCCCAATATAATCCTGTGGTTAGAAACACAGCGATCAGAGAGAGATTAGAAAATTTTGGCACAAAATTAAAGACAAATTTATATATATTAAATACCTCTAATTTAGCCATGTGCCTCTTCACTTCTTCCATGTTAAAATGTCTCGGTGCTTCAGCAGACTCTGCAATGGATTCAGCATTTTTCAGTGTTTTAACATTTCTTTCTTTAATGAATTCATAATCTTTCAGTAAATTCAGTAGTTTAGTCAGCTGTTCATCTGTTTCAGTAATAGCTTGTTCAGCATCTTCCCAACTCATGTCGACAAGCTGAAGATGCTCTGAAGTATAATCATGCGTTAAGTACAGATATGATGGAGGTTAGATATGTCTTGCTTTTTACACTCCCGATCTTATCATGTCTCAAATATTGTATGTTTGTGTGTGTGTGTGTGTGTGTGTGTGTGCGTGCGTTAATCAGTTTTATTACTTTTGGGTAAGCGAACACGTACTACTTCTTTTATCCATACCTTCCCACCTAAAATAAGTATTCTTTAAACCTTACTTGAGGTTCCGTTTGCTTTCCCGATTCTATAATCGGTTTTATTTATTTTGTTTTTATCAATTGCTTTATCGTCTATTAATGATTATGGAGTCGAAATAAACTTATACTTATACCTATATGGAAATATGAGGCAAAAAATAAACAACGCTGTCTGGAATAAGTATGAAAATTTTCTCTTATCTGAATGTATATATATCTAATATAGTATTTTTATATTTATCCCGAGGGAGAGGAGAGTCAATAAGCTTAAGCCTCTAGCGACAAGGAGTTCAACAGGCCTCTTGCATATGATTATTTTATACAAGATTCAAACCTGCGAATCTGCACAGGTTACCAGAAATGCAATGGCAAGAGATGCAATTCCTATCGTCTGGCGCAGGGATGGGTAAGGTTTTTGAACCAGGGGTCAAAATTTCACCCAGATAAATTGGCGGGCCATTTAGTGGGACGTAAAAAGTTACATTTTATGAAAAATATTTACAGTGTTACAATAGCAAAAGTTGGAAACAATAAGCCTCGTGCCAAATTTAATTGCAATCTCAACAAATTCACTTTCAGCAAAACATCAAAATTTGGCTTTAGTTCGGTTGTGGCAACACCAGGGGTGCCAGATTAAATTACTCAACGGGCCGGATTTGGCCAGCGGGCCGTAGTTTGCCCATCTCAGGTCTAGCGCAATGCATGAGCCGCAGAGCTGGTATAAAAGTCGACCATTTCAGCCATTTGTGAGCAATTTTTCAATTCTAATAATTTTGTTACATTCTCCAAGAGTACCCACCACTTATAAGCTGGGATTGTGAAGGATCAGCTTCCATAAGTTGTTTTCCTTTACTTCTGAGACCGTTGGATTCATACTGTTTTGCATCTAATTCATCCTGAATAAATAAAGAATGATAGGATATGATTTTAATGCTGAATGAGGAAGAGTATTGGATCTACTGATACACATATAATATAAGATAATCTGTCAAACTAGCAGTTCTAAATATGTATGTCACATAGAATTGCTTACAGTAATTATAAATATTACTACAATTGGCCTTGGATAAGTTTGGGCTTACAAAGAGCAATATACAATAGATAATAAAACAACATGAGCACAAAAAAAATTAAATGGAGGCAAATTGAACTTGAAATGAATTTACAAAAATATAAAACAGTTCAAACAGGTGCGATACAAACACAAAAAAAATGAATAAAAAAGCCCATTATATTATAAAATCTGATAGGGTTAGGCCCAGAATGATGTATTTTTGGCCCCTTCGGCCATTTTAGTAATTTCTAATCCTCTCAACAACTTCAGCAGTCTTCTACATAATTCGAACCAGGGACGACACTTAGAGAGCATGTCCTGAATCACACAAAAACACTCTACCTTGAGTTTATCATTTTGTTTGATAAGTTCTTGTAACTCATCTTGAGTGACCGTTCCCATCTCAATATTAGTGGAAGCTTTTTCCTCAATGTCATCAACTGACTTGATCAATCGCTCTTTCCTTGAAAATAAAATTTTTAATTTTAAAAAAGAGAATGGATACTTCTTATTAGTTTTTCCGCTTTACTTAATATGTATGGAATGAATACACGGTTAACCGGAGTAATTTTTGTTCCAATTTTTTGTCATGTAAGTTTCCAGAGTTTATCTCCTTTTGCTTTACCAGCTCTCGCTGAGTTACCAGTCCAGGTTGGATATGAGTCCATTTATATTAAAAGATACACATGTATGACATGTAATTTTTTGGTTTTTGGACAATAATCTTTTTAATTACCGGTATATATATTGTTGGACTCCTTTCTATTCAACCTGTGTCAAAGTTAGACTTTTATCACAGGTGTCACTGCTCGATAACCAACATTGTTTCTTTCGCGTGACCCTTCTCTGTGAAATGATATTTTCATTTTTTTTTCTAGTGTATTTTAATTTTGGTGAAAAAAAACGGTACTCCTGAAGTATGCACACCAAGATGTCGCATAACCTGAACCCTAACTGGTACACAACCTGAGTTCAGGTTGTGCGCCATCTTGGTGTGCACACTACAGGCGGTCCAAAAAAACTACTGACTGCCAGTGGTCACTCGCAACTTTACTATTAATTTTTCTTTATTTGGCCCTGGTGCCTGTCCTGGTGTCTTAGGATAAATATTTGTGTGAAAGAGTGGTTAATAAATACAAACTTCATTTTTGCTATTGAAAATGAAGAGATTTATATGTTAAACATATGTCCAGTAATTTAATTTTAATCGCATTTAACATTTAAAATTTTTTATGCCGATATATGGACTTTGCATAATGTTATGTCCGAGACCATGCATCTGAAACAGTAAATTGGTCCATAATCAAATACTAATATCTGACCTTAACTAGAAAATAGAGAAGGGTCTGTAAACAGATCAATCATATGCTAAGTGAGGCAAAAGTCAAGCGAATAAGTTAAAATAAATTTAAAAAATAGAGCTAGGCAATAGATTCCAGTCAAAGATTCTCCTCACATTAAACTAATTCATAAACAAAAGAGTGTTTTAGACTTTAAATTATCAAAACAAATATTTTATTTATTTAGCCCCAGTAAATTTGTGTAATTAGCATTTTTTTGTAATTTGTGTTGGTTTGATTTTTTTCTTTACTGATTACTTGACTTGACTTAGTATAACCATTCACACAGACTGCTAAATTAGTAGATTAATCAAATTTTAATTACTGTTAGATTAATTTTTGTCACGAAAAGATTGCTTGATTTACTACAAATTGAAATATTTCGAAACAAAAAAATCATAATATTCAAATTTGTAGCTCTCAAAGTGACATGAGCCATATATATGCCAGATTTATATTAGTATTGTGACATTGCTTAATATATGGGCATTCTTAACAATAATTTGAATTTGGGGTTTCTCCAATTGTAAACAAGGCTTTCCAACATAAACAGAGAATATAGTCACGCAAACATCAGCTTATTCACTTCAAGGTAGATGAAGGTTAATTCTATAAGAATACAATTCAAACTGAAGGACATTTTACGTTCTGTCGGATAAAACAACTTTGGTAACCGCTGGCAAACACTCGAATAACAAAGAAATTTAATGTTTGATTGAATTAAGGAGGCAAAGTGACTCGAAATAATAACAAAAACTTTGTGATGTAACAATGAAATAGTTATACACAATGAGGTTTAATTGAATGGAAGGATTATTTGTTGAAACGGCTTTTATGACATAATAAAAGGCATTATGATTCGTTAAAGAGAGATTTACTCAATTGGATATAGTACCGGTAACAATATTGGAATTGGAATCTGTCTCGTTACTAAACTGAGTACGGAGTTGGTTGGGATTAAACACGAAACACTGCTGCTCGCTTGTTAAAATAGCTTCACTTATTTGTCCAGACAGATTTAAATTTCTGGCATATTTCATAAACAATTCACCAACCATGTAAGACAAGTTTATTTTTAAACTGCGGCACAAATTGAGTGTTCCAGATAAAGCAACAAATTGTATGAAACCTTCATCAAACTGAAGACTTGAATGCTTATTTGAATTTATTGCGTGTTTGTTTAATGTTTAGAAATTACTGACCCCACAAACTACCTAAAAGAGCACGGCAGATTCAAATATATGATCTATTTTGGAGTTGGAGGTTCTTCTTTGATCTGTAGCACAAGTTGAATATACTAGTACTACTGCAACACGTTGTATGACCCCATTTTCAATGAACACTAAAATTCCTTCGAATTTAATAGTATGGGGTGTTCATGAAAACTTAAAATTGCAAAGGGAATTTACCGATACCATGTATTGTTTTGACCATCACAGATGAATGAAATGAAATAAAAATATCTAAACAATTACTGATTAAAAAACAACATACTTGATTAAGATATATTGAGAACTGACTTAACAACAAAATTGGAATTGTAAAGATACTTTATAGACACCCTGTATATTTTATTTAATTAGAATATTTATCTGTCTTATTACCCTCCTAATGAAGCATAGCTTTATTATTGCTACCAAAACTGCAAAAAAGTGTGTTGATAAAAATAGACGGCAACATAAGCAAAACATGACAGGATATTTCATGTTACCTCAGGGGTGGGTTAAATATTATAACAACTCCATAATTTTGTTAGATTGCAAGAACACAGAGGGTATATACAAATAATTGACTATTAATTTATACTATCAAAAAAACAAATAACAATCAAACCTGTCCAGGAAATTCCTCCAGAGGTCATCAACCTCATCATACTTTTCTTGTTTGTTTGCAATCTCTGATAAAACTCTGTCACATTTTGCTTCGAGTCGGTTGAGGTAACCACGGACAGTTGTTCTCTGCTTTGAGTCTATATTGTCCAATGCTGTTATCTGAGCTTGTTGAAGAACTTGGTCAAGACCGGAACCGTTTCTATAAATTTTAAATTTATGCTTGAAAATGGGAAGAATATTGGGTACTCATGAAGTATGCACACCAAGATGTCGCACAACCTGAACCCTAACCTGGGAAACAACCTGAGTTCAGGTTGTGCGCCATCTTGGTGGGCATATTTCAGGAGGTCCGAATATTGTAATATCTAATAGGGTGAATGTCAAAGAGGTAGGAAAAGCTATCAGCATTTAATTTTGCAGAAATTCAAAGTAAATAATACCGCAAGCTTTTCACATCGGTATAACGCATCAAGTGAGTATTATAGGAATAATAAGTATAAGTTTATTTCAACGCCATAATCAGCAGAATAGGTGATAAAATAGTTAATAAAAAGTTAAAACAATAATTTTTAAATGCTAACAAAATGTTCGATCACAAAATATAAGGCATTGACATCATAGTTTAGAATTGAAATACAGGGTCCAGCATTATGCATCATTAACACTTTCCCAGTAAATCAGTTGTTATTTGGCCCAATTGGGTTATCCACACGTCATAGCCTCTTGATTATTTTCACATTGCAAGTTGAGATATAAAGTTTAAATCTCATGCCTACTACTTCACTCTCACCTCAAGGTATAAATTAGGTTTTCAGTCCAAAATCGGACGAAATCTAGTTCGTTAATAATATTGTTTTACAATTGCGCAACGCAAAAATCAAGTAATGGATATATATCTGATGTGTTGCACAACTGAAACATGAAGCAAGATTTCTGGCCCCCTAATGGCAGTCACCTCAATCTTCACTACTGTGTTATTAAACTTGTACAATTAAAGCAAAAACATACAGAAAAAGATAGTGTGTGGCATTATGGTTTATGATACGCTTTATGGCAGTGGTCCTCGAACTTTAATGGTATGTGGTCTCTTTCAACACTTGTGGCCCCTCGGTTTTTTTATAAGAATATCAGTAGTTTATTTTTACACATGCTGGAAATAAACATTGTACAAACAGAATAAAGAAAGATAAAAAAATTCATTTCAGTGTGAAGGGAGACGCGATAAACCAGTAATGGTTATCGAGCAGCGTCTCCTATGAGTTCAAGTTCTGCTTTCAACCTATTTCCATCATAAATGATATCTAGTAAAGAACTTTGCTTGTGGCCTTTCGAAGGCCATTTTGGAGCCCTAATGGGGCAATGGCTTAATTTGAAAAACCCTGCTTTATTGTTACCATTGTCACTACAGCATTGGCATAAAACAGATTCAAATTCAAGAAGGCAATTAAACATGACCTTGAAAATAACAGATCTGACCTTGAACAATCCTTCATTTTACTTTGTAGATCTTGAGCTTCTTGTTGCCATGACGTCAGTTGATCTGAGGTTATTACGGCTGTTTTGAGGTCATTTTCAAGTCGTTCAAGCATGTCCTTCAGCTCTTGAGCGCCATCGTAAAATGTCATCAACTTATCAAGGGCTTCTTCACGAGCAGACACGACTTCACAGACTCGGCCAAGAAACTTTGTGCATTCAGTGTATCTGAATATAAGTGGTTATCAATCTTAATTAAGTATCTTGTAGTTCTTTGTGAAAGTTGATAATTACTGACAAGTGGAAATTATTGAATTAAAGCCACTTCCCAATAAAAAATTTACTCAATTACTATAAAACTGCAATCAATTTCTCAATATGTGCGGGGATAGAATAGCTTGTGAATTTTGTTGGCCCAAGCCACCACCACCACAGTTCTTTTTGTGTGAGGCAGCTCTCTATGTTCATGTCAAGAATCAAAACCCATCACAAGGATGAATGTCTATATATCGCACTTGAGTATAAGTATAAGTGTATATTTTGATTTTCCCGCAAAAAAATGATACACAAAACACAAACAAAGAACACACAGAAGATTGGGAAAATCGGAGAAACTGGCAAAATGGACCTCCTGAAGATGCGCACCAGTATGGCGCACAACCTGAATTCAGGTTGTGTACCAGGTTAGGGTTCAGGTTATGCGACATCTTGATGCACATACTCCAGGAGTACCGGCAAAACCTTTATAAAGGTTTAATACATGTTAATATACATGCGGCAGTTTACCCACATTCAACACACAAACATACTGACATATATTCAGAATAAAAAAGACAAAGACACGAACGGGTATCGTTTAGGTGTCAAAGTTGTGTAACATAAATACTCGGTGGGTCCCAATTAATAAATACACTTTGATAGGATGTAATGCATGAACTTTATGATTTCAAGCAGTTACAATTTTGAGATCCTAAAACTCTCATTGAGAAAACATGTGCAATGCTAGGTCCTCTTTGGGCCAGATATGTGATTCGCCATAAAAAAAGCTTGAACTTGGCCCTGGCATCTGATCTTCCCTCCTGTACTCATGGACCTGGAATGACTATCTAGTTAACTATTTCTTTTCCCCCACCCAAAACAGGAAAAACAGACAAAAGATCAATTTTGAAAACTATTTCAGACAACTTGCAATGCAATCATGACCATGCAATAAAATAATTCAATAAATAATAAATATTTCATCTTTAAGCGCTCACCTCGAAATGAGAGTTTTTCTCTCTTTTGGGTCACACATTGTTCGTAAGTCCTCAAGATGAGAAGCAATTTCTGTGTAATCATCCTGATGGGATTCAATTTCATTTCTTTGCTCCTAAATTTGCATAAAAATATATTACTAGGGGGAAAATATATTTGTCTAAAATTTCTCTTGATTCTGTATCAATAATTCATGAACTGCTTTTTGATGGCGTACTCATCTATAGCTCATGGTTGGATATGTATTGTGATATATATATATATATATGTATAGGCAAATAAACAGGACTATTAATGTTAAATTTGTGTAAATGGATCAAACAGCAAAAAATAGAACATGGATATTGATGAGGAACTGTTTTTGTGTTATTTAATTTAAAATTTCATAACCAGAAAATGCTTGGAAAGTTTTTCAAACTGGACTATTTTTCATGACTCTCTATGTCTAGAGGTGTTGGGCAGAAGTATGTCAACAACTCTTATCACAATTACAATCTTGTATAAAGCTCTGGAATTTCAGTAATTTCATGAATATTGGTAATATCAATATATATCCTACAATAAGGTTAGTGGTCCTGAGTTAGGGTTCCTATTCGCAAGTGTGTGAAAATTTGGAAAAAATGGTTTTAATTATACAATATATAAAAAAATATCTAGTCTAAATATAGCTTGATTGCACTGGTGAGCAATGATTCTTTAGCAAACCTGAAAAACACAAATATAACTATTAAAAAATCAAAAAATACATAAAAAAATTATCTGTAAAAAGATAAAAATTGAATAAAAAAAAAGCATGGTTTGATACAATAAAAATAAAAAAGTCAGAATAAAAAAAAAATTTTAAGGTTTGCACTGGTATATGGGAAGCATTGATATAAATAAAATTAATGCAATGCTGGTTTGGTTCTCTCTTCCACAGTTTCTCATGGTAAGAGAAGGATTTTATTGGAAATGCTCTAAAAAAATGATAATGTATTGGTTTGCACTGGGTTTGAGGATCCCATTTTGGGTAAGATTTCCATGTGGATAACTTAGAAAAACAAAAAAAAATTGAATAAAGTAATGAAAGTCTGCAAAAAATAAAAAGTGAGAAAATAAAATAAAAAGTAAAAAGTAAAATAATCATATAAAAAATAATAAAATTAAAAAAAAAATTAAAAAAAAATTCTTGAAAATAAATCGAAAAAATATAGCATGAAAAATAAAAGAAAAAGGTAAAATAAAAAGTTCTAGAACTAAAGAAACAAAATGTATAGTTTTCTACTTATCTTTTATGATTTCTTCTGAACATGTTTGTTGTTTTCGGACGTTCCTACACAATTTTTTTGCCTCAACTTTAGAATTAATATTTAGAAGTTAAAAAACTATAAAAATAAACAATATTCATGAACTTCTATTAGCAATAGAGAAATATAGTTAAATGAAGCCAAAGCGCCAGACGTCATTATGTCTCACTGAATCCTGCAGTAGATTTGCGACTTCTACATATGGTTAAAATATAACGGTTATAGTCAGACAGAAGCATAGACTGAATTTTCGAAGCGGGGGTTCTGGTATTTCTAATTGCCAAGTTAGAAGGCAAATCTGGTTAATATTCCCGAGCCTCGACGCGGAGATTGGCGCTTCGGCGCCCGGTGCGGCAACGCAACCGAACTCGGAGATGCTGACGCTTGCCAAAAACAGCTACTGGGTCTGGCCGAAAAACTTGGTTTTCCAAGAGTCTTGGGGTCTAAAAAGCGTTTCAAAGCTACAAAAAAATTGCTATGATTGATACAGAAAAATGCTTTCCACATTTCAAAAGGGGGGGTTTGGTTCCTCAGATTTCCCCTCCCCCTTGCCTATGCCCCTGTAACCAGACGATGGAAATTTTAAGAACTAGTTCTCTTCTGTATCGCACCCACTAACAATGCGTTCCCTCATTTCAGAAAAATATCAAGTTCACAGATTATTACAATATCCAGGAACGCGCCGGACAAAACCCCAATCGGAACAATGACGAACATTTTCATTTAAAACAGACAGACACTTCAGAGAGATTCTAAGTCCAGCAGAAAAACATCATATAAATGCGCTGTATAACTGTGTTGGGACCAAACAATTGAGAACGCTAGCGCATGATTGCCACCAGGTATATTCATGAGTGCTTTATTTATCTTTGAATTGAGAACGCTGTCCGACTGTACTGCTGTTTCCATGGTTACTACTGCTTGTTGATTATCGGAGTCTATTGGAAATATTATGTCGCTTAATCGTATTTAATTGCCAACTTTAAGTATGTAATGTTCGATTTTTTACTCCAGTATACTCTTATGTTAGCTATTTCGTAGGTCGATCGTTAACTAGTAGGGCACCATCACCCGCAGCGTTAGGATGATAATCGATGCTCCGATAACCGTTCCAGTTCTAAATCGGCCATACGCACGGCGGCGTTATAATAACTCGTCATATACGGATACAATGCTTGTTAGTGAAATGCAGCCCATTTCATTTTAGTACTGTTTTTCGCGCCTTCCTCACCGCGTAATGCCATTTCTTACTTCATTCTATATGTAAAGTGCGTATTTTCATAAAGGTAAAAAAATTTACTATAGCGTACTGATGTAGGACGAATTGTCCTTCATATAACGACATAAGGCAATACCTGTGCTAACCCTGTCAGTTAGTATTTCACGGTAATTGGTTACAGATTACTTTCTCATAAACCAACATTTCTGAACTGTTTAGAAGATTTGATAAGTTATGTTTCAAAGACTTGACGCAACTTTCTGAACATTGCAGTTCCAAATCTAGGAACAGCGTGGTAACGCTCCGAAATAGGTTCTAAACAAGCAACAGCATGGTGAAGATACGGCACGAGTGAATCGGGAATGTCTGGCACTGTCTGAGCGACATGGTAAACTTGGACTAGGGACCAAGAGTCTAACCGAGCGTTTTCTAACTAAATTAATTCTTCTTTGGGGAGGGAGTTTACTGTTTAAGGAGGAGGGGGGGGGGTACTTGAACTCTTAACCTCTTTGGTATTATTTTATTACATATATTTATGCAAGCAATATAAATTCAAACTGTGCAATAGTCAGAGTGAAAGGGGAATTGTATCGAAAAAAGTTGGGAAACAACTGAGTCACTAACTCAGGAACTATAATGCCAACATAATTTCGTCGACCATATATCTTAATCATTAATTATACCCTTTAGGTCAAGTCTCACATAGTTTTGCATAAAGTCCGTGTATCTGTAACGAATAACTAACTATCTGGTTGACCGATCCCATTTCCTCTCCCCGTGAAAAATATGAAAATCCTATTCTAAATATTTTCAGCATCGTTCTTTCAATAACTTGACAATTTATTCTAAGATTGTATCCGTCTTAAAACACCACTAGCAAAATCTAATAACAAAGCAATGTCCAGTACCGAATAAATAGTTCGAGTACAGATTAGTAAATAAACAAACAGACAAAACAAATCGAAGCGTCGCTTGACATTTCAAGCAGTTGCAATTTCAAGATATTTTAATCCAGTAAGCAGTAATTTTATCATCGGCAAGCCATAGGCCATACCTAATTAAGGTCTTTTAGAACTATATTATATATGAGCGGAGCATGAATTGATCGTATTTATTTTTGTTAGAAATTTAGTTACATGTAAAACACAGTTAACATTGCTTATTTTAACAACTTAATTAGATCTAATAAGACAGATAGAAATGTCAGTGCTACGTTTCGACCAGTGATATGTTTCGGTACTGCCTTGTGAATGTCTTACCGCTAATTTTCTGATCCATTTATCCTTGATTCTATTTATCTTAAGATTGGTTTGATCATAGCGATATATCGACCGCGAGCGTCATATTTCTGTTTATTTCAGCGGGTCCCGAAAGGATGCCACAAAGCGGTTGGGGGGCACAAGGCTAGGGGTAAAACAATTTCACTTTTTCGTTCACAATAAAACTCCTCGTTCTCCCTAGTTTCATTGCTTGATAAGGTTATTTCACGAGGTGTCTTCATTTTGTTGAGCATGAATTGTTGAACACGATGGGATTTGGAATCTACCAATCATAATAACGCTATAAATATAACTAGAAAGATAAACAGGGGGGGGGGGGGGGGGGGGTTAAAGGTTGAGAGTCACTTCTATTCGAAACATAACTCCGCTCATCATAACTTAACCCAAGGTATTCAACCTTGGACGACAGAAAATATAGGTGGGGCAATAACTGAGTGTTAACCAAGGCTCTGCTGTATGGTCTATACCTGAGTCTTGTTAATTCAAAAAACTTAAGAATTTCTCACCAAGTGTACCCCCTTGAGAACCCATCGGTTCAAATCAAGTAAATATTTTCAATTCCATGCGTATTGAGGGAGAATAAAGATAGATGAAGGGAGGTGATTACTGAAAAAGGTTGGAAACCACAGGTTTGGACGCGTCTTTGTGGAAATTACAAAAATTGTGAAATTAATTGAATATTACAAAGTTTCTATGCCTGATGGAAAATTGGCGCCGGTCTTACTGTAGTCAAGCTGTGATAAAATATACCGAAACATTATTGGTGGCGCTACAGTGCTATGAAAACAAGAGAGTAATGCTTAAATATATAGTCGAAAATATCGCGCAACAATACCGGTACGCCGAGGCTTTAGAGAACAGAGCTTGCTGAAGAGATTAAAAGATCGTTCGATAAGCCAAAGGCGATCATGCTATCAGGATAAAAATGCACCCTTTAATAGTTAAGATGAAACAGCAAAATTTCGGATGAAATATCGGGTCGAAATTTGAATACAAAAGTAAAATCAATAGCTTTCTAAGGACTTCCCCACCCCTCAGACAATTCCGCAACTGAGAACAAATAGCCAAATAGAAACGACAAAATTTGGGAAGAAATGTCAAGCCACATAGAAATAAAAATAAATTGAAATAAAATAGAAGTAATAGCCTCCTAGAATTCAACCAACTCCAAGTAATGTAATTTGAAAATGGTCCATTGGTTGCGGCGTTTTTTTTCAAACATCGTCACCGTGCTGTTATAAACTGATAATCGACGAATTATATAAATGCCATTAGATACCAAATAAAACAGAACTTAAAGAATACTTTAAATTTAGCACGGTCAGAGAAGCATCTTGATCGGAAACAAACTGAAAGTTTTTCTTTTTCTCGACGCAGGCATCAAATTTCACTTCGATTTTGTTCTGCATCAAATAATAGGCACGGATAAAAATACATTTAAATCCGAAATCGCCGCGTTGCTAAAAAACAAAAGGGTCGGATTTGGGTCGAAAGCGAAATAATTTACTAAAACAATTCTACGTTTCCACGTTCCGCGCTTGAAGTAACCATGTCTGGTACACAAAGCTATCTATACAGCCGTGTCGACATCGTGTGTAGTGTCTAGCCTTTATTTTCAAGTCCATAACTCGCCAAGCTTAATATTCGATTGAAATAATCGATTTCCAAATGTCCAGCCCCGACGACATCATACCGTGCCATACCGTAAATAAGGGACATATTGTGCAACGTATTTAAAATCAACTTCATTTATATATATGATATGTGAGATAAATTTTGGTGATTACCATATTGGACGGAAGAAGTCGTCAGAAGTCTATTACATTTAATTTATCTACCTAAATTTTGATATATTTTGTATAAGTTGTCCACAGATCCCTCAAAGCATTGCCCGATTCTGAATCGTGTTTTTTGTATTCTTGTATTATTATTTTTTTGGTGGGCGGGCGCGTACTTTTACTTAAGTTATGCTCGCCTTCCAGGTATCTCTTCATTTTGTTTGTTCGTCTACTTTTCGTGCTGTTTTGTTTTTATGTCAGAGTACCAAAATAATTGATTGATTGATTGTACAAATACCCTTCTGAGTAAGGGGCTATTGGGCTGCCTTGTAGACTGAGGGTTACCCGACTGAACCCGGCAAGCCAAATATTGGCAGTATATTTTGTACCAAACTAACAAAATTTCAAGCCAAAACTCACATACGTGCAGAAAAATCACTGTTAGATTAGGGTCAATTTCATTAATTTTGACAAAATGTATTTCGAAATGGAAAATACATCCTGAATGCACGATAAAATTTCCTTTCGATTGAAATGTCACACAACGTGCTACCTATAATTGGTAAAAAATTATAAGCGTGCCAAATAGCCAGTATTTAGACTTATTTTATTGTTCTACCAATACGGCGCCGCGAACCTTCAGGGTATGCGAGTAACTTCGCTCAGAGCCGTCAGAGTTCAAAGAGTTAACGGTTATCGTTCATTTGAACCCACGTACTTTTGAACCCATGCCCATATCCGCGGATTCAATCTATATGCGGGTGCTTAA